TACGACTCTTCGTGACAAAGGCGGAGAGAGCCTAAAATAATGAAAAAAAGTGAGAGAGTGCTTGAATCATGCGGAAAAATATCCGCATCCTCCTTGCTTCTTGAGTCAGTATGCCACTAGTCGTTTTGACATTCTGCAATAAAAATAACACCCGATATCATTTTTAAATTTGTCAATTGAATTAAACAGTTTTATAATATTTAACTCCTATTCACTTCGGGTTTCTTAAGCCTAGTTCGAATTCATATTAATGTTGGACACATAAAACTGCAGCGTTACGATTTTTTTAGTATAGACTCTATACTAAAAAATCGTCGGATAGAAGGACTATTACATCAGGATTTTTTTATCATCAGAATAGAACGGTGCATTCTCAATATCAGACGAAGATTTCATTTTTTAAGCTAGTTTCGCATATTTTACCTTCAGTTCCATTCTATTATTAACGATGTCATATTTCTTCCTAAATAAAAGTGTTAAAACCCACGCGAGGTTTAGCTGTTAAATTTCAGTAATCCCTGTCACACATAGGTTTAACTTCCATGCTTACCTCATACTAACATGTACAAGATGTTTTGTATAATTAGATATCGCCTTTGATATGCATCTTTAGACTCATCGTCCAAAATGAAGAAAAAGTAGTAATGACTTCGAGAATTGCACATTAATATTTAAGCGAGGAAGGAACAAAAGCACTATCAAAAGTCAAATCGCAATTAATGAAAGCAGGTGTATAAAAAAGCTGTCTGTTTGCTGACTTAAACTTAGAGATGTTTCTAATAATCAATTTCGAACTCCTCTCTTTTACCTCTTGCAATCATTTGTTGTTCCGTATATGGGCTTTCCTCAATTATAATTTGTCTCAGATCTATAGATTTCTGTTTTTTTCATTACTGAAATATTTGTTTACAACACCCAATGCGTATACTTAGTTGTTTTCATTTTTGACAAGGATTCTAAAAATATGTATTAAGGGGGAACTTTACTGAACACCCTGAATCTAAACAAGCGTTTCCAATCCTCATGTCTCAGGAAGAATTTTGAAAGTCATAAGCTGGCAGAGGAGATGATCATTTAGAAATACTTCTCAACATTAAAACATTAATAGTTTGACTGACCTAAAAATAATTAGTACTTTATAGATAGTCGTGTTTTAACATTATTGGTGGAGCACCCCACCCACTGCTCGCTTCGCAAATAAACACTGAAACTGCATTTGCAGTTCCCTTCTTGTTGCTTCTTAATTAAAGCTTACTTTGCTCGCCAATTGGATATTTGTGTATTTTAGGGAGATATTTTTTTTAAAACGAAATTCTTAATATTTTGCAACATCCTGTGGAACCTTAGATTTCTAAACATTTTATGCAATTTTTTTACATTTCGTTGCCATTTGGAAATTGAATTTGGATCAAATAATTTTTTGCATTTATCTATTTACGCAATAAAAAATTTCTGTGATTGAAGACGCAATAGTTTTAAGTTTTTTCTTCTAACATAAACTTGCAAAATGTATTAAAAAAACAAGGAAGAAAGTGGAAAAGCATTACAGTAAAGAAGGTAAAAAATAAATGATGAAAAATTGTAAAAACTACGTATTATTAAAATTAAAATGTAGTTTCATATTATTATGTTATCTGTGTAATTTAACTAGCATTATTATAATAAAACTATTCAACGGTTTGTTAATCGCTTACCTTTCATTTCTGTTCAGCTTATAGCTCAATTTGTTTCAGATTTTCGTTGCCAACACGAGAAAAGAAATTTCGTTAGACTTGTAACAGTATTTCTTAGTATATAACAATAGTATATACTAAGAAATACAATAGTATTTGACGAATTGTAGATACTCTTTTTATTTAAAGTTTTAAATTACATGTATTTGGCCCTGTTAAATCTTTTATTTTTTAAATTTTTTGTGCCGCTTTTAAAGAGTTTGATCCGTCACGAAATTAGACAATCAAACTTTAAAAAAATAGGATAGAAAAAAAAAACTTTTGATTTTCTTTTTATCACAGTTTACCTATCATAAACTAGACTTTAATCTAGATGTTATGAAATAGTTGTCAATTAGAGAATAAGACTGGTTAATAACAAAAAGCTTGCTGCATAGATTTTATGTCAACCCTTCTGACAAAATAACTGAGCTCGATCAATAAAATATTGGACTTTAAGGACAGCGAATAAAGTTTGGACAATTTATTTCTAAAATAAGTGAAGATAAATATTATTAGAATATATTGTTCAAAATTAAAAATAATAAAATTCACGACATAATGTTAGTAGTGAGGTAAAATTAAGCTTTTTCTTCGGAAAAAATAATATCCGAAATTTTTTCTTACTTTTGCTATGTTATTATAAAGGATAACTAAAAGCTCCCTTACTCTTCTCCGCACGCTTCCCCCCCTTTTTTTAAAGGGAAATGGGGGTGATATGAGGAAGAAAATTGAATTTCAACCAGACAGGCAAGTGAGGCATTGTTTCTAATGCGTTTTTATACGCTGAATTGAATAAAACGAGACGTGAGACCAAAGAATATATAATGTGACCATATAATGAGACCAAAGAATATATAACTTATATATTCTTTGGTGAGACATTTGTGTAATAACGTAATTTGTGTAATCCTATCCTCAAATGTGCACATTTGAGGATAGGATTTATCCTAAAGTAAAACTTAACGCCTTTATAAATAAAAATGAAAACATTACATAAATGCGGTGCTTTTTGAGCTGCTGTGCGATTAGTTTAAATAAACTTTTACAGACTTTGAACAGCAAATTTTCTTAGATTAATTTTATGAGTCACATTAATTGAAACTCTGTTTTTAAACTGATGTATCTGAAAATCTAACAGCATTAATATTATTAATTGGCTTTTCGCTGCCCGTAGGAGTTATTGAATCTGCTTCTAATTTTTAAATAATCATCAACTTGGACTTTTTAGGCTGTTTTTCGTATAGACCTTTGGGCTATTTTTCCTTTGAAACTTTTATATAAATCACGAACTTCTTGATTCGTATGAAAGCTCTTTAAAAATTTTAAACGACTAGATTTTTAACCCTGCGGAGCCGCTGGTCGCGGGTTCGAATCCTGCTCAGGGCATGAATGTTTCTTTCTCTCTCTCTGTGTTCTATGTCCCTTCTCCTCTGTGTGTGATTGTGTGAATGTGACCTGCCCTATGAACGGGTTTGTGGTTGTGTGACGTGGTCGACGCTGCTCCACCGTCGTGGCTTCGCCACAGGTGTCCACTGGGTAACGAGAAGAGAGTACGCAGTTCTGGCATTCAAGTGGACAATGGGACAACCCCCATGTGCCCGCCATGAAAAAAAAGATTTTTAACCTCTTCATCACTTATTTTTTTAAATTATGCCCTTTAATATTTTGAGGATGTAAAATAATGCGCGTTTATTCACAGAAGGTACGTTTTTATACCCGATTTAGTATCTCCTTTATTGCGCATCACAAAGTAATTAGCATATTTGAGTTTCATCATAGTATAAAAATCCAATTATTAGATAATTCATCTAATATGGCCTTCAAATTCAAATGCTTACTATTTTGAATTGGAGATAATTTTTCAACGATCATTGTAATGAAGCACAGAGAAAAATTTTGTTGGATTAACCAGTTTCCAGTAGCATACGTTTTATGTGGGAACCTTTAATTCATTATTTAATTTAAACTTTCAACCTTTAATTTCGAATTGTGAATGGTACTAACCAGTTTCGTGAGAGGGGGGGGGAGGTCATAATCACCAAACTAATTTGGTGCCAGTAATGTTAAATTGATTGCGGTAATAGGTACTATAGGTAATACTGACTAATTTTTACTAATATAACAGTAAGTATAAAGGTAATTAGCCTTTTACGACCTCCCAAAACGGAAAAGAAATCAAAATGCATGTAAATTAACATTACAGGATGTGTATATTGCATATTTTTCGGTCCTGCAGTGGACTGATCGTTAAGACACGGTTCCCAGCAGATTACCGAAGTCAAGCGTCAATGGCTGCGGTCAGTGCGCGGGTGGGTGACCACTTGGATCGGTCTGCGTAGGGACCGAGGGTGTGCGGTATTGGTCCTCGTTAACACTAGATTGCCTAAGGAAGTCATTTTGACTGCTTTTAATTTCAATTAGAAAAACAATGATGTATACCATGACACAATTTCTTAGAATTTTGTGACTTTTTGAACAAAATAAAAAAATTTTCATTGTTAATATTTACTAATAACTTGTTACACAACTGTAAATAGTCCCGCAGTGGACTGATCGTTAAGACACGGTTCCCAGCAGATCACCGAAGTCAAGCATCACTGGCTGCGGTCAGTGTGCGGGTGGGTGACCACTTGGATCAGTCTGCGTAGGGACCGAGGGTGTGCGGTATTGGTCCTCGTTAAACTGTGCTACCGTAAAGTGCTCGACTTCGCGCGCAGGTCGTCGGGCTACCGAAGCGGGGGTGCCATTCCCTCCGCAGAGGATCAAAATTGTGATGGCATGTCTTCGGATCATCCTCCGGGATGTTTCCCAGACCGTCGCCAATAGCCCATTGTGCAGCTCTAGTGCGACGCAAATTAACAACAACAACTGTAAATAATATAAAAAATCTTAAAAATTAAGTTTAAACAAATTTATTGACGCATTCACAATCTAGTCATTTTGTCTGCTTTTCGGCAATATAGGTATATACTAATTTTCCGTCTTTCTAGTGTTAAACTGTTCTACCGTAAAGTTCTCGACTTCGCGTGCAGGTCGTCGGGCTACCGAAGCGGTGGTGCCATCCCCTCTGCAGAGGATCAAAATTGTGATGGCATGTCTTCGGATCACCCTCAGGGATGTTTCTCAGACCGTCGCCAATAGTCCATTGCGCAGCTCTCGTGCGACGTAAATGAACTACGACTACAACTACAACACATTTTTCGAGCTTTATTTTAAAAATATTACCAAACATTGAACAAAGCTATATTAAAATTCATTTGTATTCAATGAGGGAATAAAGTGATCCGAAAAGAAAGGGCGAAAGTGGTTTCGGGGATGAGTGAAGACCCTTAGTATGATGAAATTATAATGTATGTGTTCTTGCGGGAATACATGGTATTTTCTTTCCCTTTGTAGAAAATCAATTTTGCATTCAGAATCCGAATATTTGCGGACTAGAAGCAGGATGTCAACCAGTGGGAGACGATGGTTATGTGTGTCTCTGCTACGACACTTTACCAGCTGGTGTGAACAACAGTTGCGACAGGAGCAAAGGTCAGTTAGTTTTGTGCATTAATATTGTAGATTTTAATTTTTTTTTTAAAGTCCGAATTAATATGGTCTCTGCTATGAGCCAAATTAATTTAAATCGTATAAATGTTACGTTATTAAATTCAAAAAATAATATTACGAAGTTAGAACACCTTCTAATGACAAATTAGAACGTAAAGGTAAACGCAGTGCAATAAAAATCTGTGATCAATTAGAAATCATTCTAAAAGTTCAGAGGAAGATTCTTTACGATGACATTTTATTAAATTAAGGAACATCAGCTTTAGAAAACGTGAAAACATTAGGCTACACGTACTAGGCTACACAGTAGGCTTCACGTACTAGGACTTATTTCTTACTCGAAGCGGTGATCTCAAATTTACTAATTAATTAGTGCAGACGATATTTTAAATTTAAAAATCAAGGCACAAAAACGTACTCTCATGGTCAAAAAAATTAGTGTACCAAAAAAGAGTCATCAAAATGAAACGAAATTTTACATACGTAATGACTACTTTGATGTAAGTAAATGATTAGAACAATTAGAATGCATTCTAAAAGTTCAGAAGAAAATTCTTAACGCGGACATTTTATTAAATTTAGGAATATCAGCTTTAGAAAACGTGAAAACAGTAGGCTAGTTACGGAACACATATATTATTATAAATTGTCTTATTTATAGTACGTAACTTTTACATAGGACATAAATGAATAATTTTTGATTTAAAGATCGAATATTTACGTACTAGGACTTAATCTTATTAGTTCGAAGCGGTGATCTCAAATCTGCTAATTAATTAGTGCAGACGATATTTTAAATTTAAAAATCAAGGCACAATAACGTAAACTCATGGACAGAAAAATTAGCGTACCAAGAAAGAGTCGTCAAAATGAAACGAAATTTTACATACGTAATGACTACTTTGATGTAAGTAAATGATTAGAACAATTAGAATGCATTCTAAAAGTTCAGAAGAAAATTCTTAACGCGGACATTTTATTAAATTTAGGAATATCAGCTTTAGAAAACGTGAAAACAGTAGGCTAGTTACGGAACACATATATTATTATAAATTGTCTTATTTATAGTACGTAACTTTTACATAGGACATAAATGAATAATTTTTGATTTAAAGATCGAATATTTACGTACTAGGACTTAATCTTATTAGTTCGAAGCGGTGATCTCAAATCTGCTAATTAATTAGTGCAGACGATATTTTAAATTTAAAAATCAAGGCACAATAACGTAAACTCATGGACAGAAAAATTAGCGTACCAAGAAAGAGTCGTCAAAATGAAACGAAATTTTACATACGTAATGACTACTTTGATGTAAGTAAATGATTAGAACAATTAGAATGCATTCTAAAAGTTCAGAAGAAAATTCTTAACGCGGACATTTTATTAAATTTAGNATATATATATTTTATATTTAAAGTTTGAATTAATATGGTCTCTGCTATGAGCCAAATTAATTTAAATCATATAAATGCTACTTAATTAAATTTGAAAAATAATATTGCGAAGTAAAAACGCCTTCTATTAAAGATGAATTAAAACGTAAAGGTAAACGCAGTGCAATAAAAATCTGTGTTTAATTAGAATGCATTCGAAAAGTTAACAAGAAGATTCTTCACTATGACATTTCATTAAATCTAGAAACATCAGCCTTAAAATACGTGAAAACAGTTGGCTAGTTGCGGAACATATATATTATTATAAATTGTCATATTTATAATACATAACTTTTAGATAGAACATAAGTGAATAACTTTTGATTTAAAGATCGGATTTTTACATATTAGGACATAATATTATTAGTTCGCAACGTTGATCTCAAATATGCTAATTAATTACTGCAAACGATATTTTTAAGTTAAAAATCAGGGCATAAAAACCTATTTTCCTGGAAAACATACCTTTTTCTGACGGATTATAATTTCTGACGTTCAAAAGATAGGCGGAGACACAATTTGGGAAACATATGGTTCCAACAGTTGGGTAAGGAGTAAAATTAACATAAGCCCCCTAATGTTAATTTTACTTTTTCGTATTTCGTCTTATCTCTAGAACTTGTTAAGTGAATTGAAATTGAAAAATTTTTGCACACAATTATAAAATTCGTTTATTCAAAGATAATTCCATACGGAAAATAATTCTTAATTATTTTTTATTATTTTATATAATAATAGCCGTACATTTTTTTGTTTTATAGTATATATATTTCACATCATTTTAAAGAATGTAATTTGAAATGGCAATTATACAAAATTTGAGCGAAATCGATCGAATTGTTTCAGAAAAATTAAATACGGCATTTTTAAAATTCGATTCATTAAAAACTATTTGACTGATTTCACTCAAATTTTCTATTTTGCCATTTAAAATTGTATTCTTTAAAATTATGTAAAAGTTTGTATACCGTACAATTCAGATTTTTTTAAAAAAAGTAATTTTTACATATAATTTTTGAATAGAATTATCTTTAGATTAGCGAGTTTTATAATTGGTTGCAAAAATTTTCCAAATAGCTTAAAAAGTTCTTGAAATACGCAAGAAGGGAAATTAACATCAAATTAAAGGTTCAAAATTTGGACCGCTATCCAGAACAAACTATTGGGACTTAATTCCTCAGATTGCGGCTACAGCCCATATTTTGAGGGTAAGAAATTCAAATCTGTTGAAAAAAAAAGGTATGTTAATGATGAAAAAGTACGTTTTTGTGTATGATTTTGTAAATTAAAATTTCGTCTACGCTAATTAATCAGCATATTTTAGATCACCCCTATGAATCATTAAGTTTGAATCCAAGTACGTGAAAATCTGATCAATAGATCAAAAATTATTCAGAGTATTTTTTTTCCTAATATTTTCTGTACATACAGCTGGTCATAACAATAACATGCTTAGTAATAGAAAAGAAGCACGATGACCATAACAGTGATCGGCTTAAGCTCAACATTTTGTGTTGTTTCTAAGTTTACTAGGTACTTAGCTCTCATTAGAACCTCCAATTTTTGTTTAATCATCTATAATTGCTTGAACTTTCTTACAACTCAATAAAAGTGAACAATCTTTGAGAAAAGGCAAGTTTATTTTTTCTGTCCGCAGGCTTTTCAGTGTTCTTACAGAACGCAGCTGTTTTCCTTGGTAATACGAGTTTCAGCTGTTTTTCCAAACGGGTGTTGTTACCCTCTCGCAGAGTGTTTACTTAAGAGTTTCGATAAAATCAATTATTTCAAAAGGAAACCTTTAGATATTAAGTCTTATTTTTGGCGTTTATATTATTGGTATTTTGCACTAGAGCCTCTTAAATGTTTCAAAGCGGAACTTTTCTTAACTGAAATTTTTTGCACGATTGCATGCATATTATTTGTATATTGTTCCAAATGTAAAATATGTTAAAAATTTATATTGAGTTTATATACTAAACATTAATAATAACTCAGAAATTATGAAGTTAAATACACCGTTGAAAACTGAAATTATTTAATGGAGGAATGGAAGAAACTGAAATAACTATTTTCTCGCTACATAAATTTATTTATTTAGTTAGTTATTTTCACAATGAGGAATATAGATTAGCTCTTTAACATAAAATTTAACTAAACTACATCATTTCAGATCGAGATCTATATTTTAAGAAGCTCATTTCTCTATTCATAGTGTACTTGTTACCGCTAAATTGTAGAAATGAGTTTATTCTACAGATTAATCTTAGTCAGATTTCCTTCGGCTACGGAACCCTAAAAATCAACCTTCTTTCGTCGAAATCCTACAAATAAAGTTCAAGGTAATTGTGAACGTTATAACCTATAAAAGACTATTTTTATAGGTTATATTATTTAATTAGAGAAATGAAGATTTTCCATCGTTTTATCATTAATAATCTTGAATTTGGTTTTTGTGTCCGACAGCTAAATTTGCAGTCCTTGAGCTATCTAGTCTAGTTAGGAATTTGGTTCTGTTTAAGCTAAAAATGATTAAAATAAGCTGGATTATGGTTTGCTTCGAAATGAAAACCTAAAAGTATTGCTGTAAACGTTGAAAATGATTATTATGGAAACATACATATTTCTTTATTAAAGAATTTAGTTATTTTGATTTGAAAAGGGTGATAGGAAATAATAATGGAATATTTTATGAATGCTTGTTTTTTCATAATTTATTCAATATAGTGTTATAATACTTTTCTTTAAAAAAAATGCCATTTCTGTTTCGTTGGCACATTTTACTAGAAATGATTTCATAATGGCAATAGAAAGATTAAATAAATTATGAATAATAGGCTGGATCTAAATATAACAACAAAAACGACACTATACAAAAAATACACACGAGAATCACGATGGCCAATAAGTGCTTTTATGGTCTAAGAAAATATCTTAAGTCAAGTCTAATCAAAAGAAAAACAAAAGTGTTACTCTATAAATGTCTTATACGATCAGTGCTTAGATACGCATGTGAGACCTGGACAATGACCCGTGGAGATGAGAATATGATAGCTAGATTTGAGAGAAAAATACTGCGAAGCATTTTTGGTGGAATAAGTAAAAGCGGTACCTGGTTTAGAAGATCAAACACGGAACTTTACAAAGCATATAAAGAACCTGATGTCATTAAATTTATTACAATTCAAAGGATTAAATGGGCAGGCCACATTATAAGAATGGGGGATAGCAGGATAACCAAAAAAGTTTTCAGTGCCAGGCCAACAGGTACAAGAAAAAGAGGACGGCCAAACCTAAGATTTTTAGACTGCCTTGAAAAGGACCTACAAGTTTTAAGGATAATAAACTGGAGAACCTTGGCTAAGGGAAGAATGTCTTGGTACAGACTTGTTGAGAAGGCAAGGCTGTCGTGCCAATGAGAAGAAGAAGGCTGCATCTAAATATAATCGGAAGTTTCAAATCTCATCACTAATAGTGCTAAATAGCGGAACCATTTTAACTCTTCCACGGAACCCTAGGATCCCGCGGAACACAATTTGGGAACCGCTAACCTAGATCATCTACGCCTTAACTACTAAGCAACAACAGCAACGTTTCTGTTCTCTTAAATAACCATTTGTATTTTCACTATCTAAAAAATCAAATTATTACAATGAAATATAATCAACACATTAGTTGATGAACTCACTGATCAGTTTAAAAATGCGATACAAAGATGATTACGACTAAGGAAATTAACACGATGTTCTTTATTTATTTCTCTTTTTACCTGAGAGAATCGAGTCAATAAATACTATCAAGCAATCAGCAAATTAGTTGATAAAATGAGAGAAACTGACTTTTGAACTTTAATGATACGGAACCCGTTATTAAGTAACGTTAATGTCGGCTCACGGAAAAAATAGACCGAAATAAACAATAAGTTTGCCAGAATGCTGTTCAATTTTGCCACTTTTAGAGATTTTTCGGCATTTTTTATTTTTATTTTTGAAGAATTTTGATTAAAAAATATAGAGCAAGAAAGAGTTATTCTGTGTTTTGCAAATACCTGTTTGATTCAGAATACCAAAGAAATACATTTCTTAATAAATGAATTACGATTAAATTTTGAATTTATGCAACATTAAAGATTAATTTTAGATGAATAGGTTGTAAACCACTTAATTTTCAATCGATTAACTTGATAGTATTTTGCTTGGTAATAGAATTCCTCTGATTTATATAAAATAAATAAATGAAAAAAATATTTATTGTCGAAATTTCGTTTTGAAAAAAGAAAGCGGGTACATTTCTTCAAAAAGCATATCTGTCAAAATCGTCAATCTTTACAAAGGCACGTCGTCTTGTTTTTTTTTCTTCTTTGGTGAATGCATTGCTTCTTTATTTTTTATATCCACGGATGAAGTTAAAAGCAGAAACTTGTAGCCCAGGCTGCATCCCTTATTGCGACATGAAGATTTGATACCAATTTAAATTTTATAACTGTTTAATATCATTTCTTTCTCAGCTTTTTTTTAAAACGTGATCTTTCTGAAGTTTTTTTTCACAAAGTATAAACATTGAACCACTTTCGATCTTCCTCGTTGTACTAGAGCGTTCGCCTCACAATGAGGTTCGTATCCCAGCCATGGCAGGTTGGTATGAATTTCGCTCCCGGCTCGCACTTGCCTCAGCGCTGACGTAAAATGTCCTCAGTCGTTTACGGATCATGGGTTAAAATAACCTTACCGTCAGACTAATCGTGGAATATTTTTATTGTTTCCCTTTTCATGTAACGCAAATGCATAGTTTCATCAACAAGTCCTCCACAAAGGCTAGTTTGTTCCAATGCTCGATCCAGGATTTCTCTTGTTTTCTGGATTAGGTTCAAAGTTACAGAACTACGGAGTTAAATATTGATAGTCGCAACTGCAGAATTGAGTCGGCTTTTCAACACCAAGCAATATAACAAACATTCGCCGTCTGTTTAGCTCCACGCTAAACAAGTGATTCACGTACATTTTTTATTTACATCCACTCTATCTTTTCGCTAAGCGAAGTATATGACTGATTGCGGAAAACTCTTGATTCCGGCCTATCAAGATTACCCCAATTAACCCCTTAACGATCTGTTAATTTTAAAGAAAACGGTCATAAAAGTGCCTTATTTTTTTAGCTTTTGAGTGCTGCTACTAGTTTAAAATAAACTAACTATCTACAATTACTTTAAAAATATCCTGGTACTGCCATCTGGTGTGTAAAATGCGAAATAAAATGTGTTCTAAGCAAAAGAAATGAATTAGTTTTATTCTTATTGGCGGGTTACTACTGAGCACTCCAGCCCGTCAATATCACGGGAGCGAGAAATAGAGGGCGAAGCCTCGCCCCGTCATTTTCACGGGAGCGAAAAGGAAAGGATTAATCTGCAGATTAATTCGGTTATGTGCATATTAACGAGTTTCGAGCTTTAGCGGTAACAGAGAAGTGTGGGGTTACTCTTACTAAATTTTAGGTAGCGTTAGCAATCCTATATCTAACTTAATTTGAGAGTTTCAAAATTCGGTTAGTTAAAAGTAGAAATTTATTTAAAAGACACAAAATTTTTTTTTCTCGTAAACTGATGGAGAGGAACGGATTTTCGCTTTTATGAGGTTCTGGTAGTTAGGGGATGTTTTTAATTAATGATGTTTTTAGTTGGTGAAAAAAAATTCGCAAAATATGCTTCTAAGGTTTTTATGAATTTGCATAATAAATGTCATCTCATTTGTTTTATATGAAGCCCTAAAATTGTAACGAGACTTTGTGTACACATTATAAAACACTTCAAGTAATAAATATTTAATTAATGATATTTAATTTAAGTTCACCTTATGTACTTGTGCTAGCGAGCAGTCTGAGAAGAGTGTGAAATACAGACATCATGTATACACCATTTTCGTGAAGTGGCCTTTTTTATTTAAATATGAATATGTCTAATTTTCCCGTCATCGTTTTGCTTTTAGTCTGATTAGCTAACGACGGTTTACTTATTGAGTTCCTTCTTTCTTCAGATTCTACTCCTGTGAGTTCTGCGAGTTACTCAACTACTGATTTGCTAAGTGAGGGTTCCTTCGGTTCTCATCAATTGAAAGATATGCTGAAGCCACAAGGAGGCAATGAGGTTTGCTAACTTCCATATATTTAGTACATTTTATTTAACTTACTCATACAGCTAAGTAATTTGAAATGCTTACTGGGCAGGCGATTTAAATCAGCATAGTTATTTAATTCAGCGGGATTTTCCTTTTCGCCAATGGAAACTTAAAAGATTAATCTTCTTTCGGCGGAAACCCAACATTAGATAATACAATTACAATTGGAGTCGTGATAGCTCAGGGGATAGAGCACTCGCCTTCCAATGAGGTGAACCTGGTTCGAATCCCAGGGATGGCTGGTCGATACAAATTCCTCATCCGGCTCGCACACGGAAAATGCTGGGTTAGACACCATCATCAGTAGCTTGACAGTCCTGGGTGGACCCTGGCTTACTCAAGAAGACTGCACCAGTCCTTTCTTCTGCGTGCCACGGCTTTCCAGTCTCTGACCTTGTTTGTGGTAAAGTCCCTTTGGAGGCAATCCGTCCCTCTCAGTCGGGGTCTGCCTCTCTTTCTAACTCCAGTTGGCCTTGCCAAAAAGATTCTTCTAGTTGTTCTGTCATCGTTCATTCTTATAATGTGTCCGGCCCATTTCATGCACTGGATCTTATGGTACTTCAGAATTTCCGGTTCTCTGAATATCCTGTAGAGTTCAGAGTTAGTTCTCCTTCTCCACACTCCCTTGTCACACACACCACCACAAATGGATCGGAGTATCTTCCTCTCGAAAGCAGCGATGGTCCTCTCATCAGCCTAGGACAAGGTCCAGGTTTCAGATCCGTAAGTGAGAACTGATCTTATTAGGCTTTTATATATTAGCAACTTGGTGTCTCTTTTAATGTTGTCAGATTTAAGGAATTTTCTTATGCCATAAAAGCACTTGTTGGCTGCAGTTACTCTCTTCCTTACTTCTGTGGAAATAGAGTTGTCGGAGTTGATTTCAGAGCAAAGAGTTCACCTTTTCAAATTTATACTCTCCAATCTCGATGTGCGTGGAGGTATCGGTACAGTTGATACATTGCATATACTTTGTCTTACTCTGATTAATTGAGAGGTGCATTTTTTGGCCTCTCTTTCCAGGTCTAGGAATGCCTGCTTTAGGTCTTTAGGGGCTCTCGCTATGATATCAATATCATCAGCACAGGCCATAATTTGAACAGATTTTGAGAAAATAGCTCCTGTAGTGTTAATTCCTGAATCTCTTACTACTTTCTCAAGAGCAAGATTAAAAAGAAGTCATGCTAATGCGTCGCCCTGTCTTATGCCATTTTTTATTTCAACAGGTTCAGATAAATTTCCCTGTATTTTGATTCTCAATTTGGTGCCATTTAATGTAAAGGATATTAGTTTCACAAGTTTTTTGGGTTAGACACCCCTTGTCATCAAGCTAGCCGTGGGAGGTTTTCGAGGTTTTCCTTTCTATGTAATACAAATGCGGGTTAGTTCCATCAAAAAAGTCTTCCTTGAAGGCAAATTTCTCTCAATACTTGATCCAAGAATTCTTCGGAGTTGAACATTAGTAGTCATAAACCCAAAAATTAGATCTGCTCTTCAACGACGGTTGTAAAATAAAATAAAAAATACAATTGGTAAAGTATTTACAAATTAATTATTGGGATTAAATTCAAGCAAAAATCGAATAAGGGTTTGTGCTTACTAGTACAGTCAAATTAGAGTTTATGGAAGACATTCAAAATAATCGCAATCAATTGGAATTTTTTTATGGCATTCCTATTGATTTATTAGAATTTGTTTATGTCTCTTGATGCCGTACATACAAATTCCACAAAATTCCGTAACGGAATTTGGTGAGAGGAGTTAAAAAGGGGGAGATACTTAAATACTAATGATAAGACAAATGAGGTATTTTTTTACGCTGAATAAAATAAAACCCAACTCCAGGCAATGGGGAAAGTTAATAAGGTTTTCATGTACAAAATGTACTTTAACCTGTTACGCATCTGACATTGCTATCTAGACAAGGAAAAAAATGTTAATAATGTATTTTTTGCGCTGAATATTCTAACGCTATGTCGAATGAAACTAAGTACGAGTCAGTAGAACAGATAGTTTAGTTTTAAGTTTTATTTTATTTTTTATTCTTTGCTTAAAGAACACTATTTTGAAATAAACTTTGCATGAATAAAACCAGCATTTTTTTATAGTATTTGTCCAGCCGATTTAGGGTTTATCTCATTCAAATGAGACACAAAATGAGAGAAAAGATTATTTTTTTCTTTTTTTGATGTAGGATTATTTGGGATTCCCATAAACAAATCCCAATGTGCACTAATTAACTTGTTATAATAAATTTTATCCCAAAACAAACAGCTTTAATTTAAAAAAGAATGGAAAATGAAAAAGAAATAATTAAATAAAGTAAGGAAAAATTAGTTTTTCTTCAAGATATTTCCCTTAGAAGTTAAAAATTATTACTTTTTACCATTTACTTTAAAAAAAAAATTGTTTTTTACACATTTTAATCAAAACTTTAATACTGTTATTTTTTATTCTTTGTTTAAAGAACACTATTTTGAAATAAACTTTGCATGAATGAAACCAGCATTTTTTTATAGTATTTGTCCAGCCGATTTAGGATCTATCTCATTCAAATGAGACACAAAATGAGAGACTCCCATAGCTTGAGTGTTTTGTTGATTGTAAGAAAATGCAATATGGCTGGATGCTTTTTCAAAATGGCGGGAAATTGTCAACAAAATTTCGCAGGATTTTTATATGATACTAACTGGCATCCTTGTAAACAAGTCCCAATGTGTAATGGCTTGCTAATAATAAGTTTTATTTCCAAACGAATAGCTTTTTCCAAAAAAGAAAGATAATAATTTGGAAAAAAAGAATTAAAATTTTTCTTCTGAATATTTCTCCTTAAATTTGTAAACCCAAACTTTTTATTATTTACTTAAAAGTCATTATTTTATACACATTTGTAACAGAACTATACTACAGTACAGAACCCGTTATCTGGAAATCAGAAAACCGGAAAACCAAAAAACCGGAACGAAATTCGATAAATTTTCCCGCCATTTTTAAAAAAAAAAAATTTTTTTTCCTCATAAGATTTTACGATTTTTCCTTCTTTTTTGAAAGATGTTTACCTTACCATCATTTTGGAAATAATCATTAGTGTATNGGAAAATGGCCGTCCGCGCGGACGTCGGATTCGAGAAATTCGTTGTCCGCAGGGAATTTTTGACCGCCGAGGACGGGCGGTTTTTCGAGCCCTGGAATGCATACGTTTGGTAAATTTTGCGCTTACTTTGACTATACTACACATGCAACAAAATTTACGCTTGAATTTATTTTATACGATTTTGTAACTACTTGAAGTAATTTTATCCGAAATTTATCTCGTATTACTAACTTGACATTTTTCAAGAGTTATTTTTGAATAATTTTCTTTTTTCTTTTTTGCAATTCAGAAAGATCGAATAAAAGGAGTTTTTTTTTTGGTTCTTGCATAAGCGTTGCACATATCCCACGCCTTCATGTTTACTTTCATAACATTTGAAAGTAGTTAAATCTCAAGTTTTAAGATTTGGACTTTCTGTCTTTTAACTAGTTTATGGAAATGAGTTATTATGAAATTTGACAAATAAAAGTACATTACAAAAGAACATTACAAAGGAGAGAATCAAGCATTTCGAATGTATTTCCCCCGAATATTTCACTATTAAGCTTACATGTTATTTATCAGTGACGTTCGTTTCAATTAGATTTTTCAAAGCGGCTGATTTTACTAACCGACATATCAATAATCAGATAAAAGGTAGTTTCAAAGTTAAATTTTTCAAATACACTAAGAGATACTTACAGATACTAAAAAATTGAATTTTATAAATACACACACCTCATTTTAACTTTTATTATTTACACTTGACATTTTTTTTAAACATTCACAGTAGGATTTCAAAATATTAGCGTATTTCGATTAGCAGCATTCGATTAGAAGAATTTCGATAGATTGTTCGATTAGCAGAAACTTAAATTTCAAATTAAGCATGGTTCGAAAGTTTATAAAAGTTTTTATAACTTGCAGTATTGCATGGAATGTCAAAGATAAGTTCGAATACATTTCGAATTAATCATCGATATTCAAATCTTTCCGTTCAAGCATGCAGTCACTCCCAAATTAAAATTAAACCGTACCCTCAACTACTAGATCATACTAACATCGTACTAGAGCATGAAAAGAAACTAATTCAAAATAAAGAATCGTAAACAGAAACTAATTTATTGATATGCTGGCTCAACTTTTCTATTTTTAATGAAATAATTAACTGAATAGATAGTTTTTTTTTTCCTGAAATGGTTTTTATCTCATTGAGGCTTTCATTCGTTAATTTACTTTTGAATTCTTTTTCAATTCTTCAGTAGTTACTTTATTTTTTTCAACTCCGTGGGTTAATGAATAAGTAATGATCATTGACATTGAATGACGATGAAGCATTCAATAACTTTTCTTACTTGATTAGCAGTTTTCTTTTGAATTCTTTTACAATTTTCCTCGTTGTTTCCTTTTCAGCTCTAACACTGCAATTTCACCCCAAAAAATAATTTATGCTTATAACTTTGCTTCTTCTATTCATGAATGGCAAACTGGAGTTTATTATCTATATGTTACATTTCTTTCAGAACTTGGGAAGAAAGAAAATTCAAAATTTTAGGAGAAAAAAAAAAGATTTTTTTTTTCTCATTTTAAAACATCATTTGAAACTTTTTTCTCATTTTGATTTTGACTTTATAAAACGATGGTAACTATTTTATTAAAGTACGGTATGTTTTGATGTTGCAACTATTCTGTTCGTACAGACTTGATTTTAAAAAAATGGTTAATTTTATAATCCAGTAATTTTATTAGTGGCAGTTACTATATTCTGTAAATTTGTAAAAGAATTCCCCTAACGGGATCACATGATACACTAGTATATTTTTTCCCTGATAGCAACAACATTATAATGTATTATTTCACAATGTCTCAAAATACCAATAGTCACATTACCTAGAAATATTCTATAAATGAATAATTTGCAAGAACACGTGTTGGATTGCATTTTGGTGAACTTGAGAAAAATCAGTTTTAAAATGTATACAAACATAAGGAGATTGTTTATAGAGCATCTCTTTTCCACTGACTTCTATTTATTTAATAGAATGAATCAATATTTTACTAGTACAGCAGCTTAGAACATGGTAATTATTAGTTATTTAAATGTCCCTAAATGTATTCATTTATCGTCAAGTTTAGAATAACAAAGTCAAATAATTAAGCTGATGCTTGCTTTTATTAGCCAAAACTGGAGAATGAATATTTAGAGATCATTCCCAATGAAGTCATTTTATTCAATATTCCAAAATACATTTAAAACGCGTCGTGATTTTCAAACGCTACCTTGAAACTATACACGAAAGCTTAATTTCCATGGCTACAGATGCTCTTAAAAACGAAATAAAGGTTTCGTGAATTGATTAAAATAATAGTTGTTGCCTGCTGAAACACTGTGCGATTCAAGCACAAAGGAAGGGAAATACAGTTACGAATAAAGAAATAAATCAGGTTATTACACTAGGGAGCAAATTTGTGTTGTATTTATACAAATACTTGATCTTAAGATAGCGTGTGGGGATTTCTAGAGAGCCTAGACTCTCTAGGGATTTCAAATTAGTTTTGCTCTTAAGGCTACAGGTTTTTTTAAAAAATCGTATTACAGTGATACGAGAGTATCTAAGATCTATTAAAAAATCTCAGTAGCAGAAAAATAAATAAAAGAAAAACTTACTTGTGTTATGAATAGCAAACGATGATCATTATTAAAAATCATTTATTTTGATAAATATGATAAATAATGTATATAAATTAATCATATTAGCAATTTACTATCTTTATTTGCCAAAAACAAATTGTAACTGGTAATCGATAGATACCAACAAAAGGAGCCAAAAAATAAAACAACTCAAGGAGCAATTTTAACCCACAATTCAAAAAGTACTCTTTCTGTTTTTCTTTGTGACGCTTATAACTCCGTAACGGTTTGTGTTAAAATTCTGAAATTCGAACTGTGAGCTCAAGGAGCAATTTTAACCCTCAATTCTAAAAATATTCTTTCTGTTTTTCTTTGTGACGCTTATAACTCCGTAACGGTTTGTGTTAAAATTCAAAAATTCGAGCTGTGAGCTCAAGGAGCAATTTTAACCCTCAATTCTAAACATAGTAAAAAAATTCCAATCGGATGGAATGTGCTCAAAACAAATTTTTCTTTTAATGTTATCATTACCCTTTGTTGCAATTTAAAGTTCAGACGCGTTTTCTTTTCAATTATTTTAAAGAGAACATCAATGCTAGCTTACAGCTCTCTTTAGTACGAAATGATTTTCAACTGGGAGTTTATTGCATATTGTTTATTAATTATGTACCGTAGATCATTTTTTTTGTCACATAGGTGTGAAAAAGATGAGAATGAATGGAATGCAGAGGCGGCGACTTACTATTTCGAAAGTTATCTAAAACTAAAACCTCCTCTCTTATAGTTACGCCTTTGAAACGCGTTTCTATAAATCTTAATCACGTAAAGTGATTTTGTTGCTGCCGTTGGCCATTAAGGCATGGGGTGCGATTGTTATTGTCTTCCAGTAGCACCATCGGTAGCCAAGATTTCGGCTTCTTGCACATCCTAACGTCTCCAATTCAGTACCTCCAGAGGTATAATTTGTTATGGGAGCATGGAGGACTTTGTGACCCGACAGATTTAACGTGCACCAGTCAGCATTTCCTACACGGAGAGTCCTCGGCCGGCTGGATTGCGTTAAGTCATCAGTAATTGAACTAAGAAAAAATTAAGTTACATATTTGAATAATACGCCACTTTTTAGCGCATGCGCCACTAAGACGGCGCATGCGCCGGTCAGAATGAGGAAGAAACGTTAATGCTCTACTCTCAGCACTGGCACAGTACTAAAATTTATTTACGAGTTTCAGAATTTTTTTTTAAATTTTTTTTTCTCGTCGTTGGTTCAGATTAAAAATATCAATAATCGGTGAAATTAGATAGGCATAAACACTTTTGTTTGTATTTCAGTTGTGGTTGAGACTTGTGCTGGCCTCCTCTTTCGTGGTCTTTTCCCTTCTCATTGGAGCGGGGATTTTCTTGTGGAGAAGGCGGAGACGAAGAAGGAATTCTTTAAGAAAATCTATGCAACAATACATCACCAATCCTAATTACTATTCCACGTGCATTAAAAACATTGAGATATCACCAGAGAACGTAACACTTGTAGAAGAAATCGGCGAGGGATTTTTCAGCAAAGTATACAAAGGTATTCAACTCTTTCTCTACAACTCAATTCCATTGGTAAAATTTGTCTGTCCACCATTCGATCTGTTCACCAAGTTATCAGTTATATTCTGAAATCACCTGGCAGACGGTTTTTTTCTCCACTATTATAGGAAATTCTCACGTTACCAAACAGCTGTATTTAAAATTTAACAAAAAAAATTATTGCTTTGATATGACCCTTTTCTGCATTGCGGCTTGCGAATATTTAATAAAACAAAAAATCTCAACTTTTAATGCCGCTTCTATGCAAATTATACAGTGTCATTCAAAAACGCTTCTTCTAGGTGAAAGCTAAAAAGTGAAATTTAAATATTCAGATTTTTGTCTGATTTATAAAGTGTATTAGTTGATTCCTTACAATATTATATACATCGTTTTACATATTTAAAATATAAAAGACTTGGCTTGAGCTGCACTTGCCTCGAGTGATTGGGAAAATACCACCTCGGTTCAAAGTTCACTAGGGTTAATTTTCATCATAAGTGTTTGTGCATTAATGTATTCTTTCAAAAAATATGTTCGTGTTTGAGTTGAAGCGATGAGCGCATGTATGTAAGTGACATTTTAGCGAATTTAAGTAAATAAGCTTTGAATTTTAAACGTTGCTCACTGTCTGTTGAGAGAAAAAAAAAGAGATTATGCTTTAATTTTATTCTCCTGGTTTTCTATTAACGAAATCTATGCTTCATTCCCCATACTTATTTGTACTGTTTGGGTTATTAGCCTTTAATATTCTGCCTAAAGACAGGTTTTCTAAGATTGCCGTTGACCGTTTGCCACCAAATTCTCTTGAAAATAAATGCGCATTTTTATAGGCTTAGCATAAAAATGTTTCCCTGTGAAAAAGTTTGTTTAATTCCTTCTGAGGTAAAGACTTACTTAGACATTTGATATGGACCTGAATTTCTGAATACAAATTAAATTCTAATTGTTCTTAATCACAATATAAATGAAACTAAGAGTTCATACTGCTTTAAAATATACAAAGAGCCATTACAATATGACCACCTTCCATCTATAACAATGGGCTCGCCCAGGTTTTCATGGTTTCTCGAGGAACAATGTTTTCATGGGGCACATTAGGACCCATAATCCTCATAAAACAATCCTCGACGTCTGTAAGCTACTTGATCATAGTTACAGACCAGGTTCACCCATTCATGGGAAAAGTTTTTCCTGCTGGGGATGGTGCTTACCAACAGGATAAAGCACCATGCCATAAGGGTCGAATCGTCGAGTAACATTCCAGTGACTTTCAAATCATGTCTTGGCCCCCAAATTCACCTGACCTTAATCCAATAGAGCATTCGTGGTCCTACTTGGAAAACCAAATTCGCGCTGCCACGCTACCCTCTCACAATGTGAAGGAATTGCAGGACCAGTTGGTGAGCGCTTGGTACCAGATACCTCAGACTACCTATCAGCACCTTGTGGAATCAATGCCACGGCGGGTGCTAGCAGTCTTGAGGGCTAAAGGTGGTCCTACATGTTATCAGGGTGGTCATAATGTAATGGCTCTTCGATGTAAGTTAAGTTTTATATTTGCAGTAAACATAAAGGTTTTTGTACTCTAAATTGATCATTGATTTTTCAATAAGAAAGTAAGTAAAGCTTACTTGAAGTACCCAATAAATTTAAATCAGTAATTGCTATTAAATTAATGTATTGTAGAGCAATAGGGAGGGTTATATTTTAAATAAGATACATAACCTGAAGAATAAAAGTGAAAAGCAAGCTCGGATCTCACGATCAAGTTGAAAAAGAATTAAGACAGCAACTTCAGGTTGATTCAGTATCAAAACTCTAATAAAATTGTATTATTTAAATTAAAATAAACGCTTTAACTTTTGGATCTGAGTGTTTCACTACACTAAAAATGTTCTTTTACACAATTGCAAAGTAAAATCTACGCTGTAAAACCGTTCTGATTTTAATGTTAAAAAACACTGAGTTATTTTAAGTTAAATAGTTTGTTTTAAAATTAAGAATGATTTTTGTTTTAGTTTCTAAGTAACTTTTACTTCTTCTTTTTAAATATCTTTTGTTTTTACAGAGGTTTTTTATTACGACGTGGAAATTAAAATGGTTTTTATAACACTCTAATTCTTTTTTTTTTTTTTTTTTTNTTTTTTTTTTTTTTTTTTTTTTTTTTTTTTTTTTTTTTTTTTTTTGAAAGTACAAAAAAATTGGAAAAGCGAGATGTTTAGCTTTAAACTTTTCTTTCAAAAATGAATATCGCTTTTTATTTTCTTCTGTTTCGCTTCTGTACAAAATCCTTTTTTTGTAGAAGTTTTTATGATAGCTCGCGGCATTTTTAAAGCTGTTTCTGATGGACTAAATCTCTGTAAGGGTTTTATAGATGCATTTTCCCGGAAAATAAAATTTTTACCTTTGATGTTTTATTTGAAGAGGATATATATATATTTTTTTTATATTCCTCTATTCTTTTTTTCAACTTAACAATTTTTTTCATTATCTTTTCGTCAGTGTTTTATTTATCTTAATTATTTTTATTACCTGAAATATTTCTGTAATAAATTTTTTCTCTCTCCTTACCCCTACCACTAATAAAGCTAAGTTTTGATTATTTTTCAATAATGACTGAACTTATTCATATATAAAAAATATTTATCAATGTTTATTACTTTTTTAATTTATTAATATTTATTACTTTTTTTATTTATTAATATTTATTACTTTTCGGCCTATTATTATTATTTTTATTTTTTTTTGGTTGCCGAATATTTGGTATTTGGCTAAATATTCAACCGGTATATTCGAAAAATCACTATCCATTGCATCCTTAATCACAATAGCAATAGTGTCTATTTGCCGCGATGAATCATGCATCACTAAAAAATTTGATGATTATCATCTTAAATTTGGTGATTTAGCTAACCGTTACAAATTGAAGAGACAGATATATTATTTAAATCTCCTGTTGCAGGTCTCTATAACACAGGATCTGGAGAAACTGTGGCGGTTGCGGTGAAAACGCTGAAAGAGGGTCACGAAGCAGATTTCGACCAAGAAGTGAGCATCATGTCAACATTCAACCACCAGAACATCCTACAGTTGATGGGAGTCGTCATCAAAGGTGAGTTCTCATTAATTTTAATTCCTCAAGATTTTTTTTCTTTTAATATTTTTAGAATCAGTGGCGTACACAAACGATATTTCAAATAGAGAAGTTTTTTTTTTCTTCCTTCTCGCTCCCGTGAAAATGGCGGGGTGATGTTTCGCCCGCTATTTCTCGCTCCCGTGATATTTCCTGGCTGGAGTGTTCAGTAGTTAAGCTCCAATAAGAATAAAACTAAATCATTTCTTGCCCGGAAAACATTTTATTTCTATTTTTACACACCAGATGGCAGTATCAGGATATTTTTAAGGTACTTATAGATAGTTAGTTTATTTTGAACTAGATGTCAGCACTAATCAATTTTCAGGGATAAAAAAAATTGGCACTTTTATGACAGTTTTCTTGAAAATTAACCGATCGTTTAGGGGTTAAATAAGTAGAATAAAATATTAAATAGGATTTTTTTTTTTAAATTAGGAAGAAAGTTCAATTCATAAGATGAATTTTTAATAACTCTAGGTTCTTACTTGGAATACAATACAGTATTTATTTCATTGTACTTGTAAAAGAGATTTATCTTTCACCATTCAGTTTTTAATGAAAATTCGTATTTTAGAGAGTTACACATCACCATGGATGGTATTTGAATTTATGCAATACGGTGATTTGGCACAACTTTTACGAAGCAGCTGTAGAACAAATCCTCAACCAGCGATCGAATTAAATCAGGTATTCTATTCTAGTGTGATTTAATTTATTTATGTAAGTCTGTATCTTTTTGCTATTTATTGCTTTAAAATGAATTCGAACAACAAAATTATTGACATAATATAAAAAGTTTTGCAATAAAACTAAATATGTTTTATTCTGAATTTATTTAAGAATATTTACTAATTCAGAAAGAAAAAGAGTTATGCGAAGTCTCTAAAAATAGAATTTGATGCAACTTTCTGTTATAATAAAAATTATATTATCGAAATAAAAAATCATAACATTTTAATAGTATCAGGACTTTAAAATACGAATGCATGTGAAGAAAACGAGAGGATATGAATAAGACAATAGAAGCAAGAGAATTTATTTCTTAAACTAGTCGAATTTATTCATTTTTTATTTATGTTTTCTTAAGTAAGTCGTGAAGTATGAAATATGGCTTGACGTATATTTAATACGGAATAATAAGTGATTTTTTATATTTGGATTTATTATTTACAAATTTACAGAATTACGATTATATACGAGTAATTCATTAACATCACCAGAGTAATTCTTGTGTTAATTCTTTGGGAGCCAGGATAGCCTGGTTGGAAGGACGTTGGGCCCGTGTCCAAGAAGTCGTGAGTTCGATCCCCTCCGGCCGAAGAATTTCCGTGTAGTAGATTGTGACTGGGGTACGTTAATTCTGCCAGGTCAAAAAGTTCTCTAAGTTCCCATAACAAATCAATACCTCTGGGGGTACTGAATTAGAAATTGATCGTTCTCTGGTTCAGATCAAAATTAAGTTCTGTGGATGTATGAATGGGTCCGCCTTTTAAAACGAGTTGTGACGTGTGTGTGACTGAAGTCGCACTTTTGGCCATAAATGGCGCCACGGAAAAAAATAAGAAACGCACACTCTGCCTTAAAAATTCGCTTGATTTCAAGCAGGCTTGCAAGCATTGGCAAATGGCGTAAGTAATAACAAAAAAATGAGTTTTTTTATTACTTCAGAGCGCAATGTTACAAAAATAACATTGCTCTGCAATGTTTCTCTTTTTAATCTCATTAAAATAAAAGAAGAAAAATTTACTAAAATTTACTGCTGCTTAAAAAATAATTCAAATAGGAGATTAAATAAGGTTTTTTCACTTTATAAACACTTATATTTTTTATTATTTTGGGTCCTCCCTGTAAAACAGTCCGTAGCGTGTGTGTGGCTGAAATCGTATTCTTCTATGAAATATATAAGTAGCGTAAAGGGTGTAAAGCTTTATGTTCTCTCTCTGTTTTTTATTATTAGGAAACAACAGATAAAATAATGTTTTTATATGGAATAGTTGGTTAAGGGTCTTGTACTGGCATGGAAATATAGCATTTTCCGGTAGCCTCCGGCACGTTCGCGTAAGTGTGTCCTGCACAGCGCAGTTATTACTGAACAATCTTAGTTCTCTGATGTTTGCGCAAAACGGGATGCCGATTGAAAGTGTTGAATCTTTTTTATTTCAAACAAATCCAGCGTATGTCAATGGTTCAGTGTAATTACAGCTGTGATTAATTTGTAATGTGGGCTAGATTTGGTGGAATCACTTAAGGCTAAGCAACACTGTAGATGCCTGTAAAAAAGAAGACTTTTTAATGAAGTTTCCAACGATTGTGATTTAAAAAAATTTATATGTATATTTTAATCTTCATTTTTATCATGTTACAATTACAAAAAATTTTTTAAATTTAGCGCTTTAATAATACAATGTTGATAACTTATTTTTTAAATTATCCATAGCTTGCAGTATTCGAAATTTGAAAAAGAATCATCCAAATCATCCACTCTAATTTATTTTTTAACTACGTGAATGTATTTTTCATTGGACGTAGGTGTTTTAAACAATCATTTCCTTCTCACAAAATGGTAGTGTTTTGAAAAAATGGCATAAAATATGTTAAATTTTTTTTGTGGATTGCTCATAATCAGTCAACCCAATCGAAAACGTACAACTCAATCGATTGACGCACAACGAAAACTGTATTTATTATGTACTATTGTGTCGAAATTTGAAGTAACATCGTTTCGTGTAAATAAAATTTTTAAGCTTTGTGATCAATAATCCATATAAATATATAAAATTTTGCAACTATCTATAATGCATCTGTACTAGATTCATAAGATGCTTCCTTCTTCTCCAGCAATTTCAGCAGTCTCAAGTGCAAGTCAGGCCCTTTTTCTAGTCGATCTATCCTCATGTGACACCTCATGTGTTCTTAGAGTAGGATCCGAAATTCTGCCGTCATCTTCATTTTGAGCATGTCCTTTGGCTTCTGGGCCTACATTTATTTCTAACCATTCCAAATAAACTTTTGTAACCTACATTACAAAGCTAGATAAGTTGCAACTTTAACTATTTATAGTGAAAGTACCGTTAATTCTTTTCTTCTACAAATTTTTAAACAAGTTTTTATTCAATAAAATAGATAAAACGACAGTATTTTACTTAAATGTTTTGATAGGAGTGAACAAATCTTTTTTTTCTTTTTTAATGGCGGGCATTTGGGGATTGTCCCATTGGCCACAGAAATGCCAGAACTGCTACTCTCTTCTCATTACCCAATGGGCACCTGTTGCGAGTCCATGGCGGTGGAGCAGTGTCGCTCACGTCGCACAACCACAAACCCGTTTATAGGGCGGATCACACGAAGGAGAAAGGACGTAGAACACAGAGAGAGAAAGAAGCATCCATGCCCTGAGCAGGATTCGAACCCGCGGGCAATGGCTCCACAGTCAGACACGCTAACCACTCGACCACCTGTTCGGCTGAACAAATCTATTAATCAACTGAGCGCACACATTCACTCAGTCGCATTCATTCAAACATATCACAGCTCTCGACCTATAATGTTGTAATTTTTTTATTTTTACGAAACTCAATTCAATATTTTGGTATAATAATATTAAAAGGTAATAATATTAACTATCGAAAAAATTCAATAGTTTTTTTCCTTCATTTTTTGAAAATTCTACTGTATTGATCCCCTACAAAGTTGAAGGAACCATTTAAGTGTTTTACATCATGTTTAAGGCCTGATAGCCTGGTCGGTAGGGCGCTGGACCCATGTCCGAGAGTTCGTGGATTCGAACCCAGCCGGCCGAAGACTCCCCGTGTAGTAAAGTGACTGATGCATGTTAAATCTGTCGAGTCGCAAAAGTCCTCCATGTTCCCATAACAAATCTGGGTACTGGATTGGAGATCAATCGTTCTCTGATTCAGGTCAAAATTACGATCTGTGGATGAATGAATGGATGTATGAATGGGTCCGCCCTATAAACGGGTGTGACGTAAAGTGTGGCAGAAGTCGAACTCTTGACCATAGATGGCGCCACTGAAAAACAAAAACAATCGCACCCCCCCCCCCTGCCTAAACAGGCATACGTCAACAACACAACAACAACATTATGTCCAAATATTAGCCTCCTTTTGAAAAAATTGATTGTCCCGCAGTGGACTGATCGTTAAGACACGGTTCCCAGAAGATCACCGAAGTCAAGCATCACTGGCTGCGGACAGTGTGCGGGTGGGAGACCACTTGGATCAGTCTGAGTAGGGACCGAAAGTGTGCGGTATTGGTCCTGGTTAAACTGTTCTACCGTAAAGTGCTCGACTTTGCGTGCAGGTCGTTGGGCTACCGAAGCGGGGATGCCAACCCCCCTGCAGAGGATCAAAATTGTGATGGCTTGTCTTCGGATCATCCTCAGGGATGTTTCCCAGACCGTCGCCTATAGCCCATTGTGCAGCTCTAGTCAACACCTCCTAGAAAAGAGCAGGCCTCAGCACGGGTTGCCATAAATATCCTTTAGTAGTCCAAACGTAATGACATATTTCGTATTTTCAACCACTGCGCAGCTTAGTACCCCGAACGTAATGACATCTTTCTTATTTTTCATCTACTGCGCAGTTAACTTCGTCACATCGGACTACTAAATTGATCCGTGCTGAGCCCTTCCTACTTCTAGGAGGGGTTGCTCTAGTGCCACGTAAATTAACGACAACAACAACAAAAATGGATTAATAAGCTGAAAAAGGCGAACAACTCTAAATGAATAGAAGTCAAGATAATTGATGAATGTCTCCCAATAGGTGGATCTCATGTCTCTGTCTGAGCAGATAGCGAGCGGTATGTGCTACTTGTCCTCCCAACACTTCATACACAGAGACTTGGCGACACGAAATTGTCTTGTTGGAGATCAGCTGATAGTCAAAATATCTGATTTCGGCCTCTCCCGGGATATTTACACATCAGACTACTACAGGGTAAGAATATTTTTCTAAGTTTTTCTTTTGTGGTACTAGCTCTATCTTATAGTCTTCGTTGTGGCAACACTTAAATTTTCTTTTGAGAAGCATTCATCCTAATGGCGAACATTCTGTAGTTTGAAGTAATTGACACGTTTGAGATATTATCGCATTTGAGAAATCCATAACATATCTTAGGTGAAGCTTTCGTTAGTGAATAAAATCGCAATAATATCTTTATTAAAATAAAGAAGTGAGGAATAATTCTTTATCTATTTGAAGCTTTTAAATTACGGTAACATTAAATTAACATAGTCATTCAGTCCAGATTTTGCGTTATGAAAACAATTTTTATGTACCTAATTTTAAAGACTAAGAAAAATTTAAGACAAATATATATATATATATATATATATATTTGATATAAACTCGTGCAAAACATGTANACAAGTAAGTTTTGAATTTGAGGAGCTGATTTTGCAAAATGATCTTCATAATCCTGCTTATTGTTTTTCACGCAACTAAAATTAAAGTTAAAACTCCGTCATTGTGACCAAATGGCTGATTCAAAAATGATGAATAGGTGAAATGCAAGAATTATATGATTGTAGAGATTAGTGGAAGATCATAATTTAAGTAGCTTAGCTGAAACAATGGAACTATTTTTTTTAACAGAAAACCATATTATATTCTAAAATCTGAAATATTGAATATTTTTAAAATTCATCTTAACATGTTTTTTTGCAAAGCTCGTAAATTTAATTTCTCGTCAAAAACCTTGACTTGGCCATAAATATCAATTCATTTAAAATATCATGCACAGAACATCTACTAATTAAATATTTATAAGATTATATATATATATATATATATATATATTGCCAAAAATAGTGGTTTATGGCTCCTCCAAAGGAAACAAAATTCTTATTCCGATTTGTTTATGTTAAAAAAAAATTGGATTTTGAATCACTAAAGCTAATTTCAATTGGAGACCTGCATCTGCAAGCTACGTCATCTAAGATGAATTGTGGCATTCACTTATGCTACAAATCAGAAACCAATCAGGCTTGCAAAGCATGCGTGACGTCACTTTCAAGTGTCCAATTAAATTTGATCCGAGAATTGATTCAGTATGATAATGAACTAAGCCTAAATGCTGTAACTCTTAACTCACCAAACACAACTGTGCGATCAGACCCAATCATGTGATTTAAATACTATGGGTTAGATCTGATCTCATATTCTTCTTCTCGAGTAGCAACTACCCAATTACTAATTATATTAAGCCGATGCCAACTATTGATTCGCAATTTACAACTGACGGAATCAGGCAACAGCAGGTGTACTTTTCATCAAGTTATGTTACGCCTAATGTTGATTTCATTGTGTTTTGAAAATTTATTGCGAAAATTGTTAACTGATTGAAAATGTTAGTAAAAAGCCGATCTCAGAAAAAAAGTCACTCTTAGTAGTTAGAATATTTTATTAAAAACTATTAATAATTAAAATTTTTCAAAAAAAAAAAAAGAAGAAAGAGAGTATACAGTTTTTTTACGATGAAAATGCGCAGTTTTTGAGATGCAAACTTTTGAGAAAAAGTAAAATTTCTTTTTTTTCCTCGATATAATTTTCTATTTTATTGCAGTTTCAGTAATTATTTATATTTCAAATGCAAAGATACACTAAATTTGACTAAAGCAAGCTTGAAAAAAAAAATCAAATTAAAACAAAAATATGACTAGATAATTAATAAATTATAGATTTTTAAATAACTAAATATTTTTTCCTGTTTCATTCATAATAATCAATAAAACAGTGTGCAAAAAAACGGACTACCCTGAATAACTTTTGATCTAATGATCGGATCTTCACGTTTTAGGACTCAATCTTAATGGTTCGAGGAAGTGGCCTCAAATATGCCAATTAATTAGTGCTGATCTATATTTAAAATTCGATTTCTCAGAGAATTAAAGAAATCGTATTTTTAAAATACAATTTCTCCGAAACTATTCAACCTATTTCGCACAAATTTTGTATTTTGCCATGTAAAATTATATACTTCAAAATGACGTAAAAGATTGTGTATCTTACAATTCAAAATTTTTTAGACTGTTATTTAATAAAATAATGAAAAATAATTAATATTTACATAAAAAGTATTTTTTACTTGGAATTTCCTTTGTAGAAACGAATTTCATAATTGTGTGGAAAAAAATTTTCAATTGGCGAAAAAGTTTGCGAGATATGGCGAAATACGCAAAAAGTGAAATTGACATTAAAGGGTCCAAATTTTGTATCGCTCTCATGTTTAAACTATGGGGACCATATTTTTCAGATTAAGGTTACCCTTTATATCCTAGGGGTCAGAAATCTAAATCTAATGAAAAAAAGTATGCATATTCAGAGAATGCGCTTTTGTATCTGATTTCGCAGCTTAAAATATCGTCTGCAATGTTTAATTAGCTCATTTGATGTCACCCCCTCGAACCATTAAGAATGAGTCCTTGAACGGGAAGATCTGATCATTAGATCAGAAGTTATTCAGGGTGATCCTTTTTTTATTTCGCGCACTGTACATCTTTAAGACCATTTACGGGCCACAAATATTTTTTAACCCTAAATTTTAATCAGGAAAAGCAATAGAATTGTAAAAATCACCTGCTTGGCTAAAGTGAAGTGATTTGCATTGACTCTATCTTTGATCTGATATCTATATCTAATCATTGGATCAAAAGTTATTTAAGGTGATCCGTTCATTATTATTATTATTATTTTTTGGTGCACTGTACATGAAAAATATGTTGTTTTGAAAAAAATAAAGATGATGAGTTCAAGAACAGTATTTTTATTTATTAATTTCGCAAACGAAAAAAGTTATTCAAACTTTATATTTTACTGAATTTTTCAATCCAGGATATTTCTTATTCATTTGCAAACAAACTATACTGGTGTGCAAAACTTAAGCAACAAGTGCGTTTTTTGTCATAACTCTACAAGAAATCATCCGATTGACATGAAATTTGAATATGATGTACATTATTTTATAAAACGATGGTAAAAGAATAATGGCGCAGAAATGAATATAAAGCTTAAAGTAGGGTATAATAAAATTAGATAANTCCCATAATATGAATCAATGATTTCATACCTTATTACGCTACATTTTAGGATAAAATTATTTGGATGGATGTCTAAGCTTATTAACCGTTTCATAATTATTTATTTTTGTAAAAATTGCATTAACCTTCTGCACTTTAATTAGCTGTTTTAATAATTTTAGATATTTTCTGAAATTCATAAAAAAAATTTGGTCACCCATTACTAAGGTATAAAAAAGTTGAGTTTAAGAGAAGGATTTTACTCAGAAAGGACATCAGAATGCAAAAGGTTAATATGCTATTATAAATTACAGTAAGAGAGATTTGTAAAATGATGTAGAACTAAACGATCAGCTTCCTGCACAATGTGATGCATGCTCAAATGGTATTCAATATATCAGCCTGTTGGGTAAGCGAAATCTTTAGATTATGGTTGTGAATTCACCAAATTCGCTGTAACAATCTACCTTTAACTGTAAACGTTATTTAAAAAAAATGATCTACAAGCGAAATTATTTAGGTTCACTGATATACAGTCGGACCCCTATTTAACGAAGACGCTAAATCCCGATTATAAGTTCGTTATATTGGAAAATTCGCTGCATAGAAATTCCACTTTTGAAATAATGAAGCACTAAACAGATTTTAAATTCATAAACCCTAGACTTAATTAAAATAGCAGATACACTTTTATCTTGTAAACTAGTATTTACCATTTATTTCATAAATTTAAACCATAAAAGAATAATGCGTGGAAAGTAAGAATAAAGCAAAACATTCAGTGTTACACTATCACGCTACATACATTTTCAACTAAAAGAAAGCTGAATTTAAGTGTAAAATTATAGCTGTATTTATTATAAAAGTAATTTTAAACATTCATAACCACATGCGTTCATAAGTTTAATTGCGACTGATAAAAACCGTTAATTTTGTCTGAGTTTTTAGTTTGATATGCAAACAAAAACGGAAAGGGATTTTACTGCTTTCTCTAAAAGTTAAGTGGCTTTTGAAACTTAGTTGGAGGTCATTTCCCCAATAAAATGCGTTAACAAGTTTGAAATGCTCTGAAATATTTTGGGAAATAAGTGGATCTCAAAGAAAAGTTCGTTAAATACAAAATTCACTTTGCTATTTGGAAGTTATATTACGAAGAAATTTCCAAAAAGTTCTTGGTTCCTCGAAAAAAAAAAATCGCAAAATAGAGAAATTCGCTAAATGGAAGTTCGTTAAGTTGAAGTTCGACTGTATATATATATATTACCAAAAATAGTGGTTGTGGTTTATGGTTCTTCCAAATGAAACAAAATACGTATTCCTATTTGCTTATTTAAAAAAAAAAAAACTGGATTTTATATCACGAAAGTTAATTTCAATTGGAGACCTGCAAGCTACGTCATCGAAGGTGAATTGTGGCATTCATAATTTATGCTTCAAATCAGAAACCAATCAGGTTTGCAAAACACGAGTGACGTCACTTTCAAGTATCCAATTACATTTGATCCGAAAATTGATTTAGTATGATAACTAAACAAGCCTAAATACTGTAACGTTAACTTACCAAACACAACTAGTACGTTACCCAACCATGTGATTTAAATGCTATGGGTTAGATCTGATCTCGTATTCTTCTTCTCGAATAGCAACTACCCGATTACTAATTATACCAAGCTGATGCCAACTATTGATTCGCAATTTACAACTGACGGAATTAGACAACAGCAGGTGTACTTTTCATCAAGTTATATTACGCCTAATGTCGATTTCATTGTGTTTTGAAAATTTATTGCGAAAATTGTTAACTGGTTGAAAAAGTTAGTGAAAAGCCTATCTCAGAAAAAAAACCTCAGTCACTCTTAGTAGTTAAAATATTTTATCAAAAACTATTAATAATTAAAATTTCTCAAAAAAAAAACAAAAAAAAAAGAAGAATAAAGAGAGTATACAGGTTTTTTTATGATGAAAATATGCAGTTTTTGTGATGCTAACTTTTGTGAAAAAGTAAAATGTCTTTTTTTTTTCTTCTCGATATTACTTTATATTTTATTGTAGTTTCTGTAATTATGTATATTTCAAATGCAAAGATACATTTCATACAAGACAAAAGCAAGCTTGAAAAAAAAATTAAAACACAAATATGGCTAGATAATTTATAAATTATTGGTTTTTAAATAACTAAATAATTTTTCTTGTTTCATTCATAAGAATCGATAACACACAGTGCGATAAAACACACACAAAAAAAACGGACTACTCTGAATAACTTTTGATCTAATGATCAAATCTTCACGCTTTAGGACTCAAATTTAATGGTTCAAGGAAGTGGCCACAAATATGCTAATTAAATAGTGCAGTGGTACATTTAAAATATGATTTCTCAGAGAATTAAAGAAATCGTATTTTTAAAATTCGATTTCTCAGAAAGTATTCAACCTATTTTGCCATGTAAAATTGCATACTTTAAAATGACGTAAAAATTGTGTATCATACAATTCAAAATTTTTCAGATTGTTATTTAATAAATCGGAAGTCGTCATGGAGAAATCTTCAGAGGAAGGCATTGGCTCACATTGGGCTGTCTGGCCCACAATGATGATTAATAAAATAATAAGAGATAATAAATATTTGCAAAAAATTATTTTTAAATGCAATTTCCTTTGTAGAAAGGAATTTCATAATTGTATGCAAAAAAAATTTCAATTCGCTTAAAAGTTCACGAGATATGGCGAAATACACAAAAAGTGAAATTGACATTAAGGGGTCCAAACTTTGGATCGCTCTCCGGTTCAAATTATGGGGACCATATTTTCCAGATTGCGGCTACCCTTTATATCTTAGGAGTCAGAAATCTGAATCTAATGAAGAAAGAAAGTATGTTTATTCAGAGAATGCGCCTTTGTGTCTGATTTCGCTACTTAAAATATCGTCTGCAATAATTAATTAGCTCATTTGAATACACGTCCTCAAACCATTAAGAATGAGTCCTTGAAGGGGAAGATCTGATCATTAGATCAAAAGTTATTCAGGGTGATCCTTTTTTTATTTCGCGCACTGTACATCTTTAAAACCATTTACGGGCCACAAATATTTTTTAACCCTAAATTTTAATCAGGAAAAGCAACAGAATTGTAAAAATCGCCTGCTTGGCTAAAGTGAAGTGATTTGCATTGACTCTATCTTTGATCTGATATCTATATCTGATCATTAGATCAAAAGTTATTTAAGTGATCCGTTCATTATTATTTTTTTTTGGTGCACTGTACATGAAAAATATATTGTTGTGAAAAAAATAAAGATGATGCCTCCAAGAATAGTATTTTTATTAATTAATTTCGCAAACGAAAAAAGTTATTTAAACTTTATATTTTACTGAATTCCTCTATCCAGGATATTTTTTATTCACTTGGAAACAAATTAATAAAATAAAATCTTTTAAACCTTAATGTTTAAAAGGGAAAACATTCTAAAATTTTCAAATTAAAATTATGTATTTATATTAATTGCAAATGTGTGCAGCTTGAAATGTACAGTGCGCAGAAAGAAGACCCGACTTCCCTGAATAACTTTTGATCTAATAATCGGATTTTCACGTTCTGGAACTCAATCTTAATGGCTCGAAGGGGTGACCTCAAATTTATTAATTTATTAATGTAGGCGATTTTTTAATTTACGAAATCAGACATAAAAGCGTACCTTATTTGTATAAACTTGCCTTTTTCTCCCGATGGATTTGGATTTCTGACCTTCAATAGCCTCAATCTAGGAAAAATGGTCCCAATAATTTGGTCAGGATAGCGTTCCAAGTTTGGACCCCATAATGTTAATTTTACTTTTTGAGTAAAAATTTTTTTTTTAATTTGCAATCTTTTGATGCCGTTTAGTTAAAAAAGCCGTTTAGTTAAATATTAATTCAAGTATCGACCATGACATCAAACCTAAAAAATGCTTGCTATATTCTTTATTGCTCTGAAAACCATATTCGGATGCGTATAAACTATCTACAACAAACAAATGATTCTTTGAACAAAAGCAGCATTTTTTAACACTCCATCAAATATAGGCAAAATAAAGCATTCCCAAAACCAACTACATGATTGTGCCCATGTACACAGCTATTATTTCCCAGACAATCTGGTATCCAATGGGATCGAACCCCAGTCCTTTATAATGAAAATAAAATGTATAGTAATATGAATACCCAACAAATATATTTCAGGTAGGAGGTTCTAGAATGTTGCCAGTGAGGTGGATGTCTCCGGAAAGTATTACGTATGGAAAATTCTCTCTCCAATCAGATGTCTGGTCTTTCGGTGTCGTTCTTTGGGAAATCTTCACTTATGCCAAACAACCCTACTATGGGCACTCAAATGACGAGGTAATTACTATTTTATTTTCTTCTCATGCTTCTGATTGAGTTCTGTTATCACCTCCAAGAGACTACAACGTTCAAAGAGATGATATACAGAGAGAAAAATCTAAAAGTACTTGATGTATTCCTTTCGTCTCACATTTAAGAAACATAAAATGTTGAAATTGATGATCAGTTATAGTATTCATGGACATTTCATTGTTGCATTTTTTAATTTTCTCAAAGAAAAAAAAAAGAGCAGACACATAAGTAAATGAGTTAGATAAATTTAAAAAACTTTTGAACACGAACTCGCAATTAAAATGCACACGCATTGATCAACTCTTGTAACTAGTTTCAATCCTTTCGTTGCCACCTCATTTTGGCAAAATTTGTTCGAAAACCGTGAATTTTTTTTTTTTAATTTTTCATTTTTATAGAACTCTATGTTGATTCAAACCCCGGGATAAGTTTGGTGAGAAACCAAAAAAAGCTGAAAATAGAAATCCAAAAATATTATGTGCAAAAAACACTTTTAAAATAATTGAAAAAAATACCTGAAATTTAAGCAAAAAAAAAAGTGTATGTAGGGAACATTTATAAACAGAACGTTTTGATAATTGATATTTTGTCGACATATTTATCTACGTTTTAATAAAAATATCGATGCGAGATTTTATTTATTTAAATTGTGGGAATCTAAATGTATGATTTTCAAATCACGCGAATACAAATCTCAACATTTAATTTTAAAAGGGCGTAAATACAAATATAATTTTAAAATCGCATTAATACGAATCTCGATGTTTGAGATAACATCGCGTGAATACGAATCCCGACATTTTATTTTAAAATCGATTGAATACAAATTCCGATGCATAATTTTTAAGTCACTTGAACACGAATCGTGATATGGACTTTTAAATCACGTGAATACGAAACACGAGATTAAATCACGTAAATAGGAATCGTGATGTGTGATTTTAAATCGAGTTTTCATAGGTTGAAAAAAGCGTAAAAATGATTTTTTTTCTTAGGGAATTCGAAAAGGACTAACTTTCTTCGAAGAGGTGGGTTATCTTTTTCTTTTTTTATTAATAGTTAAAAACTTTCCGTGATGGTGACAAATTTTCAGCAAACGACGATCGCACGTCCGTGTATATGACAGTAAGAAACTCTGATCATACGAAGATTCCTTTCTGTGGGTCATACGAAGTCATGCGTGGGTCATACGAAGATTCCTTACTGTCATCAGACTCGGGTCTGATTGCAGTAACAAAAATTCACATAAAATTTTCAAATCAAATCCAATTTATAAAATCAATATCACATTATAAGTCACATAACTTAATCTTCGCATGACCCATTAATTCTTCAAAAACATCGTTATCTCATTTCCCTCTTCTTCTAACGCATAGAAAGTTCTGGAAAGTCCTAGAGCATACCATAGAAAGATTTCAAAATCAGATTTTCAGCTTATAGCTTGCATGAAGGGACAAGGAAACTAATTTAAAGGTTCGAATAAAAATGAGGTAAAAATGAAAGTAAAAGTGCTAAAACAAATATAAATTATACGAATAATAAAAAAGGGAACGAGAGGAAAGGTGTGATTGTCAACATACAGTGCTTTGAAACATATTTAATTTTTAGAAATAAGCTGCTGGGCATTTACTCTAATCAGCAGTAGCTTTCCAAACATGTAAAATAAAAGACCCTCCCCCATTTAAAATAGGAAAATTATAGCTGGCGTTTTTTTTAATTTTTAAATTAGATACCCGCAAGTGACGTCATCGTAAGTAAATCACGGCATTTGTCGATTCAGAAGCCAATCAGGTTCGATACACATGCATGACGTCGCTTGCAGTTATCTAAATCTGATTTAAATCACATGGTTAGGCATAATCACTTCACGAGTTAAAAGTACCATACTGTAATTGACTTTCTTTTTCTTTGGTAAAAGCTATATGAATAAAATTATGCAATCAGCATTTTTCGAAAGGAGTGAAATCGAATTCATTTCGAAAGGAGTAAAATTTTAAATTCTTATGCGCTTAGATATTTGAAAAATATGTTCATTTATAAGTAATTTACGTTCAAAGAATTTTTTTCAGCTTAATCATTTGTCTCTAGTTTAAAATAATAACCAATCAATTTTTTAGAGCTATGAAAACAAGCAATTGTACTGTATTAAATGATCTAGGCAAATTGTTAATCGCATAATTTAATTGCAATACGTTTTTGGTTGTTGCTGTTGTTGTTAATTTATGTCGCACTAGAGCTGCACAATGGGCTATTGGCGACGGTCTGGGAAATACCCCGGAGGATGATCCGAAGACATGCCATCACAATTTTGATCCTCTGCGGAGGGGATGGCAACCCCACTTCGGTAGCCCGACGACCTGCGCGCTAAGTCGAGCACTTTACGGTAGCACAGTTTAACGAGGACCAATATCGCACACCCTCGGTCCCTACGCAGACTGATCCAAGTGGTCACCCACCCGCACACTGACCGCAGCCAGTGATGCTTGACTTCGGTGATCTGCTGGGAACCGTGTCTTACCGATCAGACCACTACGGGACAATACGTTTTTGGGAAAAACTTAAAAACATTTCGAAAATTATTATCTAAGCGCTATTTCTACCAATTTAATAAAGCAACGTTTTTATTTTCCACCTTTTTTGAAAGGTATTGCGTCGAGTGATATATTTTATCATTAAAAATTTGTAAAACATCAAGAAATAAGAAATTAAAAATTGAACCTGAAATCCAAGATGGCGAAGAAGGAGATCTCTAAAATATACACTCATGGACAAAAAAAAAATTAGCTCACCACGAAGGAGTCGTCAAAATGAAACGAAATTTTACATACGTAATGACTACTTTGATATGAGTAAATGATTAGAAAATCTAAGAAAAAGCATAATTTATTTCAGAGAAAAAGGTAAAGGAACGGAGGAGTTAATACCCCGTTGGAACCCCTCTAGCTCGAATGCACGATGCGATACGATCGGGCATTGAGGCATACAAGTTCTGCATGATGTCTTGAGACATTTCGTTCCATATTTGCTGTAACCTTCCCTCTCGTTCGTTCAAACTCGTGAGATGCCTAACTCGCCGTCATAAATGATCCCAGATATGCTCGATTGGAGACAAATCTGGGGATCGGGCAGGCCAAGGAAGGGTAGTAATAGTACGGAGACAGTCTTTGACATCCTTGCCGTATGAGACCGAGCATTGTCTTGTTGAAAAATGGCTCCTGGAAGCCGTTGCATGAGTGGCAACACATGTGGTTGCAGGATTTCATGGACATACCGCTGCGCTGTCATGGTGCCACGGAACAATACTATAGGTGACCGTGTATGCAATGGCACCCCATGCCATCACACCAGCTGTGGGAGCGGTGTGTCGCTGTATAGCAAAGGCAGGATTGAGGCGTTCACCACGGCGTCTCCACACAGGAGCACGATTGTCATCACTGCTACGATTGAATCTGGATTCGTCGCTAAAGACGATCTAATTCCATTCCACTGCAGTTCAGTTTCCTCGTGCGCGGTAAAACTCCAAACGGAGGCGTCGATGGGTGGGCGCAATTATTTCTTGGTGCGCTAATTTTTTTGTCCATTAATGTATTTATAGAACAAATGAAATCAAAACTGTATGCATATTAGAGGTCATATATTAATATTTAGGAAGGAGTCGTGGTGGTTCAGGGGATACAACGCTCATCTCCCAATGAGATGACCCGGGCTCAAATCCAGCGAAAGCTGGTTGACACGAATTCTTCAGCCGGCTCTCATCAACTACAGTGTGACGTAAAAATATCCTCAGTGGTAGACGCCCCCTTGCCGTCAGGCTAAAAGTGGGAGGTTTTCGTGGTTTCCTTCTCCATCTAACGCAAATGAGGGTTAGTTTCATCAAAAAAGTCCTCCACGAAGGCAAATTTCTCCCAGTAGTTGATCCAGGAGTTCCCTTGTCTTCCAGATTGAGTTGGAAATTTCAAGGCTATGGCGTTGAACATTGGTATTAGTAAACCATAAATTGGGTCAGATGTTCAACGGTTGTTCAAAATAAAAATATTTAGGAGGAGCAAAACAAAAAATGACATTAAGATCTGACGTATCCACTATTTAAAAAGGTGCGATTAAAACCGACAAATCATACTTGCTTGACCATGAAATGAAATGTTATTATCAGAAACATTCTAAAATTTCATTTGGTTGTTGAATATTCTAAATTCATTTTTTCTCGTTAATAATTCAAAAGATATAAAAAAAAAATTTTTTTTTTGCTTGAATATTGTACTTAATGCATATTATTTTGAAACAAAAAATGTTATATGATGAATACAGTAGTAAATCACTAAATGGAATTCCACTTGAATACGTTTTATTTTATTTTAAGTAAAAAAAATACCAAAAAAACTTAAAAACGCAATCTAAAACGTATTTTTTTAAAAAAGGAAAAAGTAGAATAAATGAAAAGATAAAAACATCCAATTCTGCAAAATTTCATGAAAGAAAACTTCCAACAGTTTCTAAAGCATTTGCTGAATGCAAGTAAATTCATTAATGAACAATCAGCTAATACTTTTCAACTGAGATATGAAAAAAAATTAATTTTGAAGGAGCTTTAAATTAAATTTTAAAAAAAATCTTAATTCACAGAACACCATTAATAAAATAGTGATTGTTAATAACACCTAAGTTCCAGAATATTCATAAATAATATTTTCAAAAATTAATGTACTTAAAAAGCCATTTATGCTAAAAAAAATAATTCTTGTGAACTTGTGGTGCATTTTTATCAGACCTGTGGTGTCCAAGTTCAGAATCGAAGAATCTCGTGCAGAAGTTGGAGTTGAACTCGACTGCGGTTGGTTGAAAGTTAGATCTCATAAGTTAAAAAAGAAACTAAGTTTTTGAACTTATAAAATCTATTTAGGCAAATATTACGTTTAAAAAAAATTGATCATTATTTAAATTGTAGCTTACAAAAAACTTTATCATATATGAACATTTATGAGCTTATATTTGATTGAATTGTTGAAAAAGTACATAAATTCCAAGAACTCGATTTGTTTAGTGCATTTGAAAAATTAATTAAAAAGATACGTAAATAAATTCCATGCTTCACTTGTAATAATTTCCTAGTTTCAGAATATTCCCAGAGAAATATTTTTGTAATCATATATGCGAGAGTGCATGTGAGATATTCATATTTTTTCTTATAATGGTTTTATACAATTTCAATATTTTGTACAAACTTATTTTGTATAGTTTATTTCTTCAACTCGTCGCTTTGAAACTAAACCGTGGTAACTCAAAAAAGCAAGTTTTTCAGAAAAGCGATTTCTAACTTTTCAGGAATTTCCACCGCAGCTTGACTCGAAGCTATGGCGACTATTGCAAAATAGTTTACATTAGGAAAAATCCCTGTTTCTTTACATTTTTCAATGAACCAGGCCCGATTCTTGTAGCATTTCCAATTTTGTGGTAATTTCGAAATAAGTTAAGGTACTTTGAGTTGCAACACTTTTCTCTAAAACTTTTATTAAAAGTGGATAGTTACTTCCAAATACATCGTTATATTCTAAAGAAATGACAAAGAATTAAGAATATAGGTAAATTTACGATCATCTGTGTTTTTAAGGAAAACTGCTTCAACTCGAAATAAAACTATGCTTGTTTTAAAGTAAACTGTTGCATTTCAAAATACAACGATGTTCTTCAAAATATCCTCCCGAATATTACATATTTCATTTCAAATTTTGACTTACCTCCTCCAAGGTTTTGTTGCAACTGGCACACTGCTACACTATTCCCTAAAACTAAGATGGCGAATCGCGCCAATGCGATAACGATTTATCTGCTCTCTAAATTAATTTTATGGAACTATGAAGATAACACGCTGTTTCTCTAAAAGGGTGATTTTCGAAGTTATACTTCTTATGCGACTTCCAACAAGGTTGCGTTAAACGTTTAACGCTACATTTTTATTGGCCGGGAAATCNTATGTAATAATATTATATGGTCGTTTTTCAAATTTTTGTTTTTTAATTATTATTTTCCACTACAAAAACGTGGTTTTTAAAAATATTATTTTTATTTTGATTTTTTTTTTGTACTCACTTCCAAAATCTCAATTTTTTTCACTCACTGTATACAGAACTTTTCTACTAACATGTGACACTAATTTGAAATAATCGAATCGACAACAAAAAACAATCGCGAAAATATTAATTTTTCTTTAATTTAAATTTACTTTGTATGTCTTTTTTCTCTTTATTTTCATGCATTGTCATCCAATTCTGAACTATGTGCCAAATTTGAAGTCTGTAGCTAGTCGGGAAGTTAGTTTAAAATCGTTTACAAAATTCTGATTCTTCTACAATTAACGTCGCAGGTTGCGAAGTTTAACTTCTTCCGCGCGGAGAACCTCCACGCACTATTTTTTTTTTTTTACACAAAATGACCCAAATATCTCATTTTTCGATTTTTTTTGAGTTACTACGGTTTAGTTTCAAAGCGACGAATTGTTGCATTATAATAAGAAAAGTAATATCAAATTTTAAAAAAAATAACAAGTATAAAGTGACACTAATATTTTCTTAGTCTAAACACTTTTCGATGATTTCGGTGAAAATTTTAATTAAGTATAAGTTGAACTATCAGTCGAACATTTCTATCACAGACACCAAATGATCTGATTTTTAGAACCATCCCTAAAAAGGGGTCATTTCTATTTGCTTCGGCGTTAATCACTACTTCTAGCAGTTAGTTCTGTAGAAACTTTTCTAATGTACTTTTACCATACCCATTATGCTGCTCTATTTCAGGTAGTGAAGTTGATCTTGCAAGGAATACTACTGTCTCCTCCCGAAAACTGTCCTCCATCTGTGTGCCGGGTAATGGCCGGATGCTGGAAAACTGATCCACGGGATCGTCTCATATTCCCACAAATTCTGGATATGCTCTCTGAATGACGTCACCCTTCTCTATTTTATTTCATTCTTAATATTTTTTTTATTATTCTCGTTGGTTACTTTGAGATTTCTATTTCTTCACATTATTTCATTGACAACGTCAGAATAAAGATTTCATTTTCATTTTAGAATTGAGAAAGTATTGTTCTTGGTAAATGTTAAAAGCTGATAATTCTTTTTATGTAAGTTAAAAGCTAACTTTCGTTTTCTGTTATAACTGCCGAGTTGTCATGGCAACGTTTTTATTAGTCTTTTCGTAGAACAAGAAATAATCGTCTGAAAATTATTATGTAAATAAAAGGTTGTTCTTTTTTTACTAGAAGTTTTATTATTTAGTCAGATTTATTATTTAGATTAGAAGTAGAGAACGACAGGATATTTTACTTCCTGCTAGAGTCTCGTAACATTTTGGTGACCTGAGGACGTGATTTTAAGAAGTAATCTGAACTTGCATATGAAGTATTTTCAATAATACAATGGAGAAAATTCAAAAACAACGGAAGATTGTTTGAAGCTCCTTCACTCGGCAGTTTTAACAGAAAACGAAAGTTAGCTTTTAGCTTACATAAAAAGAATTATCAACTTTTAACAGTAAACGCTGTTGATGAACGGAGAGATTCCAATATATGTAAATGAATCATAGCACAAAATTTAATTTTTAAACATATTTTAAAATAGGTACAGTGTAAAAATATTTGGCGTATAGTCGCCACCATTTTTGGTGCTGAAGTAAACTAAATATATTTTTAAGTACAGAACTGTAGTTACCGTGCAAACAATTATAAATTGGCGAAATAACAATTGTTTGAAAGAATCAGTGCGAATATCTGACTATAGATTGACTTGTTTTTGCAATTTATTCGAATTGCTTTGCATAAACTGATTCTAATGCTCATAAAAATATGTGTTGCGAGTAAAGAAGTAAATAAAAAATGAATAAATGAATAAAACTATATTAGTGAAAAAAAAAATGGGACTTCATGCACTGTAAATAATTTTAGTTTACCTGAACTCGAAAAATGGTGACAACTATGAACCAAAATTTTTAATTGGGTATAATATGAAAAAAGCNTTTTTTTCGAGTTTCAGTGGTTAAAAAACTAAGAAAAATTCTGAAGGAGGGGAAGAAAATCTCAAGTGAATGAAATATTGTTCATTGGCATCTATTTTTATTTTATTTCAGTTATTTTTTTTTTCAAATATAGAGTATTTAAAATTGCTATTAAATATTGAACCTTTTAAATTTAACGTTATATAGGCCACAGCAAGTTAAAAAATTCACAAGTTTGCACTTTAAAATTCTTAAAATTTTTAGGGTGCAAATATTTGACACGATTTTCTTCTTTTTAAATATTTTTTAAATATTAGATGTTTGAAATGGAAACCGAGAGAAACCTATATTTAAAAAACGCAAATAGTTTCTACGTGTGTACGCATTTTGTAATTGATTTGAAACTTGCTCAAAGAAAAATGACTGACCATAATAAAGATTTTTTTTTATAGAATTTTGTTTTGACATTTAAAATCATAAGATACACTTTTAAGAGTTATTTCATAAAATTGCACCTAGAAACCAATATTTTTCGAATGTGAATATTTTCTACAAATCTTTTTTCCCAAAAACGGTGAGAAACATATTGTTCGAGTTTTAAACTTTTCGCAACATATCGCAAGCGATTGAAGTTTTTTTTTTTTTTTTTTTTTTTTTTTAATTTTTTTTTTTTTTTTTTTTTTCTTTAAGAATCATTTGAAAAAAATTAAAGCAAAAAAGAATAAACACGAGGGATCACAAATTATTATTAATGCGAGAAAAGGAAAACATCTCAAAATCTGACAAATTAACAGTAAAGGAAAATCAATGCATCAAAACAGGTTAATGAGAGGCTGAAATTATGAGGTATTTCTAATTATCTGCCCCGCTCTGTTTCTTCCCGCAATCAAACTAGTCCCGTTGTTTATTACGTCCTCTTTCTTGTACTGCAATTTTTCAGATATAGTAGTCTGAAATAAATTTTCTTTTTTTTTTTCGAAATTGTTTCTTAATAAGGAATTTAAGTTTCGCAATGCAAATTTGTAATTTTTACGTACAAAATATCCCTTGTGACGTCATTAAATCGAAATTTTAACTCATAACTTGGTATTTTGGCTACCATTTTCAGACAAAGTTGCAGCGGAACTGTAAAATCAATGGCACTTTTTTTTAAGGTATGATTCTTCTAGAAAATGCTAATGTCTCATAGGGATACGTAGGTTTTGCTGTACAAAAGTTTGAGTCGCGATGACTCAGGGGATAGAGCGTTCGCCTTCCAATGAGGCAAACGGGTTCGAATCCCAGTCGATGCGAGTTCCGCATCCGGCTTACACCGACCACAGTGCTGACGTGAAATATCCTCAGTGGTAGACGGATCATGGGTTAGAGTCTCCTTGCAGTCAGGCTAACAGTGGGAGGTTCTCGTGGTCTTCCTATCCATGTAACTCCCAATACTCGATCCAGGATACGAATGTCTTCTGAATTGGGTTCAAAATGACAAGACTACGGAGTTGAACATTAGTAGTCGTAAACCCATAAAATTGGGTCGGCTGTTCAACGACTGTTATAAAATATAAAAAAAATACAAAAGTTTGAATAAATTTCTTAGAGAATCTTTTTAGCGTCAAAAGTGAGTATTTAAAACATTAAATTTTCAACTGTAGTATTCAATCACAGTTATAGCTCAAATCCTAAATGAATGGCACCTTTTTGGAAGATTCTTGAATGTATAAGCATCTAATAAGGTAGATTTTAAGAACAGAGAGACGGTGTCCTTACTACCTCTTATAATATCCAAATTGAGTCACAGTTTTGCGTCAACTCCTAAATCAGAAACCTCATTTAATCTTGTATTTGAGTAATTTTTTTAAACAACAGCTAATTTTTTCTTTCATTTTAACTAAAATTAAAAAGAAAAGCATTTCAGAATAATACTATTTACAAAACATTACGCTCTGAAAGAATGAGAAACTAATTTTAGAAATACTAATGCATATAAAATGCAAATATTTCAGAATGAACAAGAAAAAAGAAGCTATTTGCTATACGTAATATGTAGAAGAAAACGCCATGCTTAACGATACAATTATTTAGAAAAGATTAGCTAAGAACATTAGTTTTTCGCTTCAATATTGAGAGCAACCTAGCTGCGAGGGAGAAATCTTACATAACCTTTTAACCTAATAATTTTATGTTATATAATTTAGAGAAAAGGAAATTAGATATGTTCGGGTACTAGAAAGATCAGTTACATTTTCATCAGTTCACTGATCTTTGTAATTAAGTATTGATCAGTACTACTAATTCATGAAACTAATTCAATACATTGAATCTCTTGGATAAAATGTGAGTACAGTATTTTCCCAATTTTTGTTTTATAAGAAGTGTTAGGCAAAACTTTGTCTTTTTAAACATATTTCTTTAAGTACGTTACTTTTACTAAATTATAAAACTTTTTAAAAAGATTCTCATAACACTCAGTGAATATATAACATTCCATTTATTACCTAACTAGCAGAATACCATGCGTGGTAAAAAAAATGACAAAAATCCTTGAATCGCTATTAATTCTGCGCAATTGTGCACAAACTAAAAAGTATATAAAAACACAATTCCAAAATTTGTTTTTAATATTTGCTATCCTGTCAAACAACTTTACTTTATTAGATTGAAGAGAAAAAAAACATGTTTCAAGAAGTTTAGCTTATTAAACAGACTAAAAATAAGAATAATTACTGTACCCAGGGCTCGAAAAACCACCCGTCCGCGGCGGTCAAAAATTCCCCGCGGACAACNAAATGCCGTTCATGGGTTAAATTTAGTAGGAACAACACAACCTGTGACGTAGGCTATATTATACCCAATTGGGCACAAACTAAAAAGTATGTAAAAGCACAATTCCAAATTTTTTTTTATTATTTGTTACCCTGTCAAACAACTTTACTTTATTAGATTGAAGAGAAAAAAAACATGTTTCAAGAAGTTCAGCTTATTAAACAGACTAAAAACAAGAATAATTACTATACTTATGCGTACCGAAGATAAAAAAAACTATTAAAGAACGTTCAATAAACATTGTTTTTGATCAAACAGAGCTGTAAGCTAGCAAGCATCATTACTGTTATCTTTTAAAATATTAAGGGAAAAAAAGCCCCTGCTGCTTATAAATTGAAACAATGCTTGATGCTAATCGGTGCGAAAAATTAGTTTTCCCTGCTGTGCTCCAACAGATGAAGAAAATTATTCTTATTATTTTATTATTATTATTATTTTAATTGACAAGCTTTTATCCAACCATTCTATATACTTTCAGTGGATTCCCTCACACGTTGGAGTTTATGGGAATGAGAGGGCTGACTTCCTGGCCAAATCCACTGGCGAAGAAGATACTGATCATTGTGGGAAGCTTACCTTTAGTGAAATTTCTTCCCTGGCAAAAATGAAATTAAACAAGACCATAAGAATTCCTCTCAACCACTCTTGGTATTTTGCAAAAAAACCGGGAGAATCTTTCTATCTTAGACCGAGAGCCCATCAAACTGCCTTTTCACGCTTCTTGAGTGGCCACACTAGATCCCTTACTTTCAACCGGGGCCAAAAAACTTATCCTGAATGTCATTGGTGCTCGACAGGCATGGACTCCCCTGCGCATATTCTGACTTGTTTGGGGTTCGGTAAAGATGAGGTCCTGCGAGACTCCAGTCTTTTTATGGACTTTTTGGAGGTGTTCGGATTCATAGAAGTCATCCAGCGCTGCCAGACGATTCCGAGATTGACAACAACAACAATTTTATTTTTATAGGATAAGTGTTAAAACTGTCCCTTTCACCCAAAGTCTAAGCTTCAGAATCATGGCACAAACGGTTCAGGAGTTATAAAAAAGACAAACAGACGCAAAAACTCCTTTTTTTATTATTATTATCATAAACATAAAAAAACTGATTGGAACAAGAAATAAATCATGTCCATTTATGTATGATGGGTTTAAACTTCCATAAATCAGGATGCCCCTCATGTTTGACGGTTTTTCTGAAATCACTTTTACTCCATTGGAAGGGAGGTAGGGGATCATAAGTTGGTCCTCCAATGGCTACAAACTGCAACTTCTGAAACAGCTGATATGTCGTAAGCTAAATAAAGAAAGAAATTAAGCAACATCGTAATCAATGAAATGACAACTGATTAGGAATAAAGAATTGATGAAAATTGTGTGATAATAACTCTACATTAGTTTTACATAAATATTTTATCCAGCCCTCTAATGCAGAGAATAAAAAAAAAGAATGAAAACAAAATATAAGGCTATATTATTTTCCCAAAAAATACAATTCTTTATTAGGCTTCAGAGAGAAAAGCTTTAAAATTAATAGAATTTCCCCTTTTTTTTAAAAAAAAAGAAAAGGGGGTGCAGGGTCTTTAAATCTTGAAATTAAAATACGTTACTGCACAAAAAAAGGAGAAAAAATAAGTCTACTGAAATCAGTTTTTCCTAAACATAAAAAAAATCAGAAAAACATAAAAAAAATCCAACTGAAAATTTTATAATTGCAAAAATAATTAATAATTCCAATACTTTTTTTAAAGGTCTTACATGTTTTCGGACGTAAGAATATGTGGCTGCAAAAATAAATAAATAAAAAATAAATACAATCCGGAATATGTGAAATGGAATATGTGAAATCCGGAATATGTGATATTTTGGGAATATGTGAAAATGATAAACGTGCTACGAATTTATTATTATTATTATTTTTTGAAAAATGATNTAGTGGTGGCAAACGAAAGTAAACTTTTTTTTCTTCAAATAAAAAAATATACAGGGTTATTCATAATTCCCTCTGGGGTTTCGAAGCGTTATAGTAAAAAAACAAAGACAAATATGGCAATAAAGAACATATGAAATTATATCGAAAGTATTCAAGTTTTAATTTAAGCAGTTGCCGGTAGATGGCAGTAGCATGTACCACTGAAGACAGTTATAGTAAAGAAAAATGTCGTTTACAGGCGGAGGGAATTATGAATAACCCTGTATTATAAATCATAACAGTCAAATAAGAAAGAAAATTTGCTCCATTTTCGTGTTAGCAACATAAACTCTTAGGATATTATATCAAATAAATGTCTCCTTACCTTCATATCGGTACCCCCTTCCTGACTATGGCCTAAGCTTTCGAAGGGGTAAGTTCCATTAGCTGGATTAAGATCATTGCGTGCAGATATGGCACAGTCTGCACTATACGGAGGATTACAATCACATCTTGAGTGAGGATCATTGGTATAATCATTATACCTTGCAGAAACAAATAAAAAAAAATTAATTGGCTGTATTACTGTAAAATAAGAATGCAATCAGTGAAAGTTAATAACTCAGTTACGCATAGAATCAATTATTTTTAAGCTAAAGTAAGTAGCGTAAACGGATTTTATGTTTCTGCCCAAAAGAAAATCAATCTAATGCGATTGCCGAAACGGAAACTTAATAATGTAACGTTAGTTACCAGATAGCAACTTAGATATAGCTCTATTATTTAGCTAAATTTTCTTTCTGGTTAAGAATTCGTAAGCGAGGTTTTGGATATTCAACTTTACCCCCGGCTTCGTTTTGCTGTTCAAAAACTATTAGACTTACAAACTTGGAATTATGAAAGTGTTACGAAAAAAAGAAAAGGCACTAAGATAGAATTTAAAAATATTAATATTTGATAATTAGTTCGAGATTTATAAACTGTTAAACTTGTTGAAAAAAATACATTGCGAATCGTTCCATAAACAGCAGAAGTGCAACTAAAGTGTTGAAATTTGGCGCGATTAAAAGGCAATATGTGTTTCTGATATTTTTTTAAAAAATTATAACTTGTTTAAAAGTTATTGCAATTTTAAATGCTTTCTTTTTCGAATTTTTTGTTACTTTTAATTTGCGTTTCATTTTGTTTTGTTGTGCAAAAACTATAAGACCTGAAAAACTTAGAAACTTAAGACTTAAAAACTTGAAATTACGATGGAATGTATAAAAATATGCAGGAAGTATAACGGAATAAAAAAAAATTTACCGTACGATAATTAGTTAGAGAATTATAAACTCTTAAACTTTTTTGTAAAAAATACCATCTCAACCGATCTACTGTTCACAGAAATATAACTACGAAATTGAAATTTGACATGCAGAAAAAGCCATTTATATTTTGGAACTTAGCACGAGGTTTTTTGAAATTCCATCAATTTGTTCGTAAGTTATTGTAATTTTTTAATTTCTAGTGAATTTTTTTTCCCATTTTTTTATCTTTATTTTATTTATTTAATTTTTTTAGCTTTAAATATTGGCAATTTATCCATTCTTATAGATAAATTAATTTTTCTCTTTCCAGTTTTTTATATAGTTTTATTGCCAAATATAGATCTCTTCTCACCATTTCACAGTTGCGATGAGCTGCGATTCTCTCATGCAAAAAACCACAGCTATATGCAAACCTTCCAATGAAAAAACTAAAGGAAAAAACTTGAATTTTTGAACTTAATCTGCTATTTGAAGACATTAGAAAATAATAATATTTCTCAAATTTTTTATACGCATACATTAATAAATTTTTATAAACGTTTTGAAAGATGTTTACCAAATACAATCATCTGAAACTTTAATAAACATTTGCAGATCATTTTCTGGAAACTTTATGAATAGTAATTGTAGATAAAGAACTAAATTTGCAGGAAAGTCTTTTTGTAGTGCTTTTCTTGAAAACAAAATTAACGATTTAAGTTCCATAACATAATTAAAATCTGATAAACTTGAAAGAACGAAAATGTCTTAACAAATTTAGGAAGGAAATATAGCCGATGATAAAAAAAATGTTATCTTACCTCATTAATTTCATCATGCTGTCAATGTCTGTCACATTGCTTTGATCTCTTTTAAATATCAAAGCTCGAGGTGATTTGTCGTGAGTGAAAAAATCTCCATATTTTTTAACATTTTCTGGAGCTCCGCTCATATTGAATATATCTTCATAATATCTGTAAAATTATTTGATGAAAAACGTATTATTGATTTATAAAATTACTTAGACTGTAATGTTTACTTTTAAAGGAAATTACAGTTTTACTGATTCTGAATTAAACCAATAATTCCGAATTTCATAATCAAATTTATAATTAGCTTTTAAAATTACTTATACTACAATACTTTTAAATAAAATTAAAATTTTCCTGAATTAGATTAATAATTTAGATTTTTATGATCAAATTTATAACCATGCTTATAATTAATTTTTAAAATTTCTTTTACTACAATACGTTTAAATTAAATCAAAAAATTTCTAAATTTGCATGAATAGTATGCTTAGAATGTGAAAAAAATTGCCATCTTTAAAAGAGATAAAAATATGTTCAAAAAAATGACAACTTGAAACATAAAAATTTGATTATTACTTGAAAATTTAAAGTTCCTCTAATTTGTCCTCTAGTTAAATGTTACAATTTTCATGGGGATCCAGATTGTTTTAATATTTAACTTTTAAGATTATATACATTTCACAGTACTTAGTCTTAAACCTGATAGTAAAAGAATACAAAATATTTAATTCTAAATTGACAAAACTATTTTTGAAAGAAACGCGCTTAAAAGCAGCAGAATTTTCAGAAGAAAGAATAAATATAGCAATAAAGAAAACGAAGGAAATAAAAATAAAAATATGACCACCGAAGCTGACGTCTTCAGGGGGTACCGGCCTCGGAAGCCATAAAACAAAACCCTTCTTATTGAGAGAGAGGCTAAATTAAATGCCAAACCTAATTTTGCTTCCCAGAAGAAATTAGTTATTCTTGAAGTTTCTAGATCAATCTACGTGTGCGCTTAAAAGCCATACATTTTAAAGCAATTTTGTTTTGTTAAAAAAATTTTTTTAGAAAAATAGTAGTAAAAGACTAGAACGTGATATTTTTTTCAAGTAGCTAATACAATTACGAAAAAAGCACTTTCTAAAAACTACAGCAAGATATATTTTCTAACATAAAATTCAAGCCTACAATAAGAATCGGTCGAAGCAACACGATTCTCATCAGAACGAAGCGTGACATCGATCAAAAGTGGCAAAATAGATAATAGAAACAAGAGCAGTGTTTCCAGCAAATAGTAATTAATAATGAGATGGGAAAAACGCCTCAGTCGAGAAAGACATGTCTACCTCATGTTTGCACAATCGAAACAAGTTAACATTTAGATTTTTTTCTGTAGAGTTTAAAGTTACTGAGAAAGAAGAGTTTAGATACTAAGTTGAAACTGCTTAGAGTTTAAGTTGATGATACGTAGAGTTTAAATACTTATACTAAAAGACTAAGTTGATACTACGTAGAGTTTAAGTTGGTGATACGTAGAGTTTAAATACTTATACTAAAAGACTAAGTTGATACTACGTAGATTTCAAGTTGGTGATACGTAGAGTTTAAATATTTATACTAAAAGACTAAGTTGATACTACGTAGAGTTTAAGTTGGTGATACGTAGAGTTTAAATACTTATACTAAAAGACTAAGTTGATACTACGTAGAGTTTAAGTTGGTGATACGCAGAGCTTAAATACTTATACTAAAAGACTAAGTTGATACTACGTAGAGTTTCAGTAGGTGATACGTAGAGTTTAAATACTTATACTAAAAGACTAAGTTGATACTACGTAGAGTTTAAGTCGGTGATACGTAGAGTTTAAATACTTATACTAAAAGACTAAGTTGATACTACGTAGAGTTTAAGTTGGCGATACGTAGAGTTTAAATACTTATACTAAAAGACTAAGTTGATAAAACGTAGAGTTTAAATACTTTTTTTCCCAATGCCCACCCGATTTACACTAGTCATTCAGGTATCAATAGAGCATATTTGTTGGCCATTCTCTCAGGGGCACCATGTTATGTGGGCCAACGCTGCTCCCACAGTAAGGACAGAAAATGAAAGAACATCCATGCCTTGTCCGGGATTCAAACCCAGTGAGGTCAATTCCCTGACCACTCCAGCCGACATAATAACCCAAATAGATAACTGTCTACTTACGCCACATTATAAGATGACCAGAAACCCTGCTTCCTCAGAACATCTGTTTTTTCTTCACTGTGAATATAGTTTCTGAAACAAAGAAATATTCAATAGTGTTGAAACAGCTACACTAATTTAAAAACATGTTTCTTACATGATTAAATCAATAATCTAAGAGCAATTAAGATGAAAAGGAAGCATTCACAGAAGAATATTTTTGTTTACTTTTGAAACTTCAGCGTATTCTGGTTCATTGAAATTTTAACGCATTATTCCGAAATTCTGGTTTTTTTTAAATTTATTTATCATGAATATAATGTTACCGAAGTTTAGAATTTTCTTCATGCAAAAATGTCTTTTTAAAAAATTTATGCTCGTCAATATGGTGAATAATTTTCAGTTTTTTTGGAATTTCATTACATTTTAGGATTTTATCTCATTTTCAGTGGTGGCTGGGCTTGGGTCTGGTGGTCATCAGCGTTAGAAAAAAAACTCTAGAAGACTGAAACACTTCTTCTGGAATTTTTTATCTAGAAGAACTTCGGTCAAAACATTTTCCCGTTGCATTAGTCTTTGAGAAATCTTTTTGTCTACCAAAAAAATAAATGAATAGAAAATTTGAAAAATCTCTCTATTCTTTTTTTATGTCCAGTTTTGGCCATCTTTAGCTGGAACCTTATATGATAATTAATAAAATCAAGCAAAATGTCGATGTGAAGGAAAGTAACTTTTAAGAAAATAAAGCATTTTCGATCTAATTTTTAATATTTGAACAATTACTTCAACGCTTCATTATTGAGAATCCGGAAACTGTACAAAAAAATAAGAATTATCATTCATCTCATTAAAGTGGAAAAATCTTGCCAAATCAGTGAAATATTCAAACCCACACAATTAATTTCAGCAAGAGCATATAGTTTGAAATAAAAGCTTGACCTCGACTTAAAACACTTAAACTGCACCTTTTCTTTTTCTTAAATTATTCTGAGGGCGGAAGAGTTTCAAAAGACACCTTTAAAACTTTGGACAAACATTAACTGGTAAAGATAAAAATTATTTTTAAAAATGGATTCAATACCTATGTAACCATTTAAAACTAATGTACTTCGTTAAATACGAGTTAAAACGGATTAATTTACTAGTAGATGTTTCAACAAAAAAAAAGATTACATTTTAAAAAACTTCTTCCAGCTTACCAAGAAGCACTCGCCTTAGTCATCAAAGCTAATAAAGAAAGTCTTACCACGATTTCAGCTGACATGAATCAATTCATCATTTAGCTAAGAGTTTCTTAGATCACAGAGGGAAAAAATGCCATATGAAATAGATGATGTATCGAGAAAACTTATAATTCTTAGAAGAAAGAGAATTTATTTCGAACATAGTAGGTTGAACTATTCTTACGGTAGTTGTTCCAACACATAGAGCAATCCATCTTGCAGAGGTTGATTTGGCTGAAATTTATTATAGTTTAGGACCATCCACTGATTATTGTACCTAGATAAAAAGAACATATCACAGTTTAGCATGAAATAAAATGTGCATATGTGTTTGGGGCTGATCAAATATTACGTAAGCACGTTTGAAGTATCTGTCTACCCCTTCCCCCTTTGTCAACAAAAATAAGAAAATCACAAAAACCTTCTCGACCTTTCGTAAGAAAATCACAACATCCTCCCCCACGTTTTATACTTTGAATTTTTACTATTGTAATCTAATTTCAGGATGAAATTTTTCAAATAAAAAGTGGAAGTTTGCATAAAACAAATTTACGTTTCAATTCGTTTTATGAAATATTCACTAGAATATTGTTTTTGAATATTTCGTGTTTTCCTTTAGTGGTCACACTTCTTGACTCCTGAAACTTCAGAAAAAATTTCAAAGATTGAAACTTTGCATAAAACAAATTCACGTTTTAATTCATGTTATAAATTATTCACTAGAATATTCCTTAGGAATATTTTGTGTTTTCCTTTAGGGGCCAAACTTCTTGACTCATTTTGAAACTTTGCATAAAACAAATTTACGTTTTAATTCATTTTATGAAATATTCACTACAATATTCTTTATGAATATTTTGTGTTTTCCTTTAGTGGTCAAACCTCTTGACTCCTGAAACTTCAAAAAAAAATTTCAAAGGTTGAAACTTTGCATAAAACAAATTCACGTTTTAATTCATTTTATAAAATATTCACTAGAATATTCTTTATGAATATTTCGTGTTTTCCTTTAGTGGTCAAACTTCTTGACTCCTGAAACTTCGAAAAAAAAATTCAAACTATTTCTCTCATTAAAATTCCAAATTAAAAATTTTCCTCGTCTAATTTTTTGCTGCATTTTTTTTTTCATTTTAAGAATATTTCGTAACTTTGAGGAATTTTTCATAACTTTTTGTAAAGGTGATTTTCTTTAACAAAGGGGATTCTGTTGTTTTACATAGGGAATGCTAATACTCCTCTTCCCTCCCTTGTTAGCAAAAATAAGCAAATCCCCTGCCTCTGATAGGTGCTTAATGAATATTTAAACGGCCTTATATTATAAAAAAAACTCCTTTTCGAAATTTAAAATTTTAAGTCGACTATGGTCATATATTTCACCAAAAATTTCTATAGTCAAATTGAAAAAATATTTAAATTTTCCGGAATCAGATTCAATTTTTTACTTTATTTTATTTATTTATTTAACAAAAACATGCATTGTAACTTTTCTAAAGCACAAACATGAGCGAATTTTAGATTTTTAAGTTAAATGAGCAATGAATAAAGTATGGACGTAACCTTCGAATTGTAACTTTAATAAATTGTAACCTTAAGTTCTTTTGAACTTTTAAGTGAAAACCATAAGTTTACTAAGAATATATAGAATAGCCATAATTAAAGTAACTGTGCTTAAATCCCGATAACAGGAGAACTGCTGAACCAAATTCCGTCAAATTAAAAGTAGATAAGTTCTATTTCGACAATAAAATGTAATTTTTGAAGGAAAAAAAAATAATTCGAATTCTCGCCATTAGGAGTTTAGGTGACTCTTTAAGAGTACTTTAGGGGTAAAATGGACATAGCAAATATTAACATTTTATTGCGGAAAATTTTCTATTTATATGCATTTTAATATTGACATTGTATTAACATTCGCAATAGCATTTTACGCTTACTTTTTATAAAACACTTCAGAAGCGTATTGTATGCAGAGTTTTAAATTAGATTATTTATAGTTTGTTTAACATAAATTAAGTGCTTGTATGCTATTCTCTTGTAAGCAATTAAATTTAGTGCAAGTAATTAGTGATGCAGATAATGTCTACTTTAAGCAAAAATAGCCATAAAGCGCGATTTTAATCCCTTGCAGTGAAAAACTGAACTGTTTTTTCTAACAAAAATTAAATTCTTATAGTCTAAATAGTATCTACGTTAAATTGGGTATCTATGGTAGTTTGGTTCAGCAGTTTTCTAATTATCAGGTATTAGACACTTTTACTTAAATAGTGTGTAACTCAGTGCAAACATAACCAAAACAAACAAAAAAATGGGTTCAAAATATACGTTTTTATTAATGAAAATCAATATTTTTCTGTCGATTTAGACAGACCTAAAGCTTACATTTTATTATAATTCCTTTTACTGTTGCTTCAACGTTTCTGAACTTGAAAACTTATATCTTGTTTATATTTAGGCTTAATTATAAAATTTATGTTTTTGTTCCCAAAGAAATTAAAATTGATACCGAGTTCAGAACATAAAAAATAAAAGCATAAGAAAACATGAAAAACATAAAAGAACATTAAAAAAGGAACTTAAAATGATTTTAATAACTATGTAACTTTCGTAACAAAATTTTAACGACTTGAAATTTTGAATTTCGAAAAAAAAAAATTTTTTTTATTATATACCCTAATATTTATGCATATGTGATGTGCATATTTATACTAAATAATTAACTAAAGATTATAAACATTCATAATTTTTTAAAACAATGACATTAAATGAACTGTGTTACATATTATTGAGCTTTGCACTAAATAATCGTTTGCAATAGTAAAAACTTTTTTGAAATAGACGATAGACTAATAAAAACGGGGGGGAAAGGTTTTTATTATTTTAATCTGTAACTCCTTTATTTTTAGTTACTTGTTTTCGTGCTAATTCATGATTTTTCGCTACAAATTTCGAAAAAATTTTCGAAACTTAAAAATTGATCCTTAGTCTAGTGATACATATATATTCCTACCAAAATTCTATCAAAAATTGTTGGAAACTTTAAATTTTTAACATTTTTATAACTGAATTTATATAGAAATAATTGTCAGAAAGTCCTATAATTTTTTGTATATTAAGATATTGTGATTAATTACATATTTAAGCAAAAAACTGTCCTAAATAAGTTTAGAAAATTAGTTAAAACAACAAAGGAAGTAAAAAAAATCCTTTTTTGTACTGCGTTTACTTTAAAAAATAAAAATCAATCTGCAATGTCTGTATTAAGTGCAATATTTGCACTCGAGTTCGTAAGCGTAGCGTGTGATACAAACTTGACTTTTTAAAATTCTTGCCGTGTTTGCTTAATTAAAATGTAAATATTATTTAAGAAAATGTAAAGACTATTTTATACGAGGTGTGCAAAGAATGAATACTGCTTAATGTTTTTAAAAATGCATGGAAATTTTTTTTTTCGATATGCGTATGCTTGATTAATTTCTTCTAAAAACTTTCATAATTTCCTAGTTAATTATATTTCCTCAATTTCTAACATTTTTTAATTCTTTAGATATATTTTCTGAGACAGATTTAAATCTTTAATACTTTAACCAGCCATCAAATACTTAAAATGCTTCCCATAAACTTCGTAGTCTGTTACAGATATATATACATATAAAAATTGAGATAAATATTTATGCATAGATTTGAATGTTTTTATCTACTTCTTTCAGAAGTATCGATTTTATTACTTTTTATGCTATAAAAGATTTTGTAAACGTCGTTGAACAGCCGACCCAATTCTTTGGGTTTAAGACTGCTAATGTTCAACTCCGTAGTCTAGTAATTTTGAACCCAATCTAGAAGACAAGGGAATTCCTATGTCAGGTAGTGGGAGAAATTTACCTTCGTGGTGAACTTTTTGATGGAACTAACCCGCATTTGCTTTACATGTAGAGGAAAACCACGAAAGCCTCCCCTGGTTACCCTGACAGCAAGGGGACTCTAACCCATGATCCGGATATTTTACGTCAGCACTGCGGTCGGTGCAAGCCGGATGCGCAATTCGTATCGACCAGCCATCCCTGGGATTCGAACTCTGATCACCTCAAGCCAAAAGTGAATGATGTAAAAATGTACACTGAGCGACCTTCATATCATGACTGATTGACAGTATTTTAAAAAAATGGTTTAGTGCGTCACAGTATTGCCGCTAGGGGGCTAGTGTAATACTATGTTGCTTTAAGATATTTATTTCATGAGCATTTGGCTTTGGATATGCCATCACACCTGAAACTCGTTGATGACATTCAGTACATTCAGAAATGCTAATGATTTTTCCCTTGGCATGGATAATTCTCAACAGAATAATCCGTTCTACCATAAAGCTGGTATTATGAAGGATTGGTTTAAGTATAACTTAATTAAGATTTCACTTTGTTGTGTTGCTCTCCACAATCTCCAGACTTCAATTTCTTTGAGCATTTATGAGATGAAGTTGAAACAGCAATCTGTCACTTAGATCCACAATCATTCAGTCTTACACTGTTGAAAGTGCTATGAAGGTGCCACAAACGACCTATCAACATCTCGTAGAGCTCAACATCTCGTAGAGCTGTATCAAAGTACAGCGTGGTCAAACGAGATATCGAGGGAGTGGTCGTGCGGACACTTAGTGCATGCATACCTAATTTTGGCACTCACTGCATTTTTCTGTTCCGTCACTTCTAAAATTTTCATTTCAAAAATAAAAAAATAATTTAATTTGATAAAGTTCACAGAAAATTCAAGCAAAACGTACATTAGAATATTTTTTTAATCAAAGTTTCGAGATTTCAGCACATTTTAATGAAAAATTAAACTCGAACAGCTTACAATCAATTAGTTAAATGGGGGAAAAAAGATTTAAATCATACTTTACGAAAGTTTTATTGTCAAGCAACATCATGTTTGTCGAAACATGGTTTCATTGGTCCAACATTGATTTCTCTAAAGTCGAATCTTATAAGTAAACATTTCAAGCAGAGCAATAACTTTTGAAAATACATTATAAGAATAAGATATACTTACGTCCCACTATTCATGATACTGAAAATATCGGTCCACTGCTGTCCATTCTTTGCTAGTCTGTTAGCAATAATAGTGCGTTGGAATTCTAATATTGTACTAGGTCTTATATATTGCCATAAGGTTGTATTCGTATTCTCAAGTGATGTCTCCATTACTGCCTGAAACATATAATCATCGGTACAGAGTGTTTCCTAATTACTGCCCTTAAAATTAAGATTTAGAATCCTATCAAAAATGAGGCAAAGGAAAGAATGGAAAGCAACATCTCACATCACGAACCAAAAAGTAATTGAAATCTGTCGAATTACTTCCGAGGATGACGAGGAGAAAACATCAAAACCAATTTTGGTTCTTTGATAACTTTAGAAGTGTTTCTTACAATCAGGATTGCAATTATTTTCTTTTTCCTCCGAAAATGAGCGAGGTTTTTATTGTATCAGTCCTTCCCCTATAATGATTCGTTAAATTTCGATAGTAATGATTTTTAGTTTTTATCTTACTTTGCCACTCCTAATATATATGGATGGTGTTTTCGACACTAGGGAGCGCTGCAAGCTGTATGCCACTTATACTTCCGGGTACTGTGTATTTTAAAGCCATTTTGACAAACAACGTGATCATTGTGTTAAGATTCTTGCAAACGTGGTGTTTGAATACTTATTACTAAACTTAATCGTGCTCTTCGAACAATATGCTAACACTAACCTAAGATGGTACACAGCTTGCAACAAGAGCAAACAGTAATAAACAAATGGAAAGGGGCCAAATCAAGACTGCCAAAAAAGCTAGTTATTCTAAATTTAGCAACCATGTCACCTTTTTCAACAATATATCTCTAAATAACTAAGACAAATTTTCACTTCAAACTCACCAGAATTACAAAATAACATTAATATCTTATGAAATACGGCAGATTTGAGCTCAGAAATTATCCAATTTATTTCTTCTATTGAAAACTAAATTATCCGTTTGAAAATATCGCCTCGCAGAATAACATGTAGTAAGCAGCTGTAAACTTTCTAACCGGAACTAAGGCAGGCATACAGATTGTTATTGTTTACATTTCTACTGAAAACACCATCCATACGTGTCAGACGAGATTCAAATATGCTTGTTAAGAGGGGTCGTTATGAAACACCCTGTATACTAGAAGAGTATGCTTAATAGCTGCGTACATAATTCATCAAAAAATGTGTTTTCTTACAGCTTGTTCATTACTAGTTTGAGAAAATAAAGACAGCAAAAATATTAATTTTAACGAAATACTTTAAATAATAGGCTTCCAACCTTTTTTGGATCACAGCCCAATTTGCAATTCCAAAAATTCTGAACGAAAACATATTGAAATAAACAATTATAAATAATTAATAAAATTACGTATGATTTTAAGTTTCCTAACACACCTATTGTAAAATAGCTCAATACCCCTACGGGTTGGAAAAAAAGAAGCAATTAATCAATAAACCATTACTGAGCAGCACTACGAAGTCATGCACTTAACTGAAAAACATATACTAACACAATCAATAAAACTATGAGAATTCGATTTTTTTTAAAACTAAATTATTAATATTTTTGCTCTTCCCAGTGGCTTTATGTTATTAAATTAAGCAAAACAAGTTTTTAGTAATTTGACTCATCAAAATAAAGATTAAATGTATTAATTATCATTTGCCATGATATTATTGCTCTAGGCCAACTCATGATGAACAGAATTTTCACGTGCTTGTGCTTCTAGTACAGTTCTTCCAGTTCTTGACACATCAAGAACTAGGTGACTTTCTAGAATTCATGTGCATCTGCTGGGCAAATTGAGCAAACGTTGGCAGAGACTACTTCTATTTTTGAACAAAGGTTCTGCCAAGCAATCATGGCCAGTCTGTAGTCTAAAATTTGCTTCTTTTCGTGATCTACAGCTATTCAATTACGAGTATTTCTGTATGACTTCTCTAGATTTACTTTTTGATATTTCAGACATATCGTTGTCACTCAATTAAAATATCATTGCGAGGTGCTAAATGAGTAACAATTTTCGGCTATAGCAAATCGTTAGAAAGTTTTTTAACCTTTTAATAGCGTAACTATTGTCATAAAAACATAATCTATGTTGAAATAGAAACATAAATTATTTTTCTTTACCAAACAAAAAGGTTATTAATTCATACTCAATACTAATTTTATCTGTAGCTTTTTATGAATCTCTAACAATACTCATACTTTCAGCCCCACAATCTCGCTCCCGTGAAAATGACGGGATGAGGTTTCGCCCTCTATTTCTCGCACCCGTCATATTTCCGTGCTGGAGTGTTCAGTAATAACGCGCCAATAAGAATGAAACTAAATAATTTCTTTTGCCCGGAAATCATTTTATTTCTCATTTTACACAGCAGATGGCTGTACCAGGATATTTTTAAGGTAATTGTAAATAGTTAGTTTATTTTAAACTAGATGTCAGCACAAGATGCTTGGATGTCAGAAAAAAATAGGCACTTTTATGAATGTTTTCTTGAAAATTAACCGATTGTTAAGGGGTTAAAGGTCTTATAAGAAAAGCCCCCTAAAAGTCTGCTTATATACAGAGGGAGAGGGGGATAGCACCCACATTGAAAAAATACGCTATAAATGACGTTATCGCTGGCAGCTATTATTCAATTTAACTACTTCGCAACTTTGCCGGTTAACTCTAAAGTAACAACAGTTAATGATTGAAAAGACCATTTTAATCGATATTGAGTTAAATGATGATGAATTATTTAATTGCTAAGTTTTAAGGTGCGGTACATAACATTTAATTTTCGGAAGACCTCGAAAAATTTAGACGTCGCTTAAGAACAAGTAAAATAATTATATAAAAATTTTATTATAAATACTTTGCAAAATAATACACGTAATTGTTTAGTTTACAAAATAACTTAGACAAATATAATTAAAAAAAATTAATGCTTAGTAAAATATAACAAATAAACTTTCAAATAAACATGAAAATATTGTCGCCTTATAACATAGTTAGGGGAGAGTCGGGTAGTCCCGCCCACTTAAGGAATATTGCTTATATTTCTGTATAATATTGAGTAATAATCAATATTCTTGTATGTTTCTATTGTTTTATCATCTAATTAAATAATGCAAAAAGAATAAACCAAAAAAAGAATAGTTTAACTTAAAAAAATAGAAATTTAAAAAAAAACATGTTTTTCAGCTATTTTCAAAATGTGTCGGGTGCCCAGTTACAAAAATTATGTTTTTTGACTGTTTCTTCAGGTGTAAATGAAAATGACCAATGTATTGACAATAGATAAACCTCATTTATCATTTTTATCACAAATACTTGAGTATTACTTGAGTATATCAAATACTTGAGTATATCACAAATATTTTATCATAAATACTTGAAACTTTGAAAATAATCTTTTTTTAATATAACAATTAATGTCCGATGGCCNGTACATTTATCGACGAAATAAAATTGGGCGGGGATACCCGACATTCATGTGAGCGGGGCTACCCGAAATCCAATTTTTTTGTAAATTTGTAATTACTCGAACAATTTTTCACATATAAACTTCTTTCTTTGTGCAAATTAAACTTAAGACTACATACTTTAATGCTGTATGTATAGAAAAAATTATTTTTTTAGTATTAAAATGAAGTTTAATCGAAATATTCAACCAATTTTTCTTAATTTCATGACTACTGTATTCAACATATTTTCAAAACTATTGTTTACCATGTTAACAGCTGCATAAATACTTGAAACTTTGAAAATAATATTTTTTTAATAAGACAATTAATGTCCGATGGCCCATTGACTTGAAAAAATATTCTATACATATGAAATTGACAGTGGACGGGGGTACCCGACTCTCCCCTATACATTTTCAAAATGATCGCTTTTAGACTTAATGCACTTTTACTACAGGCGGTAACTCACCTCTAATCATATTTTATCTCTTTTCTCGGAACTAGGACTTTTTGTAACGATATCAAGGTCTTATAAAGTTTGGAACAAGCTCTAGCATAAAAGATGGACCAAACGAAAAATTCCATAGGACTTAAGTCAGGTGAATAATTCCAGGATTATAATAAAGTCGGAAAAATCTATCTTGAAATGTTCCTGAATGCCTTTAGCTCTTTCAGAATTCTGTTGAATGGTCCGTCTTTAGTTCCATAAAGCATAACATGAGTTTACGATTAGATACAGTAAAAATATTTGATTTTGAATTCTGTTCATAAAAAAAAACAAACATGAACGGTAAAAAAAGTTTAGTACACGAAATAAAATTGCAACTTTTTTTTTTCATTTTACTTCATCAAAGAGAGGGATTGGTTTCAAAAGACATGAAACACCGCATAAAAAAATAATATTTAAATTAATAAAAATAAGTTAACATGAAAATGCAGTAATAGAAATTCTGCTGAAATTTTTATTATTTTTTTTAACGGAAAATAAGGTGTTTCGTTAATGCTCAAACCTACTCCTTAAACTTTTCTAACTGTTTTATGAGAATATATAGTGTAAATATTAAAAAAAATTAGATTTAATTTATAATAATAGTTGAAATAGAAATAATAATAGTTAAAATTTTACAGCAATTTTGAAATCGTACATTTTTGCAGTTGTTCGCCTTTTTACAAATGTCAAAAATGCAACGGATAATTACAAATACAACGGAATCTATTATTATAAGTCAAAAACATGACATAAACCGCATAAAAAACTGATATCTCCTACCGGAGGAATAGCATTATTTAAATCTTTACGGATAAATTCCATAATGTTAAGCTACAGAACCGACCGGGCTGTATAGCGGTCAGGGAGCTGACCTCAAGTCAGAAAGGTCCCGGGTTCGAACACCGGGTGAGGAAGAATGTTTTTTTCTTTTCTTCTCTGTACTATATGTCCTTCTTACTGTGGAAGCAATGCTGGATCACCTAATATGGTGCCCCTGAGAAAGGGGTCAACAAATCTGCCCTTCCGGTATCCGAAGGACGAAAGTCAATATCTAGGTGGGCATTTGTAAAAAAATAGCCATGGAACATTTCGGAGATACTTACCAAACCAGATGATATTAAATAGAAATCATCTAGAGAAAACACCAATCCAGGATATGAGGAAAAGGAATAGGTGTGCCCGGGTATAAGTGGAGCTCCTAAAAAAATAAATAATAGCCGCCTTAATTTCTCTTACGAACAATCTAAAAACTAAATATTGCATGACAGCAAAGTTCATCACTGATTAAATGTTACCTTAACGCAATTGAAAAAAAGAAACCTAAAACGGATTTATTTTTAATCGTGATCCTGGATTCTTATTTAGTAAGATATTTCCATTTTGTCAACAATGAACAAGGCTTTTCTTGAGTTGATTATAAGGATGAGAAAATGTCTTGCACATGAAAGAGAAAAAAATGAGATAAAAAAGACAAAATTAGGCGCAGTTAAATTTATCTCACCCCCTCTCAGTACTCTTATTCACGCCTGTAGTACTCTTGAAATAAACTCTTATTCACGCCTGTAGTACTCTTGAAATAATGTGTGCTCAAACCATGCATGCAAACACTTTCTTAGCAAGTATTGTACTCACAGCAAAACAAAGGTAAAGATAAGCCTAAAAAGTTAAGACTAAAGATTCGAAAATACTTATTCTTTGAAAAGTTCTTGAACTACTCAGTCAATCAAAAATAATTGAACATAATTTATAAATTAAGTTTATTAATTTTCCATTATAATGGCAAGCAGAAATGATAATAACAAGCAAATAATACCAATGCACAAAAATACCAATGTATCTATACATAATTTCCAATGTCACTGAAATTGTTAATGCAGTTCCCAATAATTTTTACGTCTGGGTTCATCTATTTTGTAATGAGAAATGAGAATGTGAGAGGCCGTAAATTGAAGGGAACTATAGAATGATCATACATTTCACATTTTATTTTAATTATTCAGTAGCATTAAATAATCATCATAGAGTCTAATGTTAGTAAGATAAAAGCGTTTGCAAAGCGCATAGCCCGCCAGTCTTATTTTAGTGTCCCACTCATAGGTTATGCTCATTCACTTTATGTTGTCTCTAATGCTACTTTCCAATACCAGCAAGCCTGCTTGGTGAAACCAAGCGAATTTTAAGGCAGAGGGTGCGTTTCTTGTCTTTTCTGTGGCGCCATCTATAGCCAAGAATACGATTTCAGTCACATACACGTCACAGTCCGTTTATAGGGCAGACCCATTCAAACATCCATTCATTCATGCACAGGTTGTAATTTTGACCTGAGCCAGAGAGCGATCAAGATGAAATTCAGTACCCCTAAGGTATGATTTGTTATAGGAATATGAAGGACTTTGTGACCCGACAGATTTAACGTGCACCATTCCCCATTTACTACATGCTAACTATTAAGCTAATTATAGAGACCAAATTTCCCCCCGATTATTTTGGAGAAGGAGATTTAACTTTGAACTGTACAAGATTTATAATCAACCTGACATTATTAAATACATGAAAATAAATAGAATGAATTGGATCTCCCACGTGATTCGAATGAGTGACGACAACACGATAAAAAAGAAACTGCTTTTTAGACCCACTGGGAAAGGAAAGCGGGGAAGGCCGCGGTTAAGATGGGCTGACTCAGTGGAGTCTGATTTTCTCGCAATTAATGAAAAGAATTGGAGATCAAAGATAAATCGGAAGTCGTCATGGAGAAATCTTTAGAAGAAGGCATTGGCTCACATTGGGCTGTCTGGCCAATTATGATGATGAAGTTCTTTGATTCATGTTTTCATTTATTTAAAAAAACATTGTGAGCAACGCCATGTGCAGATGTCAGTTAATAATGTTAAAGATAAGAAACTGTTATATACCTTCAAACAATGCAGAATGATACTGAAAACTGTATTTTTTCAGAATTCTTAGCATGGAGTTATAGTTTGTCCAGGTAACGTGCGAAAAAAAGATGTCTTTTTTAGGAAGAATTTTTATTAAAGCTGAGCAAGAACCTGAACCAAAAGGCCTCTTAATCTCTTTCTTCTGAAGTTTTTCTTCCAAACCTATAAGGTCTCCCACCAAATTCAAAAAGCTGAAAATGTGAAAAGTGAGAAATGTAATTTTTTACAACATAATAAATTGTAATGTTAATTTTATAAACAGCTCTTTTTTAAGGCAAAGTACCCTTTTGAGTAAAATAGTAAAGTAAAATAATTGTAAAATAATTATTTTACTTTACTATTTAATGATAGTAAAATAATGTAATGATAGTAAAATAATTGTTTTGTATCATATTCATTCATTCATCCAAATTATATGTTTTTAGCGTAAACAATACAATTGAATAAAAAAATCGAAAAAAAATAATAAAGCTCACGATAATGTTGAAAAAAAATCAAAATTCCAAATACATATCAGAACAGAGTGCAAATCTTGATATGTTTGCAAAATTGACTGAACTTCTTTGAACTAGCGAAACTATTCTTCGAAGCGAAATAAAATTTTAAAAAATAATGCTAATTAAATCTTGAAAATGATTAATAAATAGTTTCTTTAATTTAAAAAACTACAATTAGTAAACATTTGTCTACGCCATTTTATTTTATCACCTAATAATAACTTACCAAGAAAAGAAATACGTTACTGATTTAAGTAGCAACGACTTGCAGAGCTCTAGTAAAATAATAAAAAATGACGAAAGAATTATGATATTATTTTTATTCTCTAGTTAGTGCAAGGAACAATATATTGTTCCATGCAATTACATTGTATTTTGGCAGCATATTGTATATCCTGTCAAGATCAATCATCCAATATACTCGACAACAATTGATACAACTGATTGATGAATTTTATCACTTGAAAAATAGCTTTTTAAGATTTTTTTTCTGATTTCATGCCTTTAGGTATAGAGATAGCCTATTTAAAAATATAATTGAATTTATTTCTAAGTTTTTAATTATACTGAAGAATAAGAAAGGTAAGAAATTCAATTCAAATCACCTTGTAGACAGTTTTGTAGCATTATTATTTGAGTCTAGTGGATTGTGTTTACTGATTAAAATGTGAAGAACTCACTTGAATATAACAATATGTTGGAATCTGGCTATCAGGTCATGTTAATAATTAACGATATATACAGTGAGTTTTCAAACTACCATAACTTTTAAGTGTCTTAGGTTAAAACATAAATATTTAATTATAATTAGGCTTCACTATCACTTAATATAAATTAAACACCATTCTTTATTTTTTGTAGGACGTTGGGACCAATAGTCAAGTGGCAACTGTCCGTAGTATAGGATCCTATTTAAGTGATTCGTATCCTCTATCCCGTTACTTTGAAAAGAAAACCACGAATACCAGCCATTCTGTTTCTTGCCAACTATCTTTTACGTCAGCATACTGTCGTTTAAATATTATATGTAGTCAAAATAAATATTTGGGTCCTCTGAGACAAAAATACGTATTTTATTTGAGCCATATCACCCATAACTAGTGGGTCACATATTTTACATTTGCTCTAGTTCACTTAAGTTTCCAATTTGAGGCAGTTCTTTTGTCCGTCCAAAACAAAATATTTTTTATTTAATAATCTGTTGGATAAGATGCTTGTAATTTAAAAAAATACCTAAGATTAAGAGTTATTATGTATAATATTATAAAAATTTGTCATATGTTTTATTTTCTACAAATTTTTAACAAGAAGAAATCCTAGAAAATAGGCTGTCCGAAACTGCGAAGTCAAATTTCTTTTTTATATTTTGCCAATTTCCCATACGTAAAATAACTTCAAAAACTTACGTATTTTTTTAAAAAATTGATTTTCCAATATATCATTACATTTACATTAGTCTTTACATTTTTCAAAGTTTCTATTGCATTAATTGTTTTACGTTATCCGGGAGAAGTGTTACTGTCAGATCTGTTACCAAATATAATTATTTTTAAAATTATTCACTACTCCATACTACTTTTTAATATTGCTTTCGCTATTCAGAATGAGAAAATAATCATTTCAATATACAATCTGTCAATGAAAGATTACTTTTGAAGGCTTTCGGGTTTTCAAAGGCTTCAATGAAAGGCAAATATTTTTTAATGTTTTCAGTCTGTTACCAACTTATTAAAGTTAATTAAGGAAGATTTATTAATTGTTTCTCATATGCAAAACATGTCCATGTGCCTTATTTGAGTTCATGATATCTTAAAACTTAAATAGATTACCAGTGATAATGAAAACAATTCAATTATGTAAAATTGTCTGGTCTGTAACCCGTAAATATATTTTTTAGTTTAATGATGACTTACATTATAAGATCTCCAAAGGTCTAAACTTTCATTCCATCTTCAATTCTGACAATTAAAACATGCGTAATACTTATAAAAGAATCAGTGTTAATCGCAAACGATAATCAATTTTAATTTCATTTTTAAAACGATTTCTGTATGAAAAATGCCTCAAATATGAAAAATCATCCTTAAACCTAACTTTAAAGTATAAAGCAAAGGAAAAGTACCGTGAATCAAGGTACATTTGGCATAAAAATAAAATAAATAAATAATTCTTGCTTTTGAGAAGAAAAGACAGTATATTGTCGTCTGTCTTAGGACGGCAAAATTGTCTTCTATTGGCAAATATATTTGTCTCATCTCGAATAAAATAACAGAAAAAAAGAATTAAAAAATAATCATTTATTTCATTTTATTTCTCGAAAATTTTTAGTGAGCACTTTTAAACAGTTGAAAACAGAAAACAATGAAATCATTCAGCAAAAAAAGTAAATTGATTTTAAAATAGAAAATGAAGTTGAGGTAATAGTAAATAATCAGAAATTGAAAAAAAATAAACAATATTTTGAAATGGAACTCCTTTATAACCGATGATAAACTGACAAAGAGAAAATGTTAAAAATTACATATTCTGATTACGACTGAACTGATAATCTGCTCTCTAACGACTGCTTTGTCGATAAAAAGAACTATGCATGATATAATAGATAATTAAACTTTGTGCATGCGAATTGTTTTGGTTCGTTGTTATTTCTTTCATAATTTTAATAAAAATTAAAATATTAATTCAAACTTTTTGTAATCCTATTGTAATAAATTTGAAATTTTTCTAACCTCTTAATGCATTATTAAAAATATTTTTGCTTCATAGCAATTTTTAATTGGGATTAAATGTTCGAAAATTACCAATGAATATCGATCATTCCATTTGATGAAGATAAGCAGTAACAAACAATTATTTCACAAAAGAAAATTTTAAATACTCGTGGATTGTGTGTCACTTTATTTATAGTTCATAACTTCATCTATAATTCATCACTGCATGCATAGTTCATAACTTCATTTATAGTTTCAATTTCATAGTCAAATGAAAGAAATCTTAACAGATTTGGAACAGAATAAAACATAAAGTGTTTGAAAAATTCAAAAAAAAAAATTTTTTTTTTTAAAAAAAGATGATATGTCTATTTTTCAGAAGCGAGAGCATTTACTCTTTTTTTTCCCTCTTTATTTTTAAAATGGATAATACAACAGGATAATTAAAATAAAATCTAAACCATATTTAAAAAGGAGATATTTTTGCTACATCATTCGCTATTATTTTACTTATATTATTTTTATTAAGCCTTTTTTATCACTTTTTTATAGACTTTAAAGAAAAAATTTAAAGAAAAAAGAAAAAGAAACGTACTACAAACCCATAACATCTACCGAGGTTGAAGGGTTACTGGTTATATTTCTAAAGCCATCTTCGATTCCATGCAATTGTTCTAAAATTAGAGCCACCTAAAATAAAGTTTTCTTTTAGTTACAGATGAAACAGTGTCGAATAGTAAATGGTGATTGATTCACGTTAAATCTGTCGAGTCTCAAAGTCCTCCTTTTCCCGAAACAAATCATACCTCTGAGGGTACTGATCCAAGAGTTTCCTTGTCTTCTGGATTGGTTCAAAATTATAAGGCTACGGAGTCAGAACATAAGTAGTCGTAAACCTAAAATTGGGACGGCTATTCAACGACGGCTATAAAATAAAAAATAAAAATTAAATTCAGTACCCACAGAGGCATTGATTTGTTATGGGAATATGGAAGACTTTGTGACCCGACAGACTTAACGTGCACCTGTCACCATTTACTACAGGGGGAGTCTTCGGAAAGAGAGGAACGAACTCTTGGACATGGGCCCAATGCCCTACATATTAGGCTGTCCCGGCCCTATCGACCACTCTTAATTGATATTAATGGCATTTTTCTCTAATAAAAATTAATTTGTATAATGATACGGGCGTTTAGATAATCATTTTTTATTAGAAAAAGAGGTAAAATTACTTTTAAAATTTTATAAGTTTTCAAATTTATATCCAATGAAAAATGAATAAAGGTCTATTTTAAACATTACTTTTGAAACCAGTTGTAAGATGCAAAATAAAAATTTTATTCGACTAAACTTAATACGTTTTTGAAAAAATTTATTCTTTTTCCCAGCTTTAATCATAAATGATTTTCTTAATCCACAAATCTTAATCTGTGATGAGATTTTTTTGACGAACGATTCTCTAACCACGTCTAACCGAGTCAAATAATTTGATTTTTAACCATGTCCGTTAAATACAAGAAAACAATTTAAAAACGAGAAAAAAGTATTGAAAATTAAAATAAATATTTATCAATTTAATTCGAACCGTAGCAGTAACGTATGCAAACGCAATCCAAAAGAAAAAATTAACCAGTTTAAAGGAAATTAAAAAGCAATGAATGCCCACTCTGAAAAAGTGTTTTTTTAAATAAAATTAGTAACGCAAAATAATACTATGTCCAATGCCCAAAAAGAAAAGGAAAAAAATCCCAACACTTTGAATAATTTTTGATCTAATAATCGGATTTTCACATGCTATGATTAAATTTTAATGGTTCCACAGGTGACTTCAAATATGCTTATTAGTTTGTTCAGGTGATATTATAAGTTACGAAATCAGACACAAAAACGTACTTTCTCTGAATAAACATATCTTCATCCTGACAAATTATGATTTTCTTCCCCCTAAAACAAATGAGGTAGCTGCAATTTGATCAAAAAAACGATCAAAAGTTGGGATCCCTTGATGTTAATTTTAATTTGTACGTATTTCGCCATAACTCGGGACCTTTTTAATCGAATTTAAAAAAAATTTGCAAACAATTAAAAAATTCGTTTCCAAAGAAAAAAAATTATTTTCAATGGTAATTTATTATTTGTTATTACTTTTTTTAATAATAATGAAAAAAATATTTTGTATTTGCAGGTTATGCAAATTTTTACCTAATTTTAAAGTATGTAATTTCATATGGCAAAATACAAAATTAAAATAGTTCATGAGAAATGGAATTTTAAATATTTGTCTTTTATTCGAATTTTAAATATATGATTGAAAAAATTTATTATTTCAGTATTAAATGACCTTCGTAGTAAAAATTCATTTATTTTTAAGTTCAGGATATCTTAAAAAGTTCCGAATAAAATTTCCTTTGCTTACCAAAATTTCAAACTAAAATTTCCCGAACCATTTTTTTTCACTATATTTTCTTAAAGTTACTAGTTATTAAAATATTAATCAATCTAAAACTAATCACACACGTTTAAACTTAACTTTAAGAGCACATGCTTAAATAACATTAAACATTTTTATATATCTTTCATTAAAAAAAAAAATTCAAAACATAAGTAAAAGGAATTACATTTTAAAAAATGTTAATAAGATAAACATGTATTTCGAAAACTACATACTAAAAACTACATACCAGACTTCGATTTTATTTTTACATATATTTAACTAATGTTTAGCTATTCATTTTTTACTTTAATCATGTACATTTAATAACATATTATACAAAATGTAATTTTTTACTAAATATGCACAAGTTATGGGAACAAATACAATTGTACAAAAGGAGTAAAATTCATTTTATTCATGCATCAAAAAATTTAAAGACCTAAAATTGCATTGTGAAAAAATTTGACTAAGAAATTAAAAAAAATTTCTCCGATTTTCTTTCAGAAATTAGAAATCACTTGATTTTTTCCAGATTTCTCCGAAATCTGAAAATTCCCCTAACTTTTCTAGGAGTAAGAAAAATTTTTCCTGACCATTTCCGGTTATTCATTTAAAATTAATTTATTGAAATTTTTAAAATAAGAGATATATAGATGTAGAATACCTGATGCCAATATTCATTACGAAATCTCTTAGTTTCGACATTTATATTTATGAAGGCTAAGTTATCTTCGAGGAAAGATTTCAGTCTATCACAATAAGCTTCTTCCCCATTGCAATAATCGGCCGCCATATTGGTCCAATGATTTTTTAAAACGGGGGCCGTCAAGTAACCTTCGACAACACCAGCAGCATATGCTTGTACTGGATCGGGATAATTTACATCAGTATTCACTTCTAAATAAGACCATCTGCAAAAAAAAAGAAGAGAGTAATTGGAAAATTGTGTACAGTTAAAGAAATTTTATTAAAAATTATTACAAAAGAATTGTAATAAATTTTTTTGAGTGAGAGCCGAAATTTATCAAAACGAAAGGAACTAGAAAACAAAATCCTCAAAATAAGTTATGGACAAGGTAATTTTATAGGACTTAGAATTATGTTTTTTTCTTTCTTACTTTGAAAGTTAGGGGAGAGTCGGGTAGCCCCGCCCAACTAAGGAGTATTACTTATATTTCTGTATAATATTAAGTAATAATCAATATTTTTGTATGTTTCGATCGTTTTATCATCTAATTAAATAATGCAAAAAGAATAAACCGAAAAAAAAAGAATAGTTTAACTTAAAAAATTAAAATAATAAGCTATTTCACTACTGTATTCAACATATTTTCAAAACTACTGTTTACCATGTTACCAGCTGCTTACTTACAAATACTTGAAACTTTGAAAATAATCTTTTTTTAATAAGACAATTAATGTCCGATGGCCCATTGACTTGAAAAAATATTCTATACATATGAAATTGACAGTGGGCGGGGGTACCCGACACTGCCCTAATCAAATTATCTGGTATACGCAAAAATAATGGTAAATAACCATGAATTTTTGAAAATAATTAAGTTGCAAAATCTATAGCTTGATACTATTAACATGATGTTGACGTTGAGCACAAAAGCGAAACTTGAGAAAAATTTTGGCAAATTTAGTAACCGATTCCGATATCTTTCTCCATCAGAAAATTTTGAAGCTGTTCGCCGTAACACTCTAAACCAGCAGTTTGCCAATGTTTTTCGGCTATGGAACCCTAAATGATCGACCTTCTTTTGGTGGAACCCTGAGACTTATTGAATAAATTTCATTAGCAATTGTAAATATATTAATCAAAGATCGACTATTAATTATTTTGAAAATATTTAATGAATGTATGAAATATGAACTGTTTTCATCGTATCGTTCTATCAGTACTAGCCTTCAAATTGGGTTTTATGTCAAATTGTTGAATCTACAGGTCCAGATCGGCATCTAGTTTAGTTCGTAATTTAATTTCAGTGCATGCATGAACTGAAAATGATTGAGCTGAAATATGGCTTTCGTTGCAATAAAAACGCAAAATCGGCGAAAATAAATGTTGAAAATGGTTATCAACAAAACATCTAACATTAGTTTCATCCCCCATGTGGATAAGGTCGACATATTTTATAATGTAATATGGAATTTAATTTCACTTTAGACGAAATGAATAACTTTTTTTCAAGAGGAGTCGGGTGTTCTACTCCAGATCATGTTAAAATTTCCAAATTTGACATACTGTGCACAAAATAAGAGCAATTGTAGCTTATATTGGCAATAGAAAAATGGTTGAATTTGGAGCACTTCCTCTACTTAGAAAGTGATCCAAATATCTATTGGTGATATGTCCCATTTGCCGATAAAATAGTAATAAACTCAACTGTGGTCGGGAAACTACTTGTATTTTCAATAAGCACGGAGCTCCAGTGGAAATAAGAGCATTCTAGCAAGTCGGAAAGTAGTAGAAATTTCAATAGCAAGTTACCTTTATTACAAACATCAAAGCAAGTTGATTCAGTTATTAGTAATAAATGCTGTAGATAATAAAAAAACTTTTATAAATTCATGGAGATTGTCACAGGTTTTGCTACTTTTCGGAGATAAAAATAAATGAGTTGTTTGTTATTTCTATTGATAATATTATTACAGTTTCTATACTCCATTAGCTTTTTTATGTTTTTGCTTTTTCTATAAAAATTCTTTAAAATGCGATATTTTTTTTACATGAATATTAACATGAGACCCACAGTAAAAATATTTTTTCACTTAATTTTTAGTAAAAATTTAAAAATTATGTTGGAAAACATTACGAAACANATAATCCAATGTAATTCTGATATTTAGTAATATTATGAGATGGAAGTTGTTATATCCATTAAAGTTTCTATACAAAATAAAAATATTTTGGTGTCAATATATTTTCCTTTTTTTGTTATTTTAGGATATAAAACAAATTTTTCAAACTTTAATGAACGTAGAACAAGTATTGCATTGCTTTATGTTTTTTAAATGACTCATAATATTTTTAAAGAGCAAAAAAATTTTTTAATTCAATATTTTTACTTTATTTAAGGCATTTTTGCGCAATTTTTGGATTTTTAAAAGCATTTTTTGCCTTTTTTAAGGGCATTTTTTGCACTTTTTAAGGGCATTAATGGGGATTTTTTAGGTCATCAAAATCCGGGCTCTAGTTATTAGTAATAAATGCTGTAGATAATAAGAAAACTTTTATAAATTCGCGGAGATTGTCACAGGTATCCTAACAATCTCAGAGATAAAAAGAAAAGAGTTGTTTGTTATTTCTATTGATAATTATTACAGTTTCTATACTCCATTAGCTTTTTTATGTTTTTGCATTCTCTATAAAAATTCTTTAAAATGCGATATTTTTTTTACATGAATATTAACATGAGACCCACAGTAAAAATATTTTTTCACTTAATTTTTAGTAAAAATTTAAAAATTATGTTGGAAAACATTACGAAACAACCGGAAAATCTTCATAAAAAATTATGTTATATTTCATGGAATTACATTTAAAAAAATTAACTTGAAGGTTCGATATTTTTTTTAAAAAAAAATAAAAACACCAGAATTGTCACGATTAGTTTAGTTTAGGCTCTGAGATCACAGAATATGTGAATAGCATTGCAAACTCTTCTAAGAGTTATTTGAAAAATTTTGATTCCCACTATAGACCCTTTTCAAAAAGCGTTTAATTTGGCAGTTTATAAATTTTGTAAAATATACATATTTACTTGGAAACATACTTACTTGAAAAATATACATATTTTTTTGTTGTTTTGATATTCCTAATTACATTTAAGGAGCATCAAAATCTTTTTAGTGCTTAGGCCCTGAGTATAATGAGTGGCAAATAAATGACTAAAAATATATCTAACGTTGCAAAAATATTACTATATTGTATGAGAGAACATGCGTCAACAAATGTCCATTATTTTAATTATAATCACGTTTCAAAGAGAGGAGGAAAAAAGGCACAACTCCGCATTAGAAAACTTTTATAAAATTTAAAACGAGCCAGCTTCTTCATACCGATGCTACCATCTAGTGACAGTAACAAAAACTTTTTCACTAGAGTTCTTTTTTAACAAGAGATTTTTTCACTACTCTTTACAAGAATAAAATATGTATAATTTACTTTTTCTGCGACTCACGCGTCATTAAAATAGTTTTTACATCTTTTTTTATTGGGGGAGAGAGTAAAAAAGAAAATTTTATTGTAAGTATAATTGATCGATATCTTCGATTGCAAAGACTGTAAAAATTTACCGGGACTGTTGACAATAGCAACTGGCACAGCCATCTAGTGGTGTTAACAAGAAGTAAACGCGTGCCATTTATGGAATAACAGATCGTTTATTTAACAAGAATAACTGGAATCACTGGAATAGCATATCGTTTATTTAATCTTTAATTATTTTTATGGATCTAAAAAGAAATTTTTTTAAATCAATTTAACATTGTCGGCAACTTTGGTCCTGTAAAATAAAATCTATATGATAGCAAATTACTCTCCATTATCTTCAAAGAAGTATTTGCTATCCTATTTTTTATCTTTTATTAATATTATGCAGTAGTTATACTTAAAAAAAGTGCACCAAAATGCTAACATTCTAGTTGTTACTTTTTTAGCACCATACTACAGTAAAAAGCTTGACTAATTGGCAGAAAGATAAGTTTATCATTTTTGTTATTATTATTTATAATTAAATTTATGAAGTTATTTGTATTTGTTAGGATATTTATTTTATTTCAGTTCTATGAAATGCTTAGATCTTAATTCTTTCAGGGTGTCGTGTTTTTTTGAAAACAAAAGTACATTTTGTAAAGTAAATTACAAAAATTTTTTATTCCTCATCATTTTTCTTGCTCTTTTATTCATTTCAATGTTGAATTTAACAAATATTAACATGGATGACATGATGACCATTGATCCTTTTAAAGTAATGGAAGAATAAGTATGGAACAGCGTTATTAACGTAGATTTTTTTCCTCTATTTAAAGCAGAATTTAATGTATGACAGAATAGAAATAGACAGGAGTAAATAAAAATAGGAAGGAAACAGTTTTTATGCATAATAGAACTAAAATCTCAAGTAAAAGATTTGAAACTTATTAGAATTTTTTTTTAAGTTTCCACATTAATGCACAATGTGAAAAAAATTCAGAACAATGACATGAGTCCACGTAATCCAATCTAAGTTTAAAATTTTTTATAGAAATGAAGGATAAAAATTCAACAATAAATCACATTATTCATTAATTTATTATGACCGTATGGCCCGAAGAAACTTAAACGAAAAGCATCGTGAGGACATCAGAATGGATCGTCTAATGTATTGTAAATATAATATTAATCATAAGCAAAATGATTATGGTTAAAGGTGGAACACGTTGTGTTAATGTTAAAAAGAAGAATCCTTTTAAAAAGTGACACAAAGTGCAAATTATACAAAACTAAGTACAAATAATTGAAAAATTAGTAAGATTGTCTTTTAAATAATTAAAAATTTCTAACTTAAGCTGATTCACCTCCTTGTTCATTTTTAAATATTCTATTCTAATAGTGGAAATTTTAATTATAATCTATTTTGAATTTATTTTAATGTGCTACATACCGTGATTACATTATGCATTACTATATTAAACAACTACCTTTACAACATTTTATACGATATTTAACTTCTTACTTATTTTTACTTTCTAGCTTTGATATTTTACTCGTAAATACACAACAAAAAGGGGGGACTTTAATTTACTGCTTCGATAAAATATGAGCAAGAATAACGGAACTTTTAAATATTATTTATTTCATGTGTTAAAATCCAACAAAATTCATTTTCTTCCTAAACACATAAAAAGCTAGGAGGAAAAGTTTGAATCACCTATATACCTAATAATTAGATTAAAAGAAGAAAAAAAAAAGAAAAAAGGAAATAGTTATTGGTCTGTGCATTCTCAGTGGGTAGATAAATCACATGGTACAGTATAGTTTTCAGAAGATTCACATTCCTTTGGTAGTAAACAGCACGACATTAATTAAAGGTTTTGTTAACCTGCAAATTTCTTTATCACTAATTAGAAAATGTGATTAATGTTAAATTTCTTTTTATTGTTAAATAGAATTTTACACTAATAGTTGAAGGAATTATTCTTGGTTCAAATTGTATACGTTTTCATAAATTGTTTCTGTAAACCTAGATAACTAATTGATGGAAAAGGTTAGAAAGTTGGACTTGGCAAGTGAGCAGGCCGGTATGTGGAATGCAAGCGTGTGTGTTTAACAGCAAAGATTCTGTTTATTAGGCATTCGTTATAGAAGGTCGGAGCTCTTAAAAGGCAGCGATTCCTGATTATTGGCAAGTATCGAAGAAGGTCTGAAGACCTCTGGTAAAAGCTTGATAATTAATTAAATGTTTGATAATTAATTAAATGATTGACTTTTACATGGTGCAGCATAAGGGATAATTAGGGATCGCAAATTAATAATTAAAAAAAAAAAAGAAATCTGCTTGAGAAACTGGCGTATGATTATCGTGTGTTTCATTCGTATAATTTTCACTCTGTTCTACTCGAAAATATTGAAATCTAGAAAATAATAATAATAGATATTTAAGTTAATCATTTAAAAAAATTATTTAGTTTAAAACTTAGTAATAAAAGTCACGAGCATGCTCAAGTTTAGTTTTGAATTATATGAAATTGCACAAAAAGTATTTATTTGCAAATATTTGTAGCTTGATGTGCTTTGAGGATGTATTAATGTATAAATACTATAAACATAATTTAATATATCAACTTCGGTTACATATTAAAAAGTAAGTACTAGCAAATTCTTATTTTTATTATTTGTTTAATGATATTTAGTTGGGGGGGGGGAGGAATTTAAACATAAAATAATTTATTTTAAAAAGTGACACACTAAGAACAAATTATGCAAAACTGATCACAAATAATTGAAAGATTGGTAAGATTCTTATTAAGGAGAATGCCTTCGTTCTTTTAGTAAGATATATTCTTTAACACTCATTATTAATTTTATTAACTATCATTATCTTTGGAAAGTATTTATTTAGTAACGACATAGATATGCTATGTAATTATGATTTCCTTGACTGATCTGTTTTATTCTTTCATTTGCAGTTACATGACCACATATTTGACTGTTAAGAAGGAAATTATAAAAAATTTATTTCTAATACTTCCACAAATATCTGTGATAAAAAGTAAACAGAATAAAGTGATAAACGCAACATAAATATTTTTATCTCTTATCACGATTTATAAAATAAATAAAGACATCGTTTAGAATAATGTAAAAAGTAACACGTTTTAAACAGCGTTTTGAAGTAATACGATAAAAAAACCAAGTATTTGCCTATAATGCTTAATAAGTTTGTTATTATTACTTTTTTGACGACAATAAAGCTCTACATTTACTCCATCAATGCTTTGTAGTGATTCCTACTACCTTGTTAATAATGAATAATGCTTCTTTAATAATAATGCTTAATACTTGCGATTTAAACTTAAAATGAAACTATTGACGTAGATGTGTTTTTAATGTCATTCCTTTCATGAAATTGAATTTTGTCAAATTAAATAATACATTCGTTTCATTTTATAAATATGCAATTAAAAAAGTTGTTCTGGCATGTAAACATTTCATTCGGATTCGCAATTTTTTTTAACTAACATGCTCGACAGTGCACTGTGGGCCAGAAGACCATGATCTTTGGTCAAAAGTCAAAAACTAAATTTTCAACTAAAATATGTGTAGGCAGTTTTAATATAGCCCAAATTAAGTATTCATGATCATTCCAAACATTATAATTTACTTTTTGGACCGACGAGAGTACAATGTAATGAAAAATATGTTTAAAAATTTTTTTTTTAAATCTAACTTTTAAATTTTTATTTCAGAAATATATATAGGAATTTCACCTTACTTTCACTTACATTTTTATCAGAGTAATTAATCTGAAATTATCATACAATTTTTCAATTTGTTGGATTAGTTATTACTCTTGATAAACTTATAGTTTATATCTTATCATTTCACATTTTACAATGTTTGAATGACTTTCGAAACTTAATTCAAAAAAGCTCCACGATGTAATTAGCTAAAATTTTTGTTGTTGTCTTCTTTGATGTTTCTTCTTTCGAAAAACCTTACCCCGTTTTGCCCGTATTGCAAAGGTGGACAAAATATACCGAAAAACAAAAATTATGTTTTTTTCTTCATGTTTTCACGTAATTTTGTAATTAATTCGCGTTATTTTGTAATATTACTTCGGAAATATAATTTGCTTTTCATTTTTAATATAAAATTACGAAAAGTATTATATTTTCATTGCTATATTTAATTATTTAAACGCACTATATTTTTTTTATTTTTGCTCTCCATATTTCAGCCACCATTTTTTTTGGGGGGTATTTTTAGTGTATTTCAAAATTTTATTTATGAATTCAATTTACCTGCACATAAAAAACCCCAAATTTTGAAGCAAATTTTATCGAAATACTAATTTTGGCCACGAAACCTTGGATGCTGTCCCACTGTGCAGTGCATGTAAAAATTGTGAGATAAATAATCAAGTTAAATGTTAAACGTCAGAGAGCTTACCCAGTCTTAAAAATTTCATCCTTGAATGAGCCATTAGCCACAGAATTCTGCACATAGGTATCGTGAATAGTGAATTCTCTTGTCCTATCATTATAAGTAACTGATGCATACTGACTATTTGAACTCAGTACTAGACCGCTATTAAGCACAGAGAATAGAAACAGAAGCAGTAACATACTTTGTCACCTAAGGAGTAAAAGAATAATGAACTCATTTTACTTTTATCGAACTATTTAAATAAACTAATAATAATCACTTACTGTGAAATGGAATGATCAATATCAAAGATTTTGTTAAAACACAAAAATACTTACCTTTTATATTCCTAACTTTGTCGCGATTATTTTATTTTTTCAGATAGTTAGCAAGATAACAATTTAAATATCATGTGGTTGTTTGTCACTATTGTTTATCTTTAACCTGAAAAAAACCCTGATGCGACAAAAATATTCGATTTTAACATTCTCAAAATTTTTTTCTCTGAAGTTCCTAGTGTTACTTTTAATACGGACTTAATGTTTGTAATTTTCAGGAAATTATTTTCTGCTTGCTGTTTAAAGTTTCTTCAATCGAATTTCTTTACTTTTATTGTGATATCATGTGTTCGATGTTTCGAAAGTTAATGGGAACTCTTTTTGGAGCTTGAGGTACCATAGAGTTAGAACATTATTATAGGAAAAAGATGGTATAGCAATTATAAAGTCATCTCCAAACCTGATCCTCCCCACAGAATTATGAATTCTAAAGAACCTTGAAGAGACTAAAAGATACTGCAGAGATATTTTTCCCTCAGCAATTTTGCTGTTATTAGAGTACATGTGAAAAAGTTATGGAATTTTAATTATAATAAAAACATGCGTTATATCAACCGTTAATATAAATGATTATTGATATAGCAGGTGAATAAAGAAGAAAAGAGGGAGGGAAGAAAGACTGCAAATCAATGAACCAGCATTTAGTGATTATGTGAATCGGTAAATAAGTTTAAAACTGAATAAGCGAACTATTGAATGCAAATTAAAGAAGTGAGTTATTAATTAGCAAATGGAAGAAATCAGTAGGCTGGCAAATCAGTTTGTTAATGAATAGAGAGTAATTTGTAAATCCCACCTTCAAGCCATTTGGGCCATGAGGATCCAGCTTACTTCTCCACCTCTCTCCCCCCGTGTTTTGACTTGAGATCTGCCTTTCTCTAATCCTTTAAATTTGAGTCGCGGAGAATCAAAAAATAGAGCTTTCTCCTTTGAGGTGACCCAGGTTCGAATCCTAGCTGTGGCTGGTTAATATGAATTCTGCTCACAACTCGCATCGATCACAGTGCTAACGTGAAATATCCTCAGTAGTTGACGGATCATGAATTAGAATCCCCTTGACGTCGGGCGAACCGTGGGAGGTTTTCGTAGTTTTCCTCACCAAGTAACGTAAATACTGGTTAATTCCATCAAAAAGTTCTCCACGAAGGCTAGTTTGTCCCAATGCTTAAATTACGAGTTCCCTTGTCTTCTGGGTTAGTTTTAAAATTACAAGACAAAGAAGTAAGCATTAATGGTCGTTAACTCAGAATTGGGATGGTTATAAAATAAAATAAAAATCCTTGAAATTTTCCTCTTTTAAAATTCTCGTGCATTTGTCTCTGCCAAATCATTCTCGATCTTCTCCTTTTTCACTTGCCATCAGGGGCTCGAAAGAGAGAAACACGTGTTAATTTTTCTCTTGACATGCTTAGCACATGTCCAGTCCATTTTTATTTTCTCTTGTTGAAATCAACTTCTATTAAAGTGAGATTTCCTCTTTCCAATATTTATTCACTTCTTATTATATAACAGGCCCAAAAAATTGGTAGGTTTTTCTGTAATTTTAAAAAACCACAAGTTTTTGGACTTTCTAAGCCACCAAGTTTCAGAACCATATAACTTTGCTAACTATTATTTTATAGATATTTATTTTTGTTCTGTATTAAATGCCTGTGAACTCTTCTTTTTGAAGGGGTTAAACGGCAAAAAAAATGATAAATAGATAAACAACAACAAAAAAAGAATAAATATAACTCTTATCACTGCAGATATAGGGGGAAAAGATTTTATTTATAGCTAGAGAGCTCTGATACATTGATCCGATAACATTGACAACAACAACATCACGTCTGAAATTCAGAGGCGAATCAATGCTGCCAACAGGATTTAACGGAGTAAAGATGTATCTAAAATCAAACTTAGTTAAAAGGAAGACTAAGCTCTGAATTTATAAATGCCCAATAAGGTTCTGATGACAATTCAAATTCTGATGACATACTCATCAGAAACTTGGACAATGACTCATAAAGATGAAAATGCGAATTCTAAGAGTTATTTTTGGAGTACACGTTGATGGCACAGACGCTCAAATTTAGAACTTTATCGTGCTTTCAAAGAACCCAACACGATCAAATACATAAAAATCCAAAGAATTAAATAAGCTGGTCATGTTTTTAGAATAAACAAAGAACGTCCAACACAGAAAATATTCTTCGCCAGGCCCTCTAGAATAAGAGTTAGGGCCAACCCAATCTCAAATGGGTTGACTGGCCTAAACATGTCTACAACGGCCTCACTCTTATTTATAGTGGGGTGCAAAAAGAGATTGGAGGCTGAATAGAAATTCTGGCTACGGGCCTGACCGTTTATTTATCTTAAGGACACATAAAAATAATAGGACCTTTTTCAAATGCTGAAAAAAGAGAAAAGAAAGTAAGAAAAAACGAACGATAATTTAAGTAGTAAAAATATTGAGGGGAAGATTTTTTTATACTAACTTATTTTTGTTTGTTTGTTTTCCAATCTATTTCAAAAATATAAAATTTATGAATTTCAATTCTGTCTTAAAAAAAATTAAAGAATTAAAGTGGGCATGTCCAGATCCACCCTAATATTATAATGTATTTTTCTGAACTGTTTTGTGGACATCCTATGCACCGGTACCATTCTACGCATAAAGAACTAATGCGGAAGAACATTGAATTCAGAAATAATAATTTTAAAAAAAATCAATGTTTTTTTTATCTCAGAAAGTTTCCTTAATATTTCATCTTTTTATTTATTTATTATTAGGTTATTAATTACTATTATTTATTATTAACATTATTTATTATTCTATTCGTCTATTTATTATTAGAGGGATCAATCAGAGACGGATTAAGTTAAGAGGGGGGCTTTTGGGGCTGCAGCCCCCTACGCCTACATTTTTTTGGGCCGATCAAGAAACCTCTAAAATTTAAGAAGTTAAGATCGATTTTTGTAATTTTCAAAAAATTATTCAATATTTTCAAGCGTAATGATTTAGAACCTTTCTTTAGAATCATAAAAACTGTATTAGTATATATTTTGAGTTTAAATAGAAAAAAATGATATTTGGTCATATTAATTCCATCAAGCCCTCACTTTACTGAGCCCTTAATTTAATCCAACGCCCTAATTTAATTTATTATCTTGCTTTTTTTCCAAACCAGATACGCTTGGTTTTTCTAGCTAATTTTCAGTTACAAAAACACTATATAACTGTCTACAAAACACTTACTATTTTCTGGCGGTGTTTGGTCATTAAAAAAACTTACAAATTTAGTAAGAACGGAAAACTCTAATTTGTGTCTTTCGATTTTTGAAATGTGTATGTTTAATAGTTTTTATTACTGCATGACATTGATAATTTCATACATGCTGTTTTCATTGAATCATATTTTTATGTAATTATTTTTGTAAAAAAATTAAAATCTTAAGCTTAAAGAAAACTGGAAAAGCTTACTTGTAGAATTTCATAAAAAGTTTCAATAGTCCTGAATAAAGGTAAATTTTAGCTTATTTGGAGCATAGAGGGGTGTTTTTAAATGTTTTTTTTAACTGTTTTTTAAATGTTTGAATCGAAACTAAGATTATTTCGGGTGTTCCGATTTACCTCCATCTGCAGAAAAAATTCGAATAACTTTTTATTATTATTATAATAAGTAAATACAAACCCTACTGTTTTCTTATTTATTTTATTTATTTATTTCACATTTAAGAACCTAGTATAAAAAGAAACTGAGGATATCCAAATTTCTAACAAAATTATTTCATAAGAAACACTGTTTCGTAAGAAATTTTTAATTAGGAGTTTCTAAATCTTATTAGAAACTTAAGAATAAGACGGATTGAAACAAAAATAAAATAAGTTTATATTTACTTTTGATATTGTTTGCTGATGCCCGATTATACCAACTGTTGTTCAAAATTAGCTCTTGATTAAATACTCACAAGCTTTTCAGTAAGAAGAAATGAAATTTAAATGATTAGCAGATTAAAAAAAAAAAGAAGTTAAATTAGTGGATTCTGAACTCTTGGCAGGATTTTGAGAGATAATGATGAAAGTCGCCAAACAGCTTTTCCCGGTGATCGAGCATGCGCGTTCGAGCATTTTCCTTGCAAGAAAGTACTGTCGCTATAAATTCTAATGGGAGTGGGAGTGAAATCTGAAGAAAACAAAGTAAACAATGTGAGTGAAGCAGCAATATGAATTTATTTTTTACTGGAAAATGAAGTTAGTGGGAGAATTATTTCTTATTTATTTCTATGAAATTATTAAGATATTTTTTTCAAAACTTGGCTCCTTTTTAACATCTCTTTGCATTTGTTGAATAACATGCATGGTCGTTGTGATGATACTAAAATTATAAAAATGATTTATCATGTTTAATGTTACTGCAATCACTTAATATTGAGAGGGTGTGGCTTTATGTGTTTATCATCGGGTTTATTATTAACTAATCTCTAACAAAGGAAGTACAAATTAATGCTTATTAAATGTTTATAGATGTAGGATGTATCATTTCTTATACATAAGAAAATATATATATTTTACAGTTCAACAGAGCCTACAAATGGAATTTAAAAATAGTTACTTAAATTGACACTTAGTAACAGTGTATTATGGAATACTAATTGGTGAAAATAAATACTGCTAATTTTTATATTATAATTTTTAAATAATGTGCATTCTTAAAGAAGCAGATATGAAATTTTCAAATCTCAGCATATTCTTATATTCCACAATTGAGATTAGGTCCTTGAAACCATCACCATCTCTTGCGCATTATAAATAACTAGATTATTAAGATGTTATTTAGATTGTTTATTGTGAAATCTATAATAAATATATTATTCAATTTATGTATAAAATTTAGGCAGTATGACTCTTTATATGAATAGGTAGGAAGTAAATAATGCTGTTTTTTGAGTAGACTTTTGCAATATTTTTCACAAATTGTCTACAGTTAAGCTTAGTATGACTTTTTAAACTTCATAAAATATGAACATTATACAATATTTAATTTTTTACCCGAAACAATTTGGGAAACTCTGAGTAAGCACAAATATTAGAAATATGTTTAAATATTTATAAAATTCTTCTTATTATTTACTTTTGTTATAAAATTCTTCTCATTATTTACTTTTGTTATAAAGTTCTTCTCGTTATTTACTTGTTGTTTTTGTAAGCATTTAAAGTTTCATTATTTAATAGCTAATTTATATAAATATAAAGATGTGAATTCTTAGTTAGAGATAATGTAAAACTTCTGGAAGTGTATGAAAGAAACAAAATAATATTTTATTACAGTAGCTTAATTTTAATATTTTTATTAAAAGTTAAGCTTCTGTTTAAAGAAAGAAACACCTCCTCAAATGATTATAACAGTTTTCAAGCTCTGTATGATTTCCAAAGAAAAACCATACATTATTTTCAATGATTAATAATAGGTTATGAAGATACTTTTTAAAATCTGTTGATTTATGTGTCATTGGTTTAATTATCACATCTTTTCATTAATTATTTCTATCTGACAGTAAAAATATCTCTTATTCATTACAAATGCACAATTACAATACTTAAAACAATAATTATTGGAAATATTATTTACATTATTTGAAATAAGAGTTTTTAAAGTCTAAAAGAGTTTATAATAGATAAAAGATTAATATATTACTCAAGAAGTTCAAGCATATTAAGCAAAATATTTTTATCTGTTAAAAAACTTTTGTTCTGCCTAACTTTAAATTAAAGTCGCCTCTCTTTTCTAATATCAGTCTGCTAAGTAGGATTAGGTTTTTGATGCGGAAAACTGATTTTTGATATGACATGTCAAAAAGCTTTAAATGCTGTCGAAATATGACAAAAACTTTGGGAAACTTTCTTTATTCTCATTAGGGACATTTTCTTAGAAGTTAAATCTTGCACAATACTTGCATTATAATTACTACAATTATAATTTATATTATTTATCATCCATAAAAATATTAAAAAAATGCTTATAAAGTTGTCAAATGCTGTCGAAATATGACAAAAACTTGGGGCAAGTTTCTTTATTTTCATTAGGAACATTTTCTTAGAAGTTAATTCTTGCACAATACTTGCATTATAATTGCTACAATTATAATTTATATTATTTATCATCTATAAAAATAGTAAAAAAAAATAATTATTATGAAAAAATATTATGTTTTGGTTTGTCTACATTTTAGTATCAATTACAGCATCAATTGAAAGAATATTTTTGAATTTCGGGTTTATTCATTTGAAACTTGGAGTACAGAGGGCTTCGAAACTAGTGTTTTATAATAAAATGCTTATGGGTTATTAATGTTTTAATTAAGGAAAATTTTAAGGAGAGAGACGGTTTTCCTTAAACTCCATGGACCGCTGTCCCATAATTGAGGCTGTTGCAGAAATACTTTACTTTTTATAACAATGTTAAGTTTCATAACTTGGAGTGAGCTAAACTTCCGTCAGTTATTTTTCTCTCAAAAATTTGAATATTTTCCTTTTTGTTCTTCTTTAGAATTTTCAAAGAAATTAAAAAACTTGTTTAAACTCAAATCACAAAACTCATTTGTGAATGTGTTTTTCTTCTTACGGTTAGGGCATGCTTACGCAGTTGACTTCTTACTCAAAACATATTTATTTTAGCATTCTGTATGATCTAGTGCTGCTTTTCACTCAACATCTTCATGATGAGTATGCTATTGCTAACCTTATTCTTCAAGATGACACAAAAAAGTTTATTGGGATGAGAGATTGAGATTGGTTTTATGAAGACTCAAATGCCTTATTGCATCTCGATTCCCCCGTAAAATCACTTATCTTGTATCTCATAGAAAATGTGTGGTGGAATAGTGGGCAGTTGACCTTTTAGAAATTTGGTAGAATTGTGGAATCAAAATTCCAGTTAACGGTTGCAACATGTATGCGAAACATTGTAGACTCACATTCCTGACCTGACCTAGGCAATTATCAAGTTGAGCGGCTGAGTTGCACAGTATTAAGTTACACTTTTCATTATTTCCTAAGGGATGGCCAATTGTATGTCCTGTTAGCTTATGTATCAACACTAATATAGGATTGTTAGTTACAATGGGATGGACAAAATAGCTGCCAACTCTACTGGATTTTGCCAGTTTCTCCTGGTCTACTGGTTTTATAAAAATTCTCTTGGTTTTTGTACATTTCAGGAAATTACCTAACATTGAGTAAGTTTCCTTTAAAAAAATCCCTTTTGAGATTATTGCTTGCTTGAATATTTAAATAAATGTCACTAATACATAATAAAGTGAACCTTATTTACAAAAGTCAGTTAACTGTCTTTGAATTAAATTCCTTTTACTATTCAAAGTTATGAATAAACATAATGCATAATATTTCAATATCATTTAATGTGAAATCATAGCTGGAAAATATTGGCAGTTTTTTTATTTTGATGACTGTAAAAATCCCTATGTGTAAAATATTTAGTATATTTTGCAACAATTATCATGAAATTTATATTATTTCGTAAAATCTACTGGATTTCTTTCTATCTGTGTTGGCAGCTATGGAAACACTTCTATACTACTACATTTTTCATATTTCTCAAGAAATACTTAAAGAATCATTTTGTACCTTCAGAAATGCTTACATCATGCGATTTCTCATACTTATCAATGAAGTTTAAGGCTTTTAGAGGTTTAAGGGATCGACAATAAATTTCAAACGGAAAATAGTGTTTTTGAACATCCTGTGCCAAAAAAAAAAAAAAATGTGGTGAACAAGTTGTTACTTGTAACAATTATTTTGGTTGTTATATGCAATAATTGCAGAAAATTTGGTAAACCTAGCTCAAATATTTCTGAACATCTGGGCATTTTTATAAAAATTTTAAAAAAATTTCTTACGTTTTTTTTGCTACAGCCTTAAAAATATTCAATACAATTAAAAAAAAAATTTTAGAGCAATTTAAAATTAATTAAAAAAAAATTTTTTTTTTTAATTTAAACAAAATTCGTTGAAAGTTGTGCAATATATAAGTAATTAAAGTGTTTTTTTTTATTTTTATACTGTGAATGTGCATGAAACATTTTTAAAAAAAAATAAAAATTTTCTTAATTTTGTAGTGAATTGGCAACTAAGGAAAAAAAAGTCCGATTTGAATATCCTAAAAATTTCAGCAATTTTCTTAGTTTAATTTTTTTTTTTTTTTTTTTTTTTTTTTTTTTTTTTTTTTAAGGAAGTAAAAATGATAATGAGTTTTCTAGGACAGGAGACAAAATTAAATAACAGGTGATACCTTTCAATGAACGTTCATACACCGAAAAATGATTGTGTAAGGAAAGAAAACATCCAAGAAAAAAAAAAACTTAATAGAGGATGATTCCTGACAATGCCTGTGTCATTTTTAATATATCTTGTTAAATAGTACGAAATAAAATTTGTGGAAAACATTTTGTGCTTTCTTTTAAAACGTACGAAAATTACTTTGAAGATTCTTTGAAACTTTTAAAATTTTCAAAATATTCAAATTGAACTTTTTTTATTAATTGCCAAATACGATTCACTACAAAATTAAGATAAAAAAAAATTTGAATTTTTCCCGCACATCCGCCGGATAAAAAAAAAAGCTAATTTAATTATTCATATCTTTACGCAATTTTAAATAAATTTTTCACAAATTTTAAAGCAATAATTCTGAATTTATTTTTAAATCGTTCCAAAAATTTTGTTTAATTTTATTGAATATTTTTAAAGTTTTCGCAAAAGAAAAAAAACGTAAGACAAAAAAAATAAAAATAATAATAATTTTTTATAAAAATGCCCCGTATCTTTTTATATATTTAAGCTAGGTTTACGAAATTTTGTGCAGTTATCGCACATAATAAACAAAATAATGGTTACACGTTAAGCATTTATTGCTAAATTTTTTGGCGTAGTAGGGCGTTCAAGAACACTATTTTCCTTTCGTAATTTGTTGTCAAATCCCTCAAAACCCCTAAATATTTTAAACTTCATTGATAACTCAGAGAAATCGCTAAACCGAAGCACTTATTAATTTATAAAATGATTCTTTAATTATTTTTTGAGAGAGGTAAAAAAATGCGTTAGTTTAGAAGTGTTTCTATTATTTTGTCCAAACCATATCAGGGTTTTCAATTTTTTGACAAGAAAGACATTTGTACACTATTTACGCATTTTGCTAATTATTTAAGGTTTAACCAGTGATTCTTAACTGAATTGTTAAAAAAAAAATTTTTTTTATTGATATATGCAGCTTTTTTTATGAGACTTTCATAAATTATTTTAATTAATATTACAGCATTGCTAAATAATTTAAACAACTAATTCATTACGACTGCCATAATTATGTAAGTGTAAAACTTGTCCAGTCCAATAAAAATTATTATAAATTATTATTATTAACGTTTTAAATGACGCTCATTTTTATTTAAACTAACAACAATTTTGCTACTAATTTTAGTTACGAAATCTCTAAGGGTCCGAATCGCTGCTACTTCAAAATTATGAAAACTTCGAATGTTAAAATACACAAATGAGAATAAATAATCTTAACTTTAAGTATAAAATTATTTTTTAATTAAATTAAAGAAATAAATGAATGCAGTGTTAGGTTTATGAGACCTGAGAGACTCGGGCTGAAGGGTCTTACATTTCCGGGGCCGTGGTACACACTAANAAAAAAAAAAAAAAAAAAAAAAAAAAAAAAAAAAAAAAACTTTTTTTCTTACGTTTTTTTGCTATAGCTTTTAAAATATTCAATAAAATTTTAAAAAATTTTTTAGAGCAATTTAAAATTAATTACAAAATTTTTGTTTTAAAATTTAAACAAAATTCGTTGAAAACTGTGCAATATATAAGTAATTAAAGTGGTTTTTTGAAAGTGGTCGCATGAAAAATTAAAAAAAAAAAAAAAAAAACTTAATTTTGTAGTGAATTGGCAATTAAGGAAAAAAGTCCGATTTGAATACCTTAAAAATTTCAGCAATTTTCTTAGTTTAGTTTTTTTTTTTCTTCTCTTAAGAAACTATAATGATAATGGGTTTTCTGCAACAGGAGACAAAATTAAATAACAGGTGATACTTTGCAATAAGCGTTTATACACTGAAATGATTCTGAATGATATTGAAATGATTGGATGATTCTCAACAATGCCTGTGTCATTTTTAATAAATCTTGTTTTAACAGTACGAAATAAAGTTTGTGGAAAACTCTTTAACATTTTGTGCTTTCTTTTAAAACGTATGAAAATTATTTTGAAGATTCTTTGAAACTTTTAAAATTTTCAAATTGAACTTTTTTTATTAATTGCCAAATACGATTCACTACAAAATTAAGATGAAACAAATTAAAATTTTTCCCGCGCATGCGCCGAATTAAAAAAAAACTGCTTTAATTACTCATATCTTGCTCAATTTTAAACAAATTTTAAAGCAATAATTCTGAATTTAATTTTAAATTGCTCCAAAAATTTTATTGAATATTTTTAAAGTTTTTGCAAAAAAAAAAAAAAAAANAAAAAAAAAAAAAAAAAAAAAAAAAAAAAAAAAAAAACGTAAGGCAAAAAAAAAAAATAATAATAATAATTTTTTATAAAAATGTCCCTATCTTTTTATATATTTAAGCTAGGTTTACGAAATTTTGTGCAATTATCGCACATAATAACCAAAATAATTGTTACAAGTTAAAAATTTATTGCTAAATTTTTTGGCATAGAGTGTTCAAGAACACTATTTTCCTTTCGTAGTTTATAGTCAATCCCTCAAACCCCTAAATATTTTAATCTTCATTAATAACTATGAGAAATCGCAAAACCTAAGCACTTATTAATTTATAAAATGATTCTTTAAGTATTTTTTGAGAGAGGTAAAAAAAATGCGTTAGTTTAGAAGTGTTTCTATTATTTTGTCCAAACCACATCAGGGTTTTCAATTTTTTGACAAAGTATAATTGAACTACACATTTGTACACTATTTACGCATTTTGCTAATTATTTTAAGGTTTTACCATTGATGTTTAACTGAATTGTTAAAAAACAATTTTTTTAATTGATATATGCAGCTTTTTTTTATGAGACTTTCATAAATTATTTTAATTAATATTGCAGCATTGCTAAATAATTTAAACAACTAATTCATTACGACTGCCATAATTATGTAAGTGTAAAACTTGTCCAGTCCAATAAAGATTATTATAAATTATTATTATTAACATTTTAAATGACACTCATTTTTATTTAAATTAACAAAAATTTTGCTACAAATTTTAGTTACGAAATTTCTAAGGGTCCGAATCGCTGCTACTTCAAAATTATGAAAACTTCGAATGTTAAAATACACAAATGAGTATAAATAATCTTAAGTAATAAAATTACTTTTTAAAATAATTTTAAAAATAAATGAATGCAGTGTTGAGTCATACCTGAGAGACTCGGGCTTAAGGATCTTACATTTCCGGGACTATGGTGCACACTAAATGTTATAAATAATTTTTTTACTTGTTAATTTAATTTACTTGTTAATTTAATTGAGAACTTTCTATTAGAATTATAAGTTAATAAAATTTAAGTCTCTATATTAAGTCTATATTAAAATTTGTTCACCTTAAATTTTGGATGTTCACCTTTTACCTGTTATTTTAGCTCAAAAACTAAGACTTATAATCTTGAAATTACTAAAGTGTATAAAAAAAGTGCACAAGAATTAAGATGGAACAAAAAAAAAATTTAACTTTTGAACAACTGTTAAACTTGTTGGAAAAAATACCATACTGGCTCTACAGTTCACAAGAATGCGATTGTGGAATTAAAATTTGGCGTAAGGGCCATATTTGTTTATAAACTTAACGTAAAGTATTTTTTTTCTTCAAAATTCCAATAATTTGCTCGAAAATTATTGTAATTTTTAGTGCATTTTTGCGAAACATATCTGGATTAAACTTGTTTTACGTTACATTTTTCTTTTGCTGCTCGAAATCTACAAGAAACTTGAATTTACAAAGATATGTCGAAAAATGTACAAGAAGTTCGATAGAGTAATAAATCTAAAAAAAAAAATACGATTTGATTATTAATTAGAGAATTATTAACTGTTATACTTGTGGTAAGATGGAAAAAAAAGATAAAGGGGGAATAAATGGTTTATGTCAATTAAAGCTGGTTATGAGAAAAAATGAATTAACACACGGACAGGAACTGTTTTTCCACAGTTTCCACATTCTATGGCCTGCTATTTATACACTATTTGAAGTTTGTAAAAAAAAAAATGTATAACAGGTGTTTAATTTGAGTTTTATTTCTTCTAGTTCTTTTATGTTTGAATGGGAAGATGAAGATAAATGAAAAAAATTTGGTAAGTTTCGCTGTCTCAAAAAGTTGCATCGATAGAGAAGGTTGGCTTGGCAAACGAGGCGAGGTCAACAAAAGCTTCCAAAAAAGATGGTGTGTCTTAAAAGGAAATCTTCTGTTCTATTTCGAAAAAAGAGATGACAAAGAGCCAGCTGGTCTAGTCATTCTTGAGGGATGCACCGTGGAACTCGCTGAAAATGAGGAAACTTATGCCTTTAAGCTTGTGTTCCACGGTGCTGGTAATAGGACTTATATTCTTTGTGCCAGCAGCCAAGAGAACATGGAACAATGGATGAAAGCTCTCGCGTCTGCTAGCTATGATTATGTCAAATTGATGGTTGGTGAATTACAGCGCCAGCTAGATGAAGCAACAGAGATGGAAAAACAAGCTTCCTTAACAGTGCCAAATCAGATGAAAGGTGGCAAGCTTCCTTCTAACAGATCTGATGGTTGTCTTTTTGGGCACGCTGCAGCTGGTGGTCGTGCTCCTAGATTCAACCCTTTTGATAAATGGAAGGCAAATGGCGAGCTTGAAGCTCCTGTCGATGGTTCTTCTGCCATGGCTACTGCTTCATCAGAAGATGATCTTCTTCATCATGGTGCAGGCTCTCGTCTTAGGTCGAGGCAACGATACCTTTTCATTGAGCTACATGAGTATTATGGCCAAATTTTTCGTAGGTTGTTCGAAGAGCAAAAGAAGAAAAGCTCTGCTCCAGCTTCCAAACCTGATCAAGATTTAATATCGTTTGCTTGATAACAATTTACTTATAAGGGCTTTAAAAAGTTTATTTAATTGTTGTGATGGACTTTTACAATCTTACAATTTTGTTATAAATTTTACTTATTGTGTTAGAAAGCATGATCTATTTATAAATATTTCATTTTATTTCATGTAAATAAATAGCGATGGATTTCTAAATTAACTCATACAAATATTTGCATTGTTGTTACATTTAATATTGACATGTTATCATTGAGATTTTTAAAACATTTTCATTATTTATATGGTAGACGAAACAAAATAAATTTAACCTTGCCAAATAATTTGTTGAATTCTTGTTTTGTTGAGTTGCCAAACAGTTGTTTCGCAATTCAACAATGCATTCATACATGCATTTACACTTTACACACTATTTGTTTCTGATAAGTGTAGTGAAAAGCTTGTCCCACCCCCACATCTTTGCGTAAATAATAGAAATGGGGTTCGATATCCAACGGCGGCATGCATCCCAATCAGATCGATAGATGCTTCAGATCAATGGATACCAGTTCATTTGAAAAGTAAAGGCTGCCTTATCGCCACAATCAGCAATTGTGGAATCCTAACCTTTGTGAAAAAACTGGCACACCAAGGACTGTTGCGATACTACTGTTATTTTGTTCTAGTCAGGGTTGGGTTTTTGACGTCAAAAAGTGGTTTTTGACATGACAAGGGTATAATACTGGTTTAAACCGTCAAAAACCCGTCAAAAATGTCAAAAACTGAAGTTTGCCAAGAAAATATATAAACTTCAAAACTACCAACAGTTGCCATGCATTATATTGAAATTTAATTATACTATAGGTAATCAGCAGGTTTTAAAATATTTTTTAATTAAAATTAAGGTAAAATAACAGATTTAAAATCTCAGAAATTTATATTCAAATGCATGTGCAGAAAAATTTTGCATAAAATTTTTTTAAATGTTTATATTTTGAAGAAAAAAAAAATTATTTTTGATACTTAAGAAAATTAAAAGTTTATTACTATGCATTTCTGAGATATAAGGAACGTATAACTAATATTTATAAGGAACTTACAAGTTATGTTGTATAAATACAAACTTGATACAAGTGTATGAAAAAAAATTTTAATGTTAAACCGAATATCTTTATTATCCAGTATGTTAATTTGAATTTAAAAGTAGTTATATTTGTGAATAATGATAAATATAATTCATATTGTTTATTATATTTATTTATAATTATTACACTTATCATTTTAAAACAATTTTTATCTCTTAATTTTTTTTTCTCCACTTGTATTAAGAATACAAATAATGCATATCTTGAAAGCAAGAAGTAATTATTCAACAGCTGAATATTTAGATATTCAACAAAACTATATAGTATTCAGCAAAATGAAATTCACAAGTATTTGGATAAACTAAATTTTCAGCATAGTAAATGAATAGGCTGAATATACTGTAAATCGACACTAACTACTCTGTGTATTTAACAGAAAGCACTTAAATTTGTATTGTCTTATGTTAAAAAGATTATTAAGAAGATTTAAAAGAATATTAAAAAGATTTTTCTTTAAAAGATGTCTAATGTACAAAACTGCTAATGTTTATCTTTAAAAATGTCTAATTTTTAGTATAATCTATACTATACACTAAATTTGGTTATAAATAAATTTCTTAATAATATCACTGCAGATTTTCAATAACACATGAAAATGAATACATAATATTACAAAAGATGTGAGCTTTCAAAAGTACAAGATTTTGGTTACTATTCAAAATATAAGTGTTTCTTCAAAATTTTAAATTTATTTTTTCTAGAACATATTTAGAAACACTATCCTTTAAAAAATATATAAATTTTATGTATTAATTAAATTTCACATATGAATATAGGTTTTTGACATTTTCGACATTTTTGACAGTGAGGTTTTTGACGTGACGGTTTAAACCATGGTTTAAACTGTCAAAAACTGTCACATGTCAAAAACCTGCCAACCCTGGTTCTAGTCAATAAATAAAATGTATAATGAACCATTTGAAAAAAGAAGAAAAATTAATTCGCAGCTAAGATAAAGACAATTTTTCACTCTCTCATGAATCGAATAACAATTTAGTAATCGGCAAATCTCGTCGAAAACCGGATAGAAATTAAACATATATTCTGAGAATTGTGTTTTAAAATTAAAACATAATTTGAGTAGTTAAAAATTTAAAATAAAACAAAAATTAATTGTAAATAAAAAGTTTACTTAACTTATTTAAAATATCTTTATTTGTTGAATTTTAAAAGTTAGCAATAATGTAGTAGATACGAATATAGTAAACGTGACTTTATGCTTAATATTTTCGGTTTTATACATAATTTATTGCTCCTCAGTCCTAGGATTTTAAAAAAAAATTTTTACTTCAAATAAATTAGAAATTTAAACAAAGTAAAACGTGTTAATAATTTCCTTTATGTTTTCTAATTAATATAAGAGGAAATGAATTTGCGTAAGCATGCAGAATGTCCAAGCAAAATGTGCCGAATAGTAGCGACCTCCCATCCCGGTGCCTCTGATTGAGGGATCAGTATGGTTCTTAACTATGCTGGCTATGAATAGACCTACTACCCCAAAGGTTAAATTAATAATTAATCTTTTGTATTTTAATATTAATATAAAAACCTGTATGACTTAAATAATAAAAATTCATAATTATATATAGCATAATCGTTATTGAATTCAAATTGCAATAGCGACGCTGAAAGTCTCTTTAAAAAAAAAAAAAAAAGATAGTATGGTTTTCACTTTAAAAAGATTACTCACACTATTGTCAGCTTCCTACTTTCGTATAAGACGCACCATGCCACCCAACTCAGAAAAAAATTGCCTTTAAAAACTTAAGCACAACGTTTATATTATAGATAAGTCTCAGCAGATCACCGAAGTCAAGCATCACTGGTTGCTGTCAGTGTGCAGGTGGGTGACCACTTGGATCAGTCTGCGTAGGGACCGAGGGTGCGCGGCATTGGTCCTCGTTAAACTGTTCTACCGTAAAGTGCTCGACTTCGCGTGCAGGTCGTCGGGCTACCGAAGCTGGGGTGCCATCCCCTATGCAGAGGATCAAAATTGTGATGGCATGTCTTTGGATCATCCTCAGGGATGTTTCCCAGACCGTCGCCAATAGCCCATTGTGCAGCTCTAGTGCGACGTAAATGAACAACAACATAGATAAGTCTCACTATTAGACCAACAGCAGTGGCTGACCTAGAGTTCTATCCAGAATTTCGGGGGCAATTTTCGGTTACCTACTCACGATATTAATCTTGGCAAAACATTGTTGCTTACGAACATTATTAATTTAAACATAAATAATTTTATTTATTTGTTATTTTAATAACTGTAATAGTTTAATCTTTAAAATGTAACATAATGTGTACAGCAATGTATATATATACTGATAGATTAAAATGAAATAGAATATTCTGAATAGAATGCAAGATAGGAACAATTTAAAACTTTTAATTAACTTTGTTAAAGACAAAAGTTATAATTTTTATTAACATATTGATTAAAAGATTGAGTTATTACTTGAATAGTGCAATATTTAATAATTTTTTTCAAAAAATAGTACGACGTTATTACATTTACTAAAAGTACACAACAGAAAAATAAACGTCAGCGACAATCGAACTCAAAGCTTCCCGGCGAAAAGTATATTACCAAGATGATACGAAATGCTTTCTTGGTACAGTGAAACCTGCCAAGTTGACCACCCTTGTAAGTTGGACACCTGCATAAGTTGACCTCAATTATCAAGAACGGAATTTTTCCTGTATAATATAAAGAAGCAAAACCTTTGTAACTTGACCACCTGTCTATCTTGTATGTTGACCACTGAAATAAGTCAATTTTGTCTAGGAGTATTATGAAATTCTATTCTAAAACCCTCATAAGTTGACCAGAAAAAAAAAATTCAGAAAATTTTCTGTCATTTTGCAATGTATGTTAAAATTTCACTTGTTTGGCGAAATAGTGTAAAAAGCTAATCTAAACCCTTTTGTGAGTTGACTATCTGGGGAAACTGTAGGGGGTCAGGTTTTGACCATTTCTTTCATTCAAAACATTGGACTGATGTAAAGTCTAAACAACAGCGCCAAACAACAATGAGGGAATATTTTTATAACAAATAGCTTTGTAAGTGTAGTAATAACAGAAAAAATTTCAAATAATTTTGTTTTGTTAAAGTTTTCAAATTACATGTTTTCGTGTTCTGACATTTTAAGAAATTATTTTTATTAAACACTTCACATGCATAACTAACGAAATAATTTTTTTAAGAAAATTAGTTAAATATTAGAATTATATGTTACAAATTGAAGTTCATTCAGGTTTAAACACATTTCTTAAGATATTCATTTGGCTACTTGCTAAATAAAATTTTTAAATGAAGTGATGAAAATTTTTTTTAAATATATAGCAACATGATATAGAAGACGAAAAAGTAAACAATGACACAACCCATCTATAAGTTGACCACTAAAACAATGCATCACAAGTGGTCAACTTACACAAGTTTTACTGTATTTCTTTTCTTTATTCATAATTTTTAGGTCATTTCTTCAAACTTTTGTTTTGTTAGTCGTAACATGAATTTTGTATATTTTCCATTTTAAGAGTATTTTGCTCAGAATTTTTCTCTATTAATTGCAGTAAATGAAAAATTGCATTTAATTTCCTTTTGAGAACTCCAAATTAAAAACCATTAAATAGCATTATGTAACAAAATTATTGGAAAACATTCTAATCAAATTGCGATTTTAAGAATATCAAAAACATTTGTTAATTCAATGAAATTCTGTTGTTCTTTAAGATAGTAGAGATTGATTAACTTTTATTTATCGATATTTTAAATTATTAGGTATTTATTTGGATATAATTTTATACATGAATTTCAGATTTATTTTAATTATTACTTTATGTATATATACATAAAAAAAGCACTCTCGAAAATTTAAAGGCATTATTTTTAATTTTAATGGAATTTTTAATGATTTTTAGAATTTATATTTTTAAATTTTTTAGAACATCAACATCCTAGCCCTGTTTATTGCCTACGCTGGCCATAGAGATTTAATTAGTATATAAACTCAACCTGAGTTTTTAAATGGTGCTTTCTCATAATTCATTGGCTAACTCTTTATTATAATAAGAGTCAAAAACCACAAAAGGTATTCTACTGCCACACTAAGATTCAACCCTAATTATCTGGAAATAACTACTCGCTCAATTGGTAGTTTTTTCCATCTTTTTTTTTAAAAAAAAAAATCCTTTAATGCTAAAAGTAGTATATCAATGCAAAAAGACTCTCGAAAATAGAATTTTCATTAAAATGTCTTATGTCTCCATTCAAAATTTTGATCCTTTAGAACAGGGCTGTCCAACTGCAAAGAGCCCACGGGCCAGAATTCCGGGCACTGATCACCTGGCGGGCCGCAGTTTGAAAAAGTTGAACAATAACCTCTTGTACAATAACAATTAATAGTTGAATTATTAATTATAAAACAATGGAACAGAAGGATTATAAAACAATTTGCTTACATTTTAATGGGAAAACAGAGGTCGGCCAGCCTGAATAAGAAGTTGGCGTGCCGCATGCCAGTTGGACAGCCCTGCTTTAGAATCTATCAATAAGTGATGCAAGATTCATGCGGCGGAAGGAGAGTTCTTCGACAATTCACATATTTAATTAAATTGTCACACATTTATAATATTTTTATTGTTGAAATAAATTTTTATAACCATAGATTATTTCTAATATGAATTTTTGAATAAAATTTTCTGTAAAGGTGCGTTAATTATTATGAAATTAAATTGAAATGAAAAGGACCTATAGATATCGGTTATAGACTCATTAGGTTTGAGGAAAAAGTGGCTACCAACTGAAAATTTAAATTTTCAGGTCTATCCCAAGTCATGAGCTCTTCTTGTAAGTAGGGTTCATAAGTACAAAATAACATAAGTGTTAAAATGTCATGCAACAGTGTGAATAGTAAAAATAAACATAAACCAGTTAAATAGATTTATTATGAACAAAGAAAAACTGATTTGTACATTTGCAGCATTTATCAAACAAAATGATATATCTTTATGTCATCAGTTTTTACTTTTTTTTTTATTATTTTATTTTTCTAATCAACTGTACAGAAAAGGATGGCGGAAGTTAAAAATGATATCAATGAAAGGTATGAATTCATATATATATAAATGCATCATAAATAAAAACTTTACAAGCAATAAAGAAACTGTACATTAGAGTACTTTTGAGGAAAAGTATTTAAAATAAATTCTTAGCTTACACGTGTGCAATAAAAATCTCATCGATCACAAAACATAAAAAAAAGTATTTTAAAAAATAAATAAAAGCAAAGAATAAGAAAGCTCATTTATACAAAAGAATTAAAATCTTGGGACATAAATAAACACTGCACCGGATTAAAATCATTTCTTATTAAACAGATGATTATGATTTAAATTTCCTTTTTTATGTAGATTTTGTAGCATTATTTTCTAAAAGGGTTCTCTTACAAATCACTACAGAGAAAAATATATGATTTATGTATAGACCATCAGAAATTAGAAATAAATAAAATCCAGAAAAATCTAGTAGTAAAATATTAAAAAAATATTCAGTTTTATTGATGAGATCATAACAAAATTTAAAAAGAAAAAATAAATGAAAATAAAATGTTATTTTGAACAAAGAATTAACATTATATGTTCTTCGCGGTCCTTTCTAAGTTGAATGTGCCACAGTGCAAGATGAATGAAAGAAAAATAACTATGTACAAAATCATTCGGAAGCACCTATGACACATGATTCCTCCATTTTAGGCTGAGCAGTAAATCGGTTTCGTTTTTTTTTTTTTTTTTGCATGTTTATGTTCTTAGTTTAAATTATTGCTGCCACAAATCAGCTATAAGCACACGAATTAAGCTCTTCCATATGCCTAATTTTAATAATTGTATTGTGAGCAATTTCAAAAATAATAACTTCCACTGGAATCCCTTTAACTCACTTCTTAAAACGACTTCATTCATAAAACATTGAAATCAAATATTTAAGATATATATATATATATTATATAGAATAAATTAAACCAAAAATAAATTAATATCACAATTAAAAGCAAATATAAATATATTCATTTCAGACACACTTTACTAAAGAAATTTGGATTTTATATTTTTTTTAAAAAAATCAAAAGTGTCTGTATTAAAGCTTTATAAAATGTAATTATTTAAGTACTGAAGCACTGTGTTTCACAAAATATATTGCAATAAGATACACACATTTTTTTTTAATTAATTGTAGTTCTGTTTTTTAAAAAGCAAATTAAAGTTAAATTAAGTCTTTGAAAATTATAAATAAAGGAAATAAAAATTACTGACTTAAAAAGCAAACTGGAGATTAACATTATTTTAAAAGTTTTTTTTCTTTTTTGTATTGCTTCATGCTGCTCAGAAAGAAACATGAAATTTAAAATCACAAAAATAAGTATCAAAGAACAAAAGAAAGATATTTCAAACATATTAGTGTTAATTCTCAAAAATAATTCTGAAAATATCAGGATTGTGTGCTAATATAATGAATTTCGACAGCATTTAGTAGACACTATCAGATAAGTATATTCATAAATTAATTCTTCCCATTTTACATAAGTATTTTCTGCAACTTTTATTCTATTATTGCTTTATTAGTGAATTATTGATTTTCACTTGAGATTTTTGTGCATACAAATACCTTTTTCGTTAAAAAAAAAAAAAAATATCACATGAAAGCAAGTACAATAAATTGATACATTTTTACCACTATTTCACATTAGAATTTACACCTTCATATGGTTACAATAAGTATTGTATAAAGTAAATTTAAATAAAACATTACATAATAAGTTCTGTAATTCATAAAAACAATCACAGTAAAAAAATATAAGCTATGTGATTATGCAGAAACAACTGCCTAATTTTCCTTAAAAGGGAATTAATATCTAAAGTGTATTGTAAATTTAAAAAAAAATAAAATACCCAAATAACTATAACCGTGAAATAATCTTGTGTAAACATTAATTAAAACAGAATTTCTTGATAGTACCCTATGGTTTATGTTTTTTAAATAAAAGAAATAATGTTTGGGCGCTTTACATGCCAACTATACTAAGAATTGATAATTTGTTTTTCCAAAAAAATTTCTTTACTTAATAATAACAATAAACTGCACTACAAATATGTGCACTCAAATAGTTAAATTTTTTACAATAATTTACATAGAAAAAATGAAGAAAAAACGTGAAAAGTATTGGTCATCCAGGTTTAACATTCTGTAAAAATTTTAATAATTATTAACATGCTTATTCAATGTACAGTACACTTTTATTGGGCGTAACAAGCTAATTGTAAAAAAAAAAAATCTACAATGGGGAAAAAAAACCCATTGGGGATTAAAATAATATTTACATCAATGAGAAAAAGCACTTTTGAATTCGATTTTACCTCACAGATAACTTTCTACCTAATATTGCTTATAACTTGCTAAATAAAGGAAATAAAGTGATGAAATTTTTCTTGTGTTCAAAGTTTTTAAAATAAGCAATAAAAAATTTAAACATTTATCCATTTTTAGGCACTGTGACCCATTTAAACAATTGTATATTAAAGCTTTGAAATTAAAAAAATTTTTTTAGTTATTAATGAAGACTAGTATACATTGTAACATTAATTTTAAAAAAATTATAAACTCATTCTGTGTATAAGGGGAAAATGTTTTGCCCAAATCTGCAAGTAAATTTCAACTAATCTCTGCATATTGTAGAAGTGAAATTGAGCATTCCTTTAAAACTTAAGTAAACTGCACTTACGAGATATCTTAATTGTTGTTTAACAAAGCACAACATTATTCTTCATACAGATACTGGAAGTGATAAGTTACAAATCTTTTCAGACTCAAACAAATTTCTTATTTAAGTTTACACAAATAAAGATTTTTTTTTTCTTTTAATAATATCAGTAATTATGTTAAATGTAATAAATTTAAATAATAAAAAAAAATTTGCCTGAAGAAAAGTGCATATATTTTGCAGTATCAACTTAATAGTTACCGTATATCCTGGTGTACAAGTCAACATTTCAAAATTTTATGAAAATGAGGGGGTTGACTTATACACCGATATTAAAGTCAGACATTCGATGATCGTGAACTATCGATGCATAATAAACAATGAGACAGATAAAAATAACTCTGTATCAATTTAGCCCTTTCATAAACTATTTTAAAAATGCTATATACAATTAACTTTGCATTTTCTCTATTTTCTTTATATATCAAGGTTCTTTTTAAAAAAAAAAAAAAAAACTTTCAATTATGTTTGGAAAAAAAAAAAGAATAAAAAAAGTTGAGACTATTTATTCAAAAATATTTCAATATTTTTGACTTAAGAAATTAAGTATACTTAATTTTCTCACGTTCAATTTTAAAATTGTTCAAACTTTTTTTTTTTGTGTGTGTGTGTGGTTAACTTCTATACTGGGATATACGGCAATTATCAGGCCTATTTTGCGTTAAGTTTGATTAAAAATATAGTATTTTAACACCTTGAATGCCCTTAGTTATATTAAATAACTTATTTTTAATCAAAAAATTTAATAAAATGTTTACACAATCACATGGCAATAGTACTGCAAAGATCATTTCAGTTATCCTTGCATAATACCCAAATTGTCGTACAAGTAAATTAATAAAATTGCGTAAATCATTTTAAATGTTCAGATAATACAATTCAGCATAATTAAAAAATTGCAAAGCAATAAATATTTAAGGTAATTGCAAATTTCATTAAGTCTTCATCAAAAATTGGTTTTGAACACTTAAATTTTTATTTATTATGTATTTCTTTCAATTTTAAGACATTTAATTATTTAATAGCTAATTATTATGCATCAGTCGCTTTAAGTTTAATTAAAAAAATAGTATTTAAATGCATAAGGTACTAACTTTTAACATACTGAATACTTTCAGTTAGTTTAAATATCTTATTTTAAATTTAAAAATTTGATACGTTATACAAGCATAAGGCAATAGAACTGCATAGATCATTTTAACTATCCTTGTATAATAACCAAATTGTTATACAAGTAAAGCAATATAATTGCATAAATCATTTTAATTATTCATAAAATACTATTCAGTATAATTAATAAATTGCAATGTACTGAATAAAGGTAAGATGAAATTGTATTAAGTTTTTGACAAAAATTGGTTTTGATAATTTAAATTTTTTTTCCTTCAAATTTTTAGAGTATTAATTATTTAATAGCTATTTATTATGCATTAATCACTTTAAGTTTAATTAAAAAAAAAACAGTATTTAAATGCTTAAAGTACTTACTTTTTAACATCTTGCCTTAGTCATTTTAAATATTTTTTATTTTTAACTTAAAAATTTGGCATTATGTTATATAGTCACAAGGCAATAAAACTGCATAGATCAATTTAATTATCCTTGAACAATACCCCAATACTCCTACACATAATTCAATAAAATTGCATAGATTATTTTGAATATTCATAAAATATAATTCAGCATGATTAAAAAATTGCAATGTAATAAACATCTAAGGTAAGAACAAATTGCATTTAGTGTTCATCAAAAATTGGTTTTCAGATGAAAAAATTTTTTCCTGTCAATTTCTAGATTATCAATTACATAATAGCTCTTTATTATGCATTAGTCACTTTAAATTTTATTAAACAAATAATATTTAAATACTTAAGGTACTTACTTTTAACACCTAGAATGCCCTAGTTATTTTAAATAACTTATTTTTAATTCAAAAATTTGATAATAATGTTATACAATCATAAGGCAATAGAACTGCATAGATCATTTTAATTATCATTGTATAACACTTAAATTGTCATACAAGTAAAATTGCATAGTTCATTTTAAACATTCATAAAACACAATTCAGCATTATTAAAAATTGCAATGTAATAAATATTTAAGGTAAAAGCAATTGGATTAAGTTTTCATTAAAAATTGGCTTCGATCATTTAAAAATATTTCTGTTGTTTTTTTGGTCAATTTTTAGAGTACTAATTACTTATTAGCTATTTATTATTCAATAGTTGCTTTGAGTTTTATTAAAAGCAAATATTTAAATACTTAAGTTATTCACTTTTAACACCTTGCCAATAGTTATTTTAAATAACTTATTTTTAATTCAAAAATTCGACATGTTATACAATCATAAGGCAATGAAACTGCATAGATCATTTTAATTATCGTTGTATAATATTCCAATTGTCATACAAGTAAATCAATAAAATTGCATAAATCACTTAGAATATCCATATAACACAGTTCATTATCATTAAAAAATTGAAATATAATAAATATTTAAGGTAGAAGCAAATTGCATTAAGTCTTTGTCAAAAATTGGTTTTGATTATTTAAAATATTGTAAATTTATACAGTATTAATTATTTAATAGCTATTTTAATTACTTAATAGCATTAGTCGTTTTAAGTTTGATTAAAAAAAATAGTATTTAATTCTTTTAACTGTCTAATACCTCAACAAGACATTCTGGAAACAAGTTATTTTTATTTTAGAAATTTTTAAATTCCTTAAATAAAATACATTGATAAGGCATTAGGAAAACAATTAAAATTAAGAACAATTTTGAACACCTTGAATGCCCTTAGTTATTTTGAATAACTTCAATTCAAATATTTGAATTATATTTTAAAATGCAATCGTAAGTCAATAAAACTGCAAACTTCAATTGCTATGATACAAAAATTATCATACAAAAAAAATCTATAAAATTGCATAGATTTTTTTTTTTTTAAACATATTCTGTTTTTACGGTGTTTATTACTTAAAACCTTTTTATTATGCACTTGTTAGTTTACACACTTAAGTTTAATTTTAAAAAATAATATCCCTGATCAATACTACAAAAAGATATTCTGAAAACAAACTATAGTTTTTGATTTAGGAAATTTTTATTTCCTAATATATATTGATAAGTAAATATGGAAATAATTCTATATATATTATGATAATTATATATATATATATATATTGATAAGTAAATATGGAAATAATTCTAAAATTTAAGACCAATTTTATGACACCTTAAATTAATTTGACTCATTTTAAAATGTTATACAATTATTAGTCAATGAAACTGAATAGACCATTTTCAATATTCTTGTATAACAGTCAAATTATCACACAATAAATTGATAAATTTGCATGGATCCTTTTAAATATCTCTAGTTTTAAAGTATTAATTACTTATCATGCATTTGTTGCATGAAGTTTGATTTAAAAAAAATAGTTATTCAACTCCTTAAGGTAAATTTTTAAACAGCTTGAATGTCTTAGTTATTCCTAATAACTTTAGTTTTTAATTTAAAAATTTGACTTTTAACTGCACAGATAATTTTAATTATTATTGTAATAATACACAAATTCTCATAAAAATAAGTCATTAAAATTGCATAGATCTTTGTAGATATAGTCTATTACAAACCATTCTCAAGTGCGAATTCAGAAATTTTTCACAATTAGAGGCCTTACTTTCCTTACAATGATAATTTCATAATAATTAGGTTAAAAATATCAAATAAACAAAAATCTTTCACCCAAGAAACAAATATTTTTTACAGTATTAATTATACAACAGCTATTTATTATATCTTCGTTGCTTTAAGTTTGATTTATAAAAAAAATAGTATTTAATTCCTTCTGCTGCTTGATACCTCGATAAGACATTTTAAAATGTTGCACAATCATAAGTCAACAAAACTGCTTAAACTATTTGAATTAACCTTTTAAAATATTCAATTTGTTATACAAATAAGCCAATAAAATTGCATAGATTATTTTAAATATCCACATAATACAGTTCAGCATGATTAAAAAATTGCAATGTAATAAATATTTAAGGTAAAAGTAAATTGCATAAGTCTCCTACAAAAATTGGTTTTGATTTTAAATAGATTATTTTTCGAGGTGAATTCATTTAATTTTTTAACTGTACATTCTAAAATTTATTTGCATAGATTTTTAAAAGGACACTTTAGAACCAACACACTTTGTTAAAATCGTCAGAAAACTACAACACATGCATATTTTGTTTTTTTACATTTAAATTTTTCTAAGACATGAATGTTCACTATACATGTTTTGTTCGCATAACACGAGTGCATAATTTAAAATTCCTTTTGCCAGACTTATTGCTCAGCCAATCCAAAACTATCTTATTCCCCACAATGCTACTTTAAAAACATATGTAAAAATAGGTATGAGTGATAAATAAAGATGTTAAATGATTTTTTTATGCACAGATTTATGCATAGTCTTTTTTACTTTTTAAAGATCTCTTTCGATTTGCTGGCAGTGGGAAACTAATGAAAAGTAGTAAAAATCAAGACTCCAGCATACCTTTGCTAAGATGGCAGTACCATACAATCTCCTATCATTTATTTTAGTTTTGGGCTCCTACAGCTTTCAACAACACAGAAGGACATTTACAAGAGTTTAATACATGATTTGTAAAAAGATTTGTATACTTATGGTAACTGTACATTGCTTTATACAAAATCAACGATCGAGATACGATTGTTCAGAGTTCCGTGGTATTAAACTACGGTTATCTAATAAGTAGCATTATATCTAATTTTGGCGTGGGAGGGCGCCAATCCTTCTGCATGTGACCAGACGCCCTATATATATATATATATTTATTTATATTTATTTTATTTATTATATATACAAAATAAATAGTAATTATACTTTTCATTCGTCACTAACCATTAACAAAAGGTTCTCTCATAACACATTCTCAAACCATAGTTCCACTCAAGTTTTTTATGTATATATATATATTTATGTATAATACGCTACCACAAAAAGGTAGTCCATTTTTATATAATATGTGCATTTTATACATTGCAGAACATTTTCATACCAGAAGGGGGGACTTCTCTCAAAAGTTGGAACTTTACAACCTCTCTATATATATTTATGATACATGGTTCTGGGTACGAAGGAGCTCTGATATGTAGCATGTGCTGCACTCTGAAGACATCACATTATTTTAAATAATTAAAATGACTGTAACTGCCTATAAACATGAATATTTGTTCCCTGTTTCCAAAAGTTTTCTTTAGCTGCATAGTTTATATGAGAGCTTCAACAGCTTGATAAAGTTGCATCAAAACCTGGATGTGCACTGGTAAGCATGACCGACGATCACATGTTGCTGGGTCTAGTGCTAACCAGGATAAAGTGTTGTAGCCTTCAAGAACATACCTGTAACAAGTTTCATGTCAGACAAATTTCAACTTTTTCTAATTTAATAAAGGCTTCAAATTTCAAAGATTAAAGAATATGAACAAATATCAGCATTTGCAATTAATATATATATATATATATATATATATATGTAAAATAAAAAAAGGCAAAATCAATAAGTAAAACTGAAAAATAGGATTTTTCACTTTTCCAAAACTTTTTCTCTAATTAAAACAGATTTTTTTTCTTAAGGCCGTTTTTCTCTATTGTTAAAAAATAAGAATACACTAACTTTCATAATTTTTATGAAATAATTCAAAATTGGCACGATTTAAAATAAAATTATTAAAATAAAGAATTATTAGAATAGAATAGGTGATTAAAAATGTTATTATATATGTCTAAGTCAGCATCAATAGGCTGAACTAAAAAGAGAGAAAGAAAAAACAGGGGTGTAGTAATTATCTTTCCTTATTGCTGCTATTTCCTACAATTTTGATTTTTTTTTTCTATTTAGAGTAGTAATTTTGCACAGCTTTTGCTAGCACAAGTTTTTAAATGACTTACTTATTCCAAGCTAATGAATTTTTTACTATTTTAATGCTTCATTAAACAATGATTAACATACTTTTGGGTCAATTTTAGAAAATAATATATATCACTATCATTTAGAGATTTTAGATTAAACTCAGTTAGCAATATACCTGAGCACATCAGTTGTTAGATTTGAATCAAGAGGATGATAATTTCTTGTGTGAGGATTAGCATGTAGCAAATCATCTGAGCTCTGTTGCACAGAAGGTGAATGGATTAACAAAGCAGACTAAAAATAAAAAAAGAAATCATACATGAATTCAAAGGTTTTTAAAATAATTAAAAAAATGCTGTTTCATTAATAATTTTTATCAATTGCAACAATCAGTAACAAGTTCAATTTTGACACTACTCTTACCTTAAGGAAAACTGGACACACATTCTGTAACTGCGGACAGCTAGACCAAAACCATTTGGGCAAAGGACCAGTTTTAGCAGTAGACACATAATAGCCTAAAGCAAGAGGTTGTTGGAGAAGTTGCAAAGGTTCTTCTATAGTGTCTATGGGCAAATTTCCAGAGCCCTAAAAAAGCAAGGATAAAATAAAAAATCAGAACAATTTTATATTTACTTTTATATTAAGTTGGAATCATTATACATGTTTTTATACTCACCCTATTTGGTCCCCCATGATGAAATGGCGAATGACGTCCACCCAAACCACAACTGGGACTACCAGGCTGTGATATGGAATCCCTACGAGGAGAACCACCAGGACTTTGTGGTGGGCTCTCAGTCCATCGAAAGATATCATTTATATCTGAACCAACGGCAATGTCATCATCATTGAGTGCTTGGAAGATATCATCATCAGCTAATGTTGTGGATAATGGATCTATGTGCTCTTGCTGGAATGTTGCTTGTGATGACTAGGGAATAATTTTAGCACAAATGTAAATACAGTTGCTGATTTATTAAGTCAACTTTTAATATTGAAAAATAATGGGCAAAAGATTGATAAGGGCTGATAACTCAATTTTTGACTTAAAGCAAAACTTTTTTTATTTAAATTGCACAATGAAATACCAGAAGTTAGATTAAAATTACCAACTTCTTTAACCTATTGTATTGCTTTTAATCATTAATCTGTTTTTTCATTGAAGTTCTACGAAACGTCAAATTTAGCTATAAGGAAGAGAGAGAGAAAATTAAAGCTCCTATGTTAAATGGTTTTTTTTTTTATTTTATTTGTCAGCTCCTTTTTGTTTCAATTAAAAAATTTTTACAAAAAATCTATTTATTTCAAGTTGGATTAATTTGATTTTTTTTTTTTTTTTTTGGATTATTTTGAAACTAAAATTACTTTTTTTTCCTCACATTTGCCAATCAAAACTCACATAAAATGTATAAATAGTACTTAATATTATTCTAAAATCAACATTATAGCTCAAACGGATGTCATTCATATTTATAATTTTAAAAAAATACTTTAACTAATTACTAAATAAATACAGTTCTTTTTATTCAAGCTCAACAAACAGACGAAATTTATAAAGAGAGAGCAATTTTTCAAATATCCAATGAAGAGTAGATGAGGAAACACTAAAAAAAAATTTTTAATTAATCTCCACAGAACCAGCTCTTATTCATTAATTATAAAGTACTTTTAGTTAATAATAAATAACTATTAATAATTTAGTTAAATAAACAAAAAATAAATGGGTAAAATCAAATATGTTTAATTAGGAGTAAATTATTTAACATACAGAAAATTATAATTTAAAAATACCACACCCCTTTTATCCACATTTAGTTAACATTATAGTCTATTCTGAATATTGAATTATAATTTATATACAACTCCCATCCATTATTTATCTGTATTTTAATTTTAAATGCATTTTTAAAATTAAAGTCCAAAGAAATATTTACACTAGAAATGTCTTAAACAGTTACAAACATTAATATTTCAAAAATAAATATTTTTTCCTTCTGTATGTAGCATTGCTAAACAGAAGATTTTAAATTTTGTAGGATATGAAAAAAAGAGGAATATATAAGTAAGCATTTACTAAAATTAAGTATAGAATGCAAGTATTTAAATAAATAAAAAAAACAACTTGTGTTTTAAAAACGCAGTGCAACATACCTGAGTAGTGGCAGATGTAGGGAAGACTAGGATATGTGTACAGGAAGCATCTTCAGGAGTACTGAGAACACATGAGTTACAACTACTACTAAAACGATCATCAGGAGTGAATTGGTCAGCCATTACTCTAAGAGCAGAATCAGGTTCTAAAGACACCAGGCATGCAGAGAGAATTGCAGGCATGTCTGAGGGCCCCAAAACTCCACACTGGTGGCAAAGGTCCCGAAGCTGCCGACTGTAACGGAGTAGTGACTTGCGACTAAGCAGCGTTGCCCAATCTCGAAGTTCTCCGTGACCTAGACGACCCAGTCTACTAACAACAAGTCTCCAAGCATGATAACATTTAGAGAGCACCTGGACAATAAAATCGAGAAGTTTGTGGAGTGCCAGTTTCCTCACAGACACTTTTTTCCGTCGAGTCCTGAAAGAAATATTCCAGTGTGAGTAAAATCAATCATTACTTTAGGCTGTTACTGTTAATTGTCAATCTTTGTGACATTCTCATGTGTCACACATTATTCTTATGTTTTTAGATGTTATATATAAATCTCCTAAGCCTAAAAAATAATCATGAGATACTAAAAAAATTTTTCAAATACAGTACAGAACCCGTTATCCGGAAATCAGAAAACCAGAACGAAATTCGATAAATTTTTTTCCCTCATAAGATTTTAGGATTTTTCCTTCCTTTTTGTTTACCATCATTTGTTTGTTTTGCTTACCATCATTTTGGAAATAATTATTAGTTTATTACTTCATCGTTTTTTCTTCTTTTTAAGATTATTTCCAAATAATATTTTTTTAGTTGGGTTTAACAAAAAAAAAAACTGCTTTTTGTAGCGATTTAAAAAACTGGAAAAATCAGTTATCCGGAATTGGGATGGTCCCGATCGTTCCGGATAATCGGTTCCCTACTACTATTTTAATTTTCTGTATAGTTTTGAATACTAATTATAAAAAGAAATGCACTCAGCAGTCTTTAAAAAAAAACAATAATTGAAAAAAAAATAATAATAATAAAGCACCTATTGGGAACTTCAATGTTGATGCAACATGTCTCCAAGACATCACCCTTATCATCAGTACAGCTAGCAACCAACCATTTTTGGTCTTCCGTCAAACAATATGTACAATATAAAATACTGGATTTTTCTCTTCTATCACCAAACATTTCACCCAATTCAGTTTGCTTGTCTTTCTGAGGAGCCAAAGTAAATGCCTTACTAGAGGGTGGGGAGAAGATGGAGTTCCTGGCCTATAAGAAAATACAAACAATTTCACTCAGTTTAATAACCAGCCAAACATGTTTCAAACAGCTAAATATTCTACTCCAAGTTTTTAAAATATGCAAATAAAAAAAGTTTTGCATAGATCATAGGCATAAGAATAAACAATTAACAAAAAAAAAGCCAAAAAAAATTTACTTAGAGAAATTTTGTTTAATGCAATGCACATAATACATAAAAATGAATAATGCCAATTTTCATTATTTTTCTAATTTACATTTATACATTTTCTTTTTCTTTATGACAATAGCATTTCTTGGCAACCATTGCTACATATTTCCACATGGTTTTTAAAATCTCAATGATTAAACAAGACTTTAGAGGGTTCGGCAAATTTCAAATGACATATTGAGTAACAATCACATTTTATTTTGACCTAATCATCCAGCAAAAGATTACACCACAAATCCACAAGGATTGGCAATCGATATTTCCACAGCTATTGTTAGATCTCCACATGGTTTTTAAAACTCCATTATGACGTACCACAAATTCAGAACGCATTTAATTGAGTAATCATTTCTCGACCCAACTCGATCAGTGACTTTTTAACAGTAAATCTATGTGGTTTTGTCTACCATTTTTATCGGTAGTAACTAAAATGGACTTGCACGTTTTTTTACATTGTAAACATAAGTTTGTAAATGATTTTTTGACCAAAAAACCACAAGCTAAGACATTTAATTTAACCGATAAGTTAAACAAGATGTATAACAATTTTGTCACATAATAGTTAAATCAATAAAAAAATGCAATGTTGGTTGAAATCAGTAACTTCCATAATTTTATGCTGTTTGAAATGTGAAAAGATTAGTAAACAAAGTAGGATCAATAAATTTACTTCCGCAACTGGTTTTTTCATATTGAAAACAAAAACAAAGATTATTCAGCCAATCTTTTAAGCAAGATAAAATATATAAGTTAATCTTCTTGAACAACAGTTAAATAAAATCATGTCATGCTAGTTGCATTAATAAATGAGGAAATAGTAAGCTAAGAGAGCTGAAGATAAACATAGTTCTGCAACATAATTTTTTTTCATCATATTATAGCAGGAATCAGATAAAAAATAAAACAAAAATCGGAAGTCTGGTGAAAAGTGGGGGATTCTCATACCTGACAGCTCTAACCTCCGACAGTTTCTAAAATTATTCTTTTAGGAATATGAGCAACAAAGAAGAAAAAAAACACAATAACAGTTGTAATTAACATTGCTGTAAAAAAAAAGAAAGAAAGGAATTTGCTTAAAAGCATAACATTAATCGTGAAAGGATTATTAAATTAAATTAAGCTAAGAAACATAATTTTTCAACTGATCTTTCTCTATCAATAATGGATCAAAGCCAATATGTTCTATTCAACCACTGTGTTAAACAATAGTGAAAAAAAAATTATGAAAAAATATTTTAAAACAATGTGATAGTTAAATTGTGAAAAAAAATTAGCAAATAAGGCTGGACCTATAAATGTACTTTTGTAACTGGTTTTTGACGCAAAAAACAAAGACACATAATTTAGCCAATCTGTTAATCAAGATATATAACATCCCTGTTGCATAATAGTTAAATACATTTTTAAAATAAATGCCATGTTAGTCAAAATACAAAGTATCCATCAATTTTATGCTGTTTTAAATGTGAAAAGATTAGTAAACAAAGAAGGATCAATAAATTTACTTCGGCAACTGGTCTTTTGCTATTGAAAACAAAAACCAAGATGACTAAATCTGATGTCTTAAACAAGATAATAAATTAAAGTCAATCTTCTTGCACAAACATGTCATGATAGTTAAAATAAATAAATGAGGGTAAACTACGAGAGCTGAAGACATTAACAGAGTTCTGCAACAAGTCTTTTGATACAGAAACAAAAGCTGAAGTGTTTAATTTAGCCAATCTTGTAATATAATAGGAAAATAAAAACATGTATAAAAAGTCTATCAATTTTGAATTGTTTTAAATGAGAAAGGGTTTGGGTTAGCAAATAAAGCTTGGCCAATAAACATACTTCTGAAACTGGCCTTTTGATAAAGAAATGAGCTGTTTTATTTAATCGTTCTATAGAACAAGAGAGATAATCAGGGCTCGAAAAACCACCCGTCCTCGGCGGTCAAAAATTCCCCGCGGACAACGAATTTCTCGAATCCGACGTCCGTTCAGGCGGCCCTTTTCCCGTTAATGTTCGTGATACATTTTCAATTTTTGTTGAAATATATCTTAAATTTTAATGGGTGTCATTAACATTTAAGATACATAACATCGTTAAACACCAGAAAACTTTAGCCATCCTAGCCCAAGCTATTTATAAAGACCTAATGCAGCAAAATGACCCACAATACAGCAACATACAGCGCATGGTGGAATTGATGTTTTTTCTGTCTGGGAGTACTGCAGCGGTTAAAATAGGCTTTTCAGCAATGAACTTAAAAAAAAACACATTACGTACTGTTCTTACACAAGAAGCCTTAGAAGCAATTATGAACACCTAAATGGAAAACCCCCTTCAGATTTCTGTGCAGAAACCTCTAAAAATCATTGGCTTGATTGTGGAACTGGCAAACATCATATTTGATTATTTTAAAAAACGCTGTACCCTTGGATAAATTGACATTCCAGATAACTTGACCTTTGTCATTAAATTATTTCATGAAAGAAATACTAGATTACTATTAGTAAATAAGAGAAAATTATATTTTTATTTATTTAGAAGCTACGGGTTAGTTTCAACGTTGGTTGTTGGACAAGCCGTCCTCGGGGAAGGGTAAAATTTCTGAGTTTTTTCGAGCCCTGGAGATAATATAAATTTTTTTAAAAAAACACTTATGATAACAGATTGATAACAAATAGTACAAAAATACTGTTCAATTATATTAAAAAATAGTTGAATTGACTAACGTCTCTGCTTTTCATAAACATGTCTTGAGCTGCAGCTGGACCAAATCCTGTGAGGGATTTTGCAATAGTTTGATGCATAAACATCTGATGGCATTGAGAAAATACAGAAAAGGCTAGAGCTTTTAGTTGATCTTTGCGACGTTCATTACTCTCCATGTGACCAAGACTAAGTATTGAATCCAAAGTTATAACCTGGAAAGTAATTTCAAATTATTGTCACATTAAAATCAAAAGAAAAACAGTAAACTTCAGGATTTTTAACTGAATACAAACTGGAACGAATTTCTATTGTAAGGTTTACATAAATTTCCCTGATGTTTATAATTACATTTTAACTTTCAAGAACGAAATTGCATCTCTGTTGCATAAAAGAATTTTCTAATTAAATGGATAAATAATAGAAATAAAAAAAATAGAAATAGTGATTCACAACATTTTTTGAACAACATGCCACAAAAATTAGAAAATACAACAGCAATTAATATAAATAACATAAAGTTGCAATTGTAAAATATAATGAATTTAGATCATATTTAGTAAAAACAAAGTGCTAAAAAGTGTATGTCTCAAACCATGGTAGTCTCCACAGAAAAACTTATTTTTGTAGCAAAATTATTTATGTTTTTGTCCCTGCAATAAGTTAATGTTACATAATGGAAGCATTTATAGACAATTCAATATTTAATTAAGGTTCCTTTCCTTCTGCAAAATAAAATAAATCATTAAAAAAAACAGTAATAATTTGACTTTTGGGGTGTTGTTTATTCTTGAAAATCCCTGCAGATTGTTTATAATTACAGTCTAGTTTTAGAACATTAGATATCCTGCTTCCGTGTTTAATAATTACATTAATATCTCACACACGCATAACTAATTTTTTACTAAATGCAGATAAAGTAAATAAATAAAGGTGTGAAGTGTAACTAAAGTTGAACATTTATAACTAAATTTGAACAATTCTAAATAAAAGGCAATATGTTTATAATTGCTTTTTTTTTCTTTTTCTAAAAGAGAAAGAACAGAAAAATAAAAATTTTCTTTTACCTCAAAAATTATATTTTGCTATTAATCAGAAAGCAAATTTCGGTGCAAACGATACTAATACAAAATCAGATTAATAAAATGTAAGTATAATTAGTTTTGGAAAACACAATTCTTTAGCTTCCAATTTTTTTTTCCCTCACCAATTTCATGTGTATTAACTCTTGAAAAATTACTTTTAACTGCAGACACTGAGCTCCGGCCAAAAGCAAAACTTGTAAAACAAAATGTTTACAATCAAGTTTAGGTTTGTCATAAGTAAATAAAAGAAGAGTGATTAGTAAAAAAGTTAAGTTTTTAAAGTCAATAACTTCCTAGCAGAGCAACTTTTTCTTCAAGATTTTTGTGTACAATTTTATTACAATTATTAATAATTAAGGCTGCTCAGGAGGCAAGATCTTTGGCATGCATATTATATATAAATATATAAATTTTAATAAAAAAGAGTCATACCTGTAAGTGAACATTATTTTTCATAGGTTCAGGCAGAAACTGCAACATGTGAGTATAAGACCTGAGAAGTCCAAGACTAGCTAGACGATAAACGTCGGCATCTGCTGAACCATGAGTGAAAGGATCAACAAGATATATAACTACAGTTGGTGTCTGCTGACTATCTTCAGTATCTGCTGATTCAGTAACAGGAGTAGAAGGAACAGAAGGTTGTTCAGTGGCAGCATTAGCATCTACTTTTGAATCTAGTACAATAAATATACATTTTTTATTAGCATTTATAAAAATATAAAGAGAAAAAAAGTTAGAAAAAATAATGTTAAATTAAAAATAAAAATATTTTCAAGAATTCTTAGGCAAAATTTTCTTGCTAGGGCAACAAATAAATATATAACTTTTACTGTTGAGAATATCACTTTGATTTAATACAAAAGAGACATTTTTATTTCTAGTGATGATGCAGTATCTCTTTTAAGCTGATCAATGCAATGAAATATTTAAATATTTAATATAAATTAAGATTTATTTCACAAGAGTTGTTTTTATTTCTAGCAATGATACAGTATCTTTCTTAAGCATGCCTGCATCACATTTTATTCATTAGTATTCAATCTTTTAGCATTAAAAATTTTGTCACATTCACCTTTACCAATTTTCAAATTGTCTGAGCCCATAAATGTATAGTGATGCAGATCTGCATTGTATTAAACCTCATCTCTTTATGTAAGAACCTTTGCAAGTATTTTTTATTATGTTTAATTTTATTTTATAGTTCAGAACTTTAACTAGAATCTTTGATAGTTTATTTCCTTATCTGAGGCAATTTTTATTGTTGGCATGTACAACTTTATTTTGGCAGGTGCTACAAATTACAATTATATTATAAAAAGTAATTTTGTTAGTTATGTATATAAGAATTTATGCTTTAAAAATTACATAATTGAACAAAGAATTGTTGAATGATAATATAGAACTTTATTTTGGCAGGTGCTTTATTAGTACAACTTTATTTTGGCAGGTGCTACAAATTACAATTATATTATAAAAAGTAATTATGTTAGTTATGTATATAAGAATTTATGCTTTAAAAAATACACTATTAAACGAAGAATTGTTGAATGATAATATAGAAATACAATGTTATTTTTTTTTTAAAAATTTTTAACAAATTATGTGGGTTTTTTTAAATAACCTATTTTGTTTTATCACACTAAGTTAGATGTCATCTTTTCCTTAAGCCTTACAGCTAAATAGGAATATTTCAAAGGAAAACGTTTAATGTATGTTTCTGAAACTTTTTTATAAATAAAAAATTCTAAAATATTAAAAATAAAAAAAAGGAAGAAAAAAAAAAGAAATTTGGATTCTAGAAAGAACCAATTTACAACATTCTAATGGACATAAAAATAAACAGCAATTCATTTATGGAATAAAAACATACACTTTTTTCATTATCACCAAAGTCACAACAATGGTGGATTATTCTAAAAAACATGGACAAAGTATAATTTTTATTTAAAAAATTAAATATGTAATTTAAAAATTTGAGAAAATAATGAAAGTTTTTCTTTCTATTTTTGCTCTTCAATAAAAAATTAAAAAAAAATTTAAAAAAACCTTTTATGTTTCTTTAAAAAAAAAAAAAAAGTTTCTTTAGTGCAGAACAAAGGTTGAAAAAATAAATACCAGCTTCAGGTGGCCTCAATGCTTGATCCTTGTCTGGATTTTCATTTCCTGGTGCTCTTGGGGAAGAAACTGATAAAGGTTTTTCAGGAGGTTTTAAAATAGGTGGGCTATCCAGCAAACTGCTATCAAGTGGTTGCTGAGATAAATGGGGGGCTAAAAAAAATTATTAAAACATTATTAAATAATTCAAATTAAGGAACACTCATTACAGATATTCTTAGAAACAATTTTATTTCAATGTTAAGTACCTAAATGGTTAATATGCTAAGCTCAAATATTTGACAAATTCTAGACAGCCACAAACACCCAGAAAAAAAGTCTAAATACAGCAATGATAATTTAATTTTTAAAAGTAAGACAAAAATGATTATGCAATAAATAGAAAAGAATTGATAAACAATAAACTTACATTGTGATTTTTCTGAAAAAAATTCTTTTTTATTTAGAAAAATGTTTGACACAGCAAGGTTTTGAGAAAAAAATCTTTGACATAAGAATTCAAATTAATATTAGGTAGATATGTAATGCCAAGGGCAAAAATATTTTTTTGATATAACAAGGCTTTAAAGATATGATATAAAAGTTTGAGATAGCGAAAGTATACTTAAGTTAATAAAGTGAAAAATTGTAACACTTTTTGCAATGTGTTTTGAGTTAGCATTATTTAAGAAGTATCAAGAAACTAATTGAATTCAAATTCATTTTTTATAAGACTTTTAATTTCTTACTGTACATTTTGTTTTTAATTTATACATTTACATAATTTTTATTCAAACTAATAGCGATTAAAGCACACTATAAGGAATTTCAAACATCTTATAAAATGAAACAAGTTAGGCTTTGTCAAGCATGGTTCTTTAATGGAGAATTAAGCACAGGTTAATACTCTATAATAAAAGTACATTTTATCACAGTAGGACCTCGATCAATTGTTTCTCATGAGACCGTTCATTGCGAACGATTCATATAAGAAAATAATTAATGCAGATCAACGTAAGATATTAAGTGTAATATGAAAAGTAAGAAACAGGTAATAAATAGTCTTAAAAATCTTACCAAGCTTAAATCTTTACAAGCTTAGTAAAATACAAAAAAATTTTAATTGAAAAAATTATGAATGTAATGCAAAAATACTTATTCTGCAAACAAAAAAACACCTTTAAGTAAAATACTTACTTACTGCAAAATACTTACTATTCTTATAATTTTTAGAAAATGCTTTTTTCTTCTCAGAGCAAAAACAAATTTTAGACATTTGTAACAGATTATTGTTCATTTTCTGCACGCTTGCACGAATACAGAATGTGGCTCATTTTTTTAAGACGCATTCAGTGTCACTTTGCTCTTCTCCAGTTTTTGCAATTGTTTCTTGAACCAACAACAACACACATTTTCACTAACTGATGCATAAACATCAAATGTGCTGTCTGAGGCATTTTACACAAACTGCAACAAATCATTTCTTCTTTTTTTTCTTTTCTGCTTCATATTTAGCATCAAGAGTTACTGTTTCTCTTTTTAAAGCGAACTAACTTCAACATTTTTGTTAAATATCAGTAGTAAAATTTCTGAATGATAGATGCAAGAATTCGTTAGTTTCAAAAACTATCTAAACTGGCATTATTACCATTGTAATAATAGCATTTGTGACGGTACCGCCAGAACAAGACGATACACACAGGAAAACGAAAGACGCAGGAACAATTGATTGAGGTTCAAGTATATTATTCAGTTGCACCTGCTTTATATTTCATCAAAAGTTTCTTATTTATGCAACATCACATTACAAGATTTATTATCAGCTCATAGTGCTATTAATTAAAATCTAATTGTAATTAATAGGAGTAAATAATAAAGTACCGTTAAACAAACACAATTTGGAGACAAGATTTCATAAAATTAACAAATAGAGATATAGAAATTTAGGAAAAGGAATGTATAATCACCCAATGCATTATCATAGACCATATTGAGTTTAATTTATAAATCTAGGGGAAAATAATACAGCAATTGCATAGTAATTATCAGGGTGGTTTTAAATCTTGTTTGTAAAGCAAAGAAAAAATAATTGCCAAGTAGTCAAAAAGGTTATGAGTAAGTATAGAATAAGGCAATATAATTATTATTCCTTTTCAGTTTCTATTTCAAGAAGAAAAAATATTGATGTAAAATTTTATAATTTATACTTATACACACCTAAATGATATCGGCAAGCTTGGGCATATAGCTTCAATCTACTAGCGATTGGTCCATCTCCAATAAGATTAAACCAATCATCGATGGGTTCTTCAGCTAGCTTTTTAGCAGTACTTTTACCAACACGCATAATACCATCTCGCAATACTTTTGTAATAGGACAGTGTCTTCCTAATCGACAGAGTTCATATACAGTACTAAGTTCTTTGAAGTACTTTTTAATAGGTGTTAGAACACAGTCATTATCTGGAGCAACAACAACATATGCAATATCTCGACTATTAGTATATGGTTCTAAAAGCAGCTTGTCCTAAAATAGATTACTAAATGTCAGTAAAAGCATAGTATCTAAAATAATGTAGTTTTATATACCTTTACTTTAAAAAAGAAAAAATTAAGTAGAATTAATTCTTTCTTTCACTAGTTATATGATCTAATTTTTATATTCTTAAGTTCAAAATATTACAAATTATTTAACGTATTTGTTTCTAAACAGCACTAAACATACATCTGATACATTTTACAAAATAATTTTGACACAAAATGCTATTTGCATGCATTATTAACATGCATAAAGCAGTTACGAAAGAGAAAGATTAATTTTATGTTATTTAACACATATTTTGCTAATAAGCTAATTTGAATATTTTCATAATAGCTACTGAGAAAATAACCATGGAAATTTATTATGTTATCATGGAAACTTTACTAAACTAACATGTTTACTTGTTTTAGCTAAATGCAATTATTTTCCTGCAATTTTTTTTTTCTTTTAAATAATTATAAGCATTAAAATTTAGTCAATTTAATATTCCTTTAACCAGGGGTCTGTCCAGGCCGAATTTACTACCCTTTAGCGGTACATTCATAAATTTAATTTTAAGAAAAACGGTAGTTTCACAAATTCAACTTTAAGAAAAACGGTAGTTTCACAAAATACTTTTTCTTAAAATTTTATTTTTGTATCCCTTAAGAAACAATAAATCTATATTTTTACCATGTTTTTGTGTTGATTTTTTCAATATAATTTTTAATTTTTCACAATTTATGTCTAAATTTTCACAAAATAGGTACCTTTTAGAAAAACCTAGACAGACCCCTGCTTTAACACATTTATACAGAATGATTTTACCTATGCTATAAAATGAAAATATACAATACGTAACGCTGGAATATTAGATAGTAAATTTTACATAAAAAAAGTGAAAATAGATAGCAACTAAATAACACATTAATTTTAATTAAATAAAACAATACTTAAAATTATTACCCAATATCGTAAGGCAAAAGGTGATAGAGCTAACCAATCTTTGTCATATCCTACAAGTAATGAAGGAATTGGTTGAGGTTCACATTGATCTTCAGTACCTAGTTAAAAGAAAAAAATTTAGCATGGATAAAAATTCTAAATGGAGATTAAACGACATATCAGTCTCTTTCTTGCTTTTAAAAGCAATTATATTATTTGAAAATAAACTTTACAAAAATAGTAAATAGTTGAGCGTTTTGTAAAGGAAATATTTAAAAGGAAATCATCATCAATAAATTTTTATCGAAGAACTTACATTTTGATTCTCGTGATACAACTACTACTAAACATAAAAATGTGGAACAACTAACAAACTGTTCAATTGTTATTCTCCCTCCTTTTAAACTACAGTTCATCAGATTTAATCCTTTTATTTGAGTTTTCAATACTTTAATTAATAATTCCTTTATTCATCAAATACATAAATTGTTTTAAAATTAATTTATTAGAATGTAATTTGTCTTGATTCAGAAGAAATGGAAGAAACTAAATTTAATGTAGCACAGAAAAGTTGACTTTTTCAAATATATTTTTTTTTTAAAAAAAATAATAACTGTTTTTCGATTCTTTTATTTTAGTTTTATGCAGAATCTTAAAATCTACATAACAGGTGGATTTATTTATTTTTAAATGGGTTTTATGTTATACTTTTATTCCAAAATAAAATCAGCCAACTTTTTCTAGATAAATTATTGTGCTTACATAAGTTTTAGTTTACTGCACACTTTACTTTTTAAAACAACTTCATACAGGGTTATGATTTTGTACAGAAAGAATTACAATTTGTGTTTAATTAATTACTATTAGAAACATCATAAAACTCTTAATATTTCTCTGAACTGGTTAAACTTTTCACATCTTAGTGATTTTAGGTATAAATTTTGTCTTAATACCTGGAATAATGAAAGAAATATAGCATAATGAATCAAATAGCTTGGAAGTGAAAACTATTAATTAAACTAGATTATAATTATAAACTGTTTAAAATAATTGTTTTAATATTTTATATTTCCCTTTTTTAAAAAGACTTTCTTCAATTGGGATGGAAGAAACTAATGTAATTTGCTTTTGAAATATTAGTTATTTTTTGTGAAAAATATAGTTTCTGATGTGACATATTAGCATGCTTAGTAACGAAGAAAACCAATTAACAGAACAAAATCTACCTCTGCCGGCTAGTCTGTGGAACTGCCTCCACGTCAATGGCCCTAGAACTGGATATGTGACTTCCCACATTCTCTGACGTTTTTGTTGCACTGCATCTTGGAGAACAGGTTGCAGAGATCGTAATAAATGGACAACGTCCAAATTGCTGACTGGCACTTTAGCTAAAATATGATACAAATATTTTTAATCGCCTAAAATTTTTGAACAATAATTATTTGATTTCAGCTTGTCTAGACTTTGGCAAAGCTGGATGTAATAAATTTTAACCCCTCGAGTTAAAAGTTACATGAGTTTTGTGAAAATATAACCAATATGTAGGACTGGGAAATCATATGTTGTATAACAACCATTTGTACATACATAACCATAAAATAGATACACTTTATTCAAAAATAGATAACCTTTTAAATATCAGCAATGTATTTTTATTAGGTGTGATAAAATTCATTTGCAGTGATCTCTCATTTATACCCGCTCCCTTTAATGCGAGTTTCACCCTTATGAGAGAGCTATTCCCGCAGACCTGACAGGGGATGTAGAAAAAAATTTATAACTTTTACTCGTTTATGCGCTATTTTGACAAAAATACCTCCTACTTAAGCACAACACAAAATTTTTGTCACTTCAAAATAAGAGTCTCAAATTTTTCATGTAATAATGAACTAGATGGGCTAGAAAAAAGGGATTGAAACTTTGAACGGATTAAGTCCAAATCGAGCATGTCAAAAGTAATAGCTCAATATGTGCGATTTAACTTTAGCATGCCATAATAATATTGGAATTTTAAAAACTGTGAGAAAATTAATTGCATTAACTGAAAAAACAAAACGAAACAATAAAAAAACAAGGATTTACAGTGGTATAGAGCGTGTTAAAAAGTAATTACTGAAATGTGTGATTTGAAATTTCCATGTTATAATATAAACCATGTACTAATTGTAGCCAAATAAAAAAGGGGGAAAATATATTACATCGATTAAATAATTCTTTGTTTACAAATTGAATTTAGCAACAAAATTGCTACTCATTAAAACTTTTAAAGAAATAAAAAGGAAAAAAAAACTTTATTTTTTTCTAGCGAACAATCTTTTTAATGTTTCCCGTTTCGGAATTACTTTTCAGATTATCCATTTTATACTTTGCTGTCAGCCTCAATATTTTAGCTGAAGTTCTTATTGATTTTTTTTTCAGTCCCTGCTTCTCAAAGTTACTATCTCGTAAGCGAGATTTTACAAACATAACGAAATTTCCATTTTTGATTAGATGAAACCCGAGAAATTTTTGTCCGAATATAAATAACTGATTAGCGGGAGTCTGGGAACGGTCTTGATATTCATAGAAATCTGCAAATTAGAGGAAGAATCACATGCCTGCTACAAGAGCAATATAATACAGTCAATTCGCTATAACTCGAAGTACGATAACTCGAATATTACTATAACTCGATATTTTTATGAGGTCCCGACCCTTTTATCTTCAATTTGACTGTCCTAGTTGGAAGAAATGCGCTTGGGACTGAGAAATTGCCCTTAGCTGTTATCGGAAAATACCGAAATCCCCGATGCTTCAAGAATGTAAAAACGTATCCTTTGGATTACAAGTCTAACAAAAAGTTTTGGATGACATCAGTTTTATTTGAAGACTATGTAAGAAAATTGGATCGGAAATTCTTCGCTAAAAAAAGAAAAGTGATACTCTTTATGGATAAATGCACAACGCATATTGATCTACCTAATTTGAAAGCAGTAAACTTGCAGTTTCTCTCACCAGACACAACAGCAAAGTTGCAGCCGATGGACCAGGGTATCATAAAGTGCTTCGAACAGTCTTATCGTAAATGGCTTATCAGAAAAATGATCTTAAATATTGTAAGCATTTAGAAGATTTGTAATCGAAACTAACGGTAAGTCGAACTTCCGATATGTCGAAGTTTTTCGTCAGTCCTATCAGATTCGAGTTATCGCGAATTCACTGTATTTATAATCTACAAAATAATTAATACTTTTGAGTTTTTTAAATTTTTTTTTTTTTGCTATATATATAACTACAACACATAATAATCATGTTCAAGTTAAAAAAAAAATAATGTGATTGTAAAAAAAAAAGAGGAAAAACTTGTAAAATATAAAAATTAAAAGAACGTGTTTNAGCCTCAATATTTTAGCTGAAGTTCTTATTGATTTTTTTTTCAGTCCCTGCTTCTCAAAGTTACTATCTCGTAAGCGAGATTTTACAAACATAACGAAATTTCCATTTTTGATTAGATGAAACCCGAGAAATTTTTGTCCGAATATAAATAACTGATTAGCGGGAGTCTGGGAACGGTCTTGATATTCGTAGAAATCTGCAAATTAGAGGAAGAATCACATGCCTGCTACAAGAGCAATATAATATTTATAATCTACAAAATAATGAATACTTTTGAGTTTTTATTTATTTATTTTTTTTGCTATATATATAAACTACAACATATAATAATCATGTTCAAGTTAAAAAAAAAAAAATTTGATTGTAAAAAAAAAAGAGGAAAAACTTGTAAAATATAAAAATTAAAAGAACGTGTTTGAAACACAATTACTTAATAATAGTATTTTCTGTATAGCAAATTCATTAACTAAAAATATTTTTATTTTAATGCTGTGGTTTCATGGAGGAGGAAAAGTATCACATTTAATGCTATATAATAAATTACAGCAGGATTTTTATGATTAACAGATAACATATGTATCATTTAACAAATAGATGAACAGGTGAGAAATAAAATATTCGAAAAATGCTCAATTATATTTATATAAAGAAATGTTAATAACAAATTTGATTGAAATAAGATTATAGGGCTCTTATACAAAAAATTATACTTTTCTTTTTATCTTCAATGGCTGGGGCACATGAATAATACAAAATAGAAAATATAAATATTTAAAATCTGGTAATTCATTTGTCATAATCCTGTTGTAACAAAATAAGAAAAGAAAAAAAAGTAGAAATGTTTAGCACTGAGAACGAATTTCATGCCTGAAATAGTTTAACATCCTTTCAGGGAAACACAAAAATTTCAAGAGTAAATATTATACAAGAGTAAAATCCCCAAACTTACCAGCAAAATAAGGCCACTTATGAAGGCAGGAAGACTTCAAGTTTTCATCCATTTTGTTGTTATTCATATTGTCTACAGCTTGCCGGCCTGTGTCTAATGCAAAAAAGCATACTTCACAGCCATCTGATATTTCGAGAGCGTTGTAATGAGTACTAAACCAATCAATATTGCGATATTGTTCGGCTTTATGAAATAATGAAAATGTTGAGTATATATGTGAGCACTGCACTTTTATGAGATCCACAACTGTGTGCGGAACATGGTCCACTTGAGCGCTTGTTTCATCTTCTAAAGTCTGGCCCAACTCTGGTTTTTTAGGCGTTGAGCTTTCTACTAGAGAGAGACTTTTCCGGCACATAAATGTGTCATACCGGTGACCCGTAATATCGAGTTCATCCTCGTAGAAAATACCCGAGCGATGACTTTGGTGTCTGTTGATAACTGCACTGAAACCACATGTGCACTTATACTGTGGTTCATCAGTTCCAGATGGTATTAGACTACTTGGCAGATTGATGCCAGCGTCAGCACCTTTAGTGTTCATGTTGCACACACATAATGTACAGCTAGCAAAATTGTGATCTTTAAAGAGATTGAGCATTGAATCTGCTAAAACAAGGTTCACTAACAGACTGTGCGCCTCTGGAATGGAGGAAGCTGTGCCACTGCTGTCCACAGAATTTAAGTGTTTGTTCATGTAAGATGAGGCACTGGATGCTGGGCTTTGCAGTTCATAATTCATTGTTTGTAAAGTTCGTTGATCTAAAGAAGATTCCACGGCAAACATGGGCGGCACAAGTCTTTCACCATCACTTCCTGGGATCATAGGATATTGAGAACTAAATTGGAGAAGAAAAAAGAATTAACACATAATAAAATTTAACAGCATACAATAATTCATAGGCATATCAAAAGTTTAAAGAGATACAAAAAAACTTAGGTGTTATAAAGGTTCAAGAGCAAAAGGTATATATATTTATNAAATAATAAACCCTCAATTTCAAGTAATAAAACCTACTAAAAATTACTTTAATCCATAAAAATTGTTCAAACTTATAATCAGATATTTTTTTTTTTTGGTCAATTATATAAAAATGAGGGGAAAAAATCATGAATCCATAAATCAGTTATATCACTATTTATAATATTTTTAACTTATTTTTCTATTTAAATACTTTTATACAGTTCTAAATAATAAGCAGAAACAAACAGTATAAGAACAATAAATATAAATATATATATAAAAAAAAGTGAAATGATTAACAATAATTCATAGACTATATAGTAAAACTATTATAAAATTACTATAATAAAACTATTAATTCATGTACTAGTTGTTTTGCAGACAAAACAAAAAATAAAAAAAGAATATTTAGTGGTTACTATAGCAAAAATTAGCGTGTATAATACTAGTAACCTTTTTATAATAAAATATTATATGCGTACTAATATTGGAAGTACACAGCCTGCAACAGCACTAATTGCAGCCTTTGAATGGTCATTTCAGGCCCTTAAGCTAAAAAAACTACAACGTAGGCAAAAGAAAATTTTTTGTTTCACAAACTTACTTTTATCTACTTAAAAACAAACTTAAATTGAAAATTTCAAAATATAGACACACTCTAAGTGAAAACAGATCCAAATCTTTCAGAAATAAACAGCAACCAAACTGTTTAAAAAAAAAAAATTTCAATTAAATAATTAAGAAATTTTATAAAAATGAAAGATATTAATTATTTATATTAAGTTCAAAAAAAATTTTTTTCTCCAGATAAAAAGTTGAGAGCCAGCTATAATTTAATTAAAGAAGCTAAAATAAATAAGACTTCAAATGCTTTCAAGTATTATGAAAAATTGCATCAAGGAATAATTAAATTAGACACTAACATTAATCTATTGCTGCCTCTCAAAACAAATTCCCCCTCCCCCCTACGGACCTTTTCTGAAAAATGTTGTGTCCTCCTAACAAATACGATTAGAATGAGCAAAATAAATAAATGCAAAGAGAAGCATAAATATACTAACTTGGAATTCGTCGCAAGTCGATCAGGATGACTAACTTGTGAATTAGACAAAGTTGTGTTGGCAGGAAGAGGAGCAGATGACACAGTGTGCGTCCAAGAAGGTTTGTAAATGTGATCTGATGTTAAGGTAAGTGGTTGCAACTGGCTTGGCAAGGTAGTTAAGGAAGCATATCTTTTAGAACCAATAAACTTGTACTGTACAGGTAGCTTGTAAACAAAAGACCAATCCTAGGCACACAATTCAAACAATTTTAGTTCAAATGTTAAGAGAGGTGCTAAATTCGAATAAGGGAAACAATAAACAAAACCTACTTTGACAGGTTCATAATATGGACTGCATCCGCCCTCCAAATAATTCTCAGTACGATCACGGTAACAATCAGTACTGTCTAGTGTTGAAAGGTCGGTTCCACATTGCACACCAGATGGTGATGGAGCAGTGTTAGATGGTGGAGTAGGAAACATGCGGGCAAGTTCATTCACACCTATTGATAAGTTTTAAAAACGCGATCCTTATTAATAAAACAGCATTCAAAATTTGATTAAGAACTATTTTAAAATTTCCCAAAACAAGAAGAAAAAAAAACACCAAAAAAGAAATTAGGAAATTTCATCATACCTAAAATTCCAATGCCAGAATTTTTGCACTTTCCAGAATATGGATCTTCAGGTGTTCCGGCTAATTTACAGGATGTTGGGGTTGACGGAGCCTAAATATTATTAATGCAAATATCAATTCATGCAGCAAAAATAATCATTAAATGATACATAATTATTTAACGAGTTTAATGAAAAACACTTATTTAAACTTATTAGAAACATTAACATTCAGATTCAACTGCAGATGATCCATAGCTACTTAAAAAAAAGTTTAGTAAATGTAAATTACATGCTTATGCATAAGAAAAATTGAACTAATGAAACAAATCAAATTTAATAGATATAACACATAATGGAGTAAAGGTATTAATAGTTTAAATAATCATGATTTTTATCATTTCAGCAAAAAAATTTCATTTATATGTAATTATTTAATTATAACTTGCTTAAATAAACATCTTCATTCATAAATAAGAACAGCAAAAAATTTGTTTTAAACAGGAAGGAAAAAAAAAGGAAAAATGTATAAGACAAAAAAGAATAAAATTAAAAAAAATTGCTGGAGGAAGAATGAGAAATTTCACTGTAAACCTTGACAATTTTAAATATCTTGAAAGTTATATTTTAAGTATCTTGCTAAAAATTATCAAAAATAAAGACTAGTAACTTTCACGAGCTACTTAAAAATTCCCAAAAAAAAATCGACATTCTTTTGCAGCATATGAAAAAAACATTTTTTTTTTACAAGTTGCTTTGTTATAGTGAATTCAAGACTAAATTCTGATGACTTTTTTTCTAAGTCATTGCAAAGTTAACATTATTATAAAATAAGTTCCTTTTAAAATATTTCTAATGTTACCCCCATAACTACTAAGAATTATTGATGGGACATGTAATTACCAAGTCATCAACACTGTCGATTGAAGAAGTGGTTTCAAATATATTGTCCAGATCTTTTTCAGAAACCTGCAAGTCTTTTTCATTAATGAAATTGGAACCTTGATTGCGAGGAGTCTGTGGTGAAGGTACAGGCTGTTCTCTGTTTGAAGGTGGTTTAATATCTTGGATAGGAGTCAAGGGAGCAGATATGCTCTGAACTGGGGTAAAAGCTTGAGATTCAGGAGTCATCGGCAAACCAGGTTCTTTCTTTAATTCATCCTCCTAAAAATAAACATTGTTTTAATTTTTTCTGTCTAAATCTCAATATTTGATATAAATGAAGAAGCAATTCCTTACTTCCATCTTCAAACGAAAATTAGATGACGGGCTATCTTCATCAAATTCGTCATTAAATTCATATGGATCTTTTTGCTTCATTAATAAATTTTCATCGATTTGCATTGGACTTATTCCATCTCTAGTATTTGAAAAAGAATTAATAGTTTCAGTAATATCCATCAAGTCTGTTATGTGTAGAGGATATTTCCGTCGCTTGCCACCCATGTTTTCCCTAAAAAATTACAAACAATCATATGTCATTAAAAATTTATAACTAAATAAAAGAAATACCATAATTGTAGAAAATTCCTTAAAATAAAGATATTTCCCCCCCCCCTCCAAAAAAAATTAAAATTGTACTTTAATTATTACAACTTAAAAGTTAATTCTTACTAGTTATTACTAAAAACTTATAATTTAATGGTTGTTAGTCTCTTTTTTTAGTGTTCTCCTTCCTTTTTTACATCCTAAAATCTCATTAAAATAAATTAAATTTAAATTCTTACTTAGCTTACACTTAGCAATTTTATAAGATTTTTAAATATCCAACAAACATAATAGCTAATATGTCAATGCCCTTTAAGATTAGCCCTCTTCATGTATTATTCTTTAACAATATTTTTACTTTCTTTATACTTCAGTGAAAAATGTTTCTTTATTGAATGACTCAACACAGACGATGTAACATACAAACATGTGCAGATCACCACCATGTTCTTAACAGCAGTACAAGTTTAACTACAATTTAAAACTTAAGTCAATGTAATGTTATTCTATTTTTTTAAATTTATTAACACATTTATTAACAAAATACAACTTTTCTTGGGTGTTGTGATGACCATTAAAAATGTTTAAGAGAAAATTGCTTCATTAGAAATAGAATCAAATCACACAATAGAATCCACATTTGGGGTCTGTTAAGTGATTCGGTAGAGAAATAAAAATGGCATTGACAACTATAATTAGAAACTATGACACAGGCATCAGGAAGTGCACTCCCCAGAAAAAAAAGAAAATAAATTTATCATTATTTACTTTTCATGAGTTACTTTTAATATTGACATTATTCATAATACATTACAATTAATAATTACTATGTTTTCTTAATATAAGTAAGCTCAAGTCAAAAGATATTAAACGTAAATTCTTCCAAAAGCAAAAAATTAACAAAAAATAAAACTTTTCATTAAATGCTCATTATTGTAATGTTTACTTTTAATTTGTTTCAAAAAGACAATCGTAATAATTTAAGCAATGACTCACAACAATTAGCAAAAAAAATTCTCACTATTTCATGATCACTTAGATGGAATATTAGGTCACTCAGAAGTAGGGGTTTTTTTTTTGTTGCTTCAAAANAAAAAAAAAAAAAAAAAAAAAAAAAAAAAAAAAAAAAAAAGCCTTTAGGAATTGTAACTTTTAGCTATAATCACCCTTAACCTATAACAGTTCCTTTATTGTAAACGATAAAATTTCAACATATTTGCTATGTGTAACATAATGATAAGAAAATGTTAGCACTCCACTTAAGATTCTTCTTTTTTTAAATCATACTTAATTTTTATAATCAGGGCTCGGGCTAACTATTCACCATCTCACCAAATGTAATAAAATCATAAATTCAGCCAAGCAAATTGTGGTTTGGAGAAATTATAGGAAAACGATTTCATAGCCGATTACTACCACGGAATTTCCAAAAATTCCTATGTACTCCAGACAATTCTCAAATACATTAATTTTACATGCAAAATAACCCTGATAGCTATTTTCCTCCTTTCCCGATTCAAAGGCGTAATATAATTGTATTTCTGCTTCCGGTCGGCGCCCATGAACGCTTGCCAGTCTAAGAGCGGTGATTTCACTTGGAGCACTTTGCCGCCATATATAGTGCTAAAGTCAAATAACACTAGATTTTGTATCCCAATATTTTACGTCATGCAATCTTATTTTTGCTTCTGTGCCTCATGATTTTCTGATCAATTTTCGAAAAATACTAAATATTTATCAATTTTTCAGTGATTTCCACATGATTTTTTTAACACTTAATTTTGCTTCAAGCACACAGCAATGTTTCTCGGCTTTTGCTCACTACACTTTACCTACACTCCTGGTGTTACATAACTTGTGTAGCTAAAAAAAGGTTGACTAATGCCCTTTCAAGCTGTGTGAGTGTGAATTTTGAGTTTTAGAGCTTTTACTTTTTCCCACTCATCTAAAAAATTAATTAATGCAATATGACTTAGAAACTGAAAAAATACAGATGTTTTGTAAGAATTATGCAGCAAAGGAACAGTTTTAACACATTTTAATAAGCCAACCGATCAGTTCGTTAGCACGTTTGTGGGCATTTTTACATGGTTTCTGAAAGTTTGATAATTTTAATATGATGTTGTTATGACACTTGAATTCCAGTATGAGTTATCACTTTCTGACAAAAAGAGTCTTGTAAATTCAAGTGATTTTCTGATCGATTTTCGGAAAATACTAAATATTTATCAATTTTTCAGCGATTTCCACATGATTTTTTTAAAATGCAATATATTTAGTACAATATCCAGAATTCTGAATTTAAATGATTACTTCCTGAAGCGGTGATTATTCCGTCTTAATTTCAGGTCATTTGCCTTTTTTTTTTTTTTAAAGTTATTAATCATTTTGTTCTCCATTTTCACATCATTTTTGAAGAGCCGATATTTTAAATATACTATTACGACCTGCAAATTTCAAATCTGCATATGGCTTATCAATTTTTGCAAAATATGTTTGCATTTTATAAAATAGTTTAAACTTCAAGTATCCATATTTTTTTGGTTTAAGTTCTTTATGGAAAAAAATTAATCATGAAAAATTTCAAAATTTCCCTTTGGTTAAGACTTTTGAAATTGGGCTCATACTTTTAATATTTTGCTATTTTAGTGACTAAAAATTTGAAGTCCTAAGGGCAGGTTCTTTTGATGGTTATATATGAGATATTTTTTACAATTCTCGTATAAGAAGCTATACAACACAAAACACTAAGAAAGGAAAATTAAGAAAAAGCTATAACATTGTTTAGGATTAATTTAACCTACTTCACATAAAAAACACACAAGAAGTTGTAATCAATGGTAAAATGCTAAAATTCAGATTTTTAAAACAAATATTAGTAGGAATCATTATAATTGAATTTCGAATAGTAAATTGCATTTACCAAACAGAACTGTTTAAGAATGAATAGTCATAGAGTAGACCATCCATTACTAGTTCATCCCGAGGATCGTCCCGGCTACACATCACCAAGGCAGGTCTTTTTAACCCTTGCATAGGAAGAGATGATTGTGTTGCAGAGGCAGCAGTCGGTGGAACAGAGGTACTGGCGGTGGTGATAGAAACTGGTGGTTTTGCCTCTTCATTTGAAGTGGCAACAAAATTATTGCTAGAAGTATTATTAGCAGTATTGCTACAGTTTGTTTGAGGGTTAGGAGATTCCACTTCAGTTTTAATATTTTCAACAGGAATAGTTTGAAAAGGAGAAGATACCTAAAAATAAAAGAAAATTAGTTCTAAGAACTAGCAGTGTTACACAAATCGTGACCTTGAGTAAACCTTTAACTAGTTGTAATAAGACATGGCTGCAATATGTGTCTTTCCTCAGTTTACAATATTGTGGTATGAACTTAATATTCAATGGAACCTTACAGAAACAACACAAGGAGAAAAAATAGTTGGTATGATTTCAACTTTGTGTTTGCTTAAAAATAGAGATAGCTAATAAAATTTATAAATTTATTTTAATTATGGAATTTTTATATTTATTTCAAACGATTTTGATCACCACTACACCAGACTTAGATAAAATGAAAAACTTTCTGTGAAAACAAAACCTCAATTAAAAAAAACTTTCTGCAAGCATTGATTAACTCTCGTAACTAACTAATTTAAATTATTTCTTTGTCATCACATTTTGGTAAAATTTGTTAAAAAATTAGATTTTTTAAAAAATCCTTAATTTTTATAGAACTCTATATTGATTCATACCACAGGGATGAATTTAGTAGAAAACCAGAAAATAGAAATTCTAAAATTTTATTTGCAAAAACGCTTTTTAAATAATTGAAAAAATACCTGAAATTCGAGTAAGAAAAAAGTGATGTAAGAAGCACTTATCCACAGAATGTTATCAACATTTTAATAAAAATATCAATCTCATTCATTTATTTAAATTGTGCGAATACGAATCTCAATGAGTGAATTTTAAATCACGTGAATGTTTGATTTTAAAATCGCGTGGATACTATTATCCATGTTTGATTTCAAAAATCAGGTGAATATGAATCTTGATGTTTTATTTTAAAATCGCATGAATACAAAAAGTGATATTTATAATGAAACACAATGCACCATCTTAAATTGTGTAAATAGGTATCCAGGTGTGTAATTTGAAATCATATTAATGTAATTTCAAATTACGTTTGTATTGGTAGGAAAAAAGAGAAAAAATTAATCTTTTTTTTTCTTGGGAATTTGTAAGACACAAACTTTCCTTGAAGAGGTGAATTTTTTTCTTCATCCTTAGTAGCATTAAAAAAATTTCCATGATGGGGACAACTTTTCAACGAACGGCGTTCGCAGATATTATATAGGTATGCACTACACATAAATAAATAAATCACACACAGATATATATATAACTATACTTACTTATTTTTATATATTATTTTTTATAGACACTATTATATATATTATTATTGTTGTTTAAGCTAAATATATTTGAGCCATAGCAAATCAATGAAATTTTTATCTTTAAATATATTTGAATTTTCTTTTCACTACCACTTGGAATATTCATCCTCGGAAGTTGGCAAGTCTTCATTACATACATTCAAATTAATATACAGTAAAACTTACTTTCACAAACACTTGAAAATAATGTTCCCCAATATTGACTAATAACAGTTTATCATTCAAACATACTTTTAAATAGCTTTTAATTTAATAGACATATAGTCGAATATGGTCTTATCTGTAATGCAATTGAAAAAAACATAAGTGCTTCTCAATAATTTTTTAAAAAAAGTTGGCTCTTTTTTCTTGCTAATACTATCAATGCTAAAATAGAATTTTAGACAGCTAATGAAAAAAAATTTGTAATATGTAGACATAATAATTGACAGATGCCAAATGTATCGAATTCTCAACTTTGAATTTTTTGTGACATTGATTTCATTATTGCACTGTAGTAATGCACTTAAAAAATAGCCTTGAACACTGGCCACTTCTATCAAAAATATGTGATTCATATAGAAAGTTGTATTAATACAAAATGAGAATCAAATTGTGAAAAAAGAAAGGGATTTACCAAATCTGTTGAAGTTTTCTCTTTGTTGGTGTTAGGTTCAGGTATGGTTGATGGACTTTGAGTAACTAATGTTTGGTCCTGAGATTCATGAGGAGCTGTCTCCTCTTCCTTTATGGAAGGAGGATGCGGAGACAACGTCGGCATTGCAGGTTCAGTTGATTGAGAGTTCGTACTGTCTGTCAGAGGAGTACCAGGGTGCGGAGATCCCAATAATGAAGGCTGAACAACTGAAGTGTGCAATTGAGGAAGGCCGCTTGGAGTGGAGGAGCGTAAGGACTGGTTAAGTCCTTTAAACTGAAAGTTTGTACAGCCAGTAGCTGGCAGTGAAGTTCCTGTCCCAGGAGGCAGGACATACGCAGAAGATGAAGAGTAACTATCAACTTCTGATGAAGAGTCTGAATAAGCACTACGTTTATGGAAAGGTATTGAAGTCCTAAATCGTGTCTGTGCTTTAAGTTTTTCTGTTTTATCCACTTTACGAGTAGTATTAGCAGAACTATTAGTGTTCGAAGCACTATTTGGACTATCGACAGATACAACAGGATTTGCGGTCACAGTTGTACTTGAAGAACTTGTACTTGTAGGTACTTTTATACTGTTCGTGTTTTCTTGCTTCACTGTAGTTTTACACCTAGTAATAAGAATGAAATAAAAATTTAAGAAAATACCAATATAAGAGCAATTAATTTAGACTATCTCCAGGTACACAATAGAATTTTAATTAATTCAAGGGGAAAATAATTATATTATATTTTCAAAAAAGGTTTATCTAATTTGAAGAACTGGTTGTTACAGTTTTAAAACATTTTTCAAGTTACGGCATTTAAAATGTGTGTACTTAAAAAAATTTTAAAATGCTGCAATTTAGACAGCAGATTAACAATAATATAATAATTATAATCAGAAGTGACCATGTCTTATCAACAAGTCAAGATGGCACTTTAAAACATTTATAATTTAAATAAATCCTGAAACCTTTAAATATTACTGAATTACATTACTTGCTTCCGTGCAACATAAACTAATTTAATGATAAAACATGAGAAATGTTTCATACAAAAACACAATAGGAGAGTTTTACAGAGTAAAGTTCATGAAACAAAATGTTCAATGTTGTTTAATCTTTTTTATTTTATTTATTAACTTACTTTTAATACCCAATTTTCTTTGAAATATTTTTATTTCTAAATAACTTACTTTTCATTAATTATTAAAAAAAGAGAAGAAAAAAAAAGCAACAATTAATAGTGTCAAGAAAAATCCAATACAGATTAAAAATCAAATAGTAAATAAGAAAAATTGAACAATATTGTTTTAAATGTTAATAATTATTTCATTACATGCATAGACAGAATTCAAAAAATAAAGAAAGTAATAACTAAAACAATCAAGCATTTCATTTCATCTTTAAAAAATATTAAGATTGATACCCATGTTCAAATTCTGACTTTTAATCCGAATGTGAGTGAAAATAAGAACAGCAAAGACGGAGCGATTTCATTAAAAGAAATACAGTTTAACATAGCAGAATACCTTGAGCAATTACACTTGACTAAAGATGAGGGATCACTGAAGTCCCATGCACCAGCTTGATCGCCACTTTCAGCAGTTTGCTGCCTTCTTCCTTGCAGAGTGCTGTCCTGCCACGTTGCTTCTTTAATTTTCCATATGCTAGTGTAGGAGGACCCATGCTCACTGATTATATCACTATTGGAGCCTATTCTGTAATGAGAGTTAACCGAGAGGGAAGGATCACAAGGAGATGTAGGGGGTGTAAGTACACCTGTGAATAAGGAAGCCTTTTGTTGGGAAGCACAAAAGGTGGAAGATGTGTTGCTGTTATAAGAAGAAAAATTAGAGTTCTGGCTAATGGCAACATTTTCATCCATTTCAGAAACAACTATGTAACTTGATGGGTAGCGCATTTTAGTACCACCTGGAAAAAAATATTAGAAAATTATTACTCATAACATACAACATGCCACAGCAATTCCAATTTTAAAAAAAGTTTAACTTTGTGCAGCAATAAAAGGAAAACCTTCAGAAATATCTTTTCAAAATTGCAAATTAAACATAAAATAAGATATTTTTATCAAATTATTTAATAATTTCACTTATCTGTTAGGTGTTTTAAAATGCCATTACTTATTCAACTTTCATTTGGAATCATTTCTCATAAACTTTACAGAAAAACCATTCAACCAACATTAAGTTCACCATTTTAAAAATTTAATTACTTAAATGTTAGTTGGATTAAAATCGTTTTGAATAATGTATACAATGATTATCAGGACACATTTTTTGAACAAACTAATTTTTATCGTAAACGATTTCAGTTCACAATAAGAAAGTTTTTTTATAAAAGTATTCAAAAATTCGTGAAGACTTTGGAACTATAAATTAGGCAGTATAAATAATTACAATAATTAATTCATCCAGTAGAAGGATAATTTAACGAACTCAATAAAATTTCTATCTTTATTGGAAAAATTATGGATGGTCCCCAATCCAAAATATTTAACAATACTATAATTACAAAAGATATTAAAAGACTTATGATTGCGAAAAAAGCCAATTTCCCCATATTCACCTGAAATGACTGAAACAAGGTCCCCTATAGTCTATAAGAAAACAAACGAGTTACAAGATTCCTATACTAAAAGTACCTATACATAAACAATACAAATATAAATTTCATAATAAGAAATACATTAAAACATTGACAAAATTGCTTTCTGTAAAAAAAAAAAAATTTAAATATTTTAATTATGAAAATAAAGGAAAAAACTACATATTTTGCAGCTTTATTTCATTAAAATATAATTGAAAATGCACATTAAATATAACTGCAAATAGGTTAACATGCATTTAATTTTTGTTTAGACTTTTCAACTTGTTAACTTCTCTTTTTGATAATCAGTTCTGTAAACTGCTGCAGTGTTTGAACTAGTACTAAGTTAGAATAAAGATGAAAAAGAAAAACATTTTAACTAAAAAAGATATTTATTTGCCCTTTAGGTTAAATAAAAATCAAGAAAGATTGATCGTTAAGTTAATTTTGGACATATTATTGAAATTAACAGTAAGTTTAGAAGTTCTGATAGATGTTAAATATTTCATCTATTTAATAGCTAATTAGACCTAATGTATATAATGGGAGATGCTCTAAATAAAGTAGAATAGACTGTAGTAAGGGGTAAATATTTCTACTAAATAAAATGTTCAACTAAAAATCAATTTGCAAAGCAGACACAAAGAAAATTTGTAAAAGAAAATGAAATTTAAGACTTACAAACTAAAACTTCTACAACAGACATGATATGGTGATCATCATCAGCTAACAAATCTTTTGTATTTCTGGAACGTACAGGGTAAAAATGGTGCCATTCACTTAATATCCTTTGTGTACTTAAATCGGAATCTTTATAGGTTTGTCCAGTCAGTGTGCCTGATATCCCGTAAGGACATAGTATGACTAGAAGAGAAGAAAAGAACCAAAATTCACAAAGCGAATTTATTTAAAAACTCACATAATTATTTAGTTAACATAAATATAAAAAGTTTTAAGAAATTAATCATATTCGAATGAGCTGATCTAAATTATTTTATAGAATTGAAACATTAAAAAATGAACAATATGTAAAATGAACTAGTAGATTAACATAGTTTTTATATTGCTTGAAATGTGCAAAAGTGTTACCTTTAAGACCATTAGAATTTCCTTGTGCTAAAGATAAATGCTGACGTGTTAGTTCACAAACAGTTATTCGTTGTCTGACGTCTACACTAGCGCAAACAGTACTCTCTCCATGTATAAAAAAATTGAATGCAAAAGAAAGTTGTGGGCTGAAACATCAAAAATAGAAATTAGATTAACAAAATCTCAACAATATAGAAAAATTAACTATTCTTGATACAATCTAAATTTGATTAAAACACATTGGTTTTAAATCAAGATGAAGATCTCACTTAATATTAAATAAGGAGTAGACGCCACTCTTCACACAAAACTAAATTTTCTGAGATTTCCAGAGTGAAATTTGAAAAGTTTTGCAAATTGATGATTATACTAACAGTTTTAATTGGCTATTTTAAAGTTTACATTGGAATTTATTTATTTTAATTCATATCTAAATAAAGAAAGAAAATTGCAATTAAAATAGCTAATTTTCTTAACTGAAACTGTTTATTATTTTAGTCCTAAAACTTCTATGATATTTAAAAGACAAGGTTTTAGAAAGAATTCAGAAATATATCACTTAGATTCAAAATAAAAGCTAATTCTTAATTTTTTATCTTCTTAGTGGTCAACAGTAATTTTTTTTTCTTTTTCTAAACTTAAAACTGGCAAATTTCAAGTAATAAAGAAATCAGTTCACCCCATGTTATTCAATGGAATTAATAGCAAGGAAATATCACTACAATTTTGTCAACAGAGTTTACGTTTGAAGAAGTAATCAATCCATTTATTTTAATTTTATTTTATAACCGGCGTTGAACAGCTGACCCAATTTTGGGTTTACGACTACCAATGTTCAACACCGTAGCCTTGCAATTTTGAACCAATCCAGAAGACAAGGAAACTCCAAGATTAGTTCTAAAGAACTCACCTATCGATGAACAGATTTCACTGGATTTAAAAACATTAAAAACAGTGAAAAAAATTAGATAATTTTTAACAATCATTTAATTTTTCTTTATGTAACAGTGAAGCAAATAGTAACTATAATCAATGACAAATGAGCAAAAATGAGCTAAGTGTAATACTACCTTCTTGTATTCTTGTCAATTCCATCATGAGGCTGAATAAACCATCTTCCAACTCTAGCGAAACCTCTAGATAGTAAACTCCTATAAACAAAAAAAAAATTATTTAAAATCTCAAACCAGTAAAAGTTTGGAGAAAAACTTCTCTCACCAATCATAAACCTAAACTAATACAAGATTTATGCATTAATGATTTTTTTAGTTTTTATGACAAGTGCAACGGTCTAGATAATATAACCAAATCAACCTTTTCTCTTTTTTTCTTTTTTTAAAGATCTTAAGATTCAAAATAAAATGGTGAAGAAAAATGAGGAATAAAACAAAAGGAGGAAAGGTAAACATGCAAGAAATAAAAAAAATTCAGTTAATTTTATAAAATAGAATGAACAAAATTCACATGACACTAATAACTAAATACAAATTTAAATTGGCTCAAATATTTTCAGTTTAAAATTGACATTAAAATCTTAATTCTTAATAAGTGATTATGAAATTAATTAAATTAATGTCTTGAATATGTTCATAATTTTCTTGAATAATAGAGGTTGACAACTGATAAGCAATTGAAACTTGTGTTCATAAAAAAGTAAAAATTAACTATTATTCAATAATTTTAATGATTTTCCTCTTAGAAGAATTTTGCAAAAGTGCAATTAAAAAATATAGTCTAATGATATTTTTTAAATATTTAAGCTATTTTGTCCACTTTAAAGTGAAGACGATACTTTATAGGAAATAGTACACACAGTTTAAAATTAAAGCTTTGTTTAAAGTACTCAAACTGTGACTTTCTTATTTTACTTGGAATAAGAGCTTTCAAGAGCTCCCTTAATCAAGTTTACTAATTTAAAGCAATTATTTAAGATTTCAAAACTATTTACCTCTCAATTAAGTTGTGCAATGATTTGAAGAGGAGAGTTCTGCATTCATAGGACAATCCACTTTCCCACGATCCTTGCTCAGGATCCGCTAAAAAACATAGGTTCAACATGAATAACAACAAAAAAGTAGTATAACACATTAAGAATTGGTTTATATACAACAACAAAAAATGCTAACACTTCACTTTTTATTTAAAAATTGTAAAACTTTCATTTTAAACAAATTAAACTTCCTTAAAATATTAAATTATCATCTAGATGGAAAAAGAATTAAAGAACAAGAACATACATTAAATTAAAAGCTACAAATTTTAAACTATTAATACTCCAATTATTATAACCAACAACATCTGTGGAACCAACCCAATCCACGGATAAGGTATGTTAATAACGTTTAACAATTTTTGACTATTAACAGCTTTTGATTAAAGGTTCCATGTGAGGGTTAGTTCATGACAAAGGTTGATTAAGTTCATAACAAAACAAAATTATACTCGTGGCTATATCTTTAAATTTTAATGTGGGAAAGCAATCCACCTGTTTGTTTATAATGTCGGCTGATGTATAAACATATGATTTATCTCCATTTTTAAAAAAATCAATTACTTTTCAACACTTTAATTAAGGTTTCGACGAATTCGTAATGCAGAGTTCCACATTTTTATCGAGCTTCATTTTATCAAAAATTGTTATACAGTGGAGCCTCCATTTATTTAGGAGTGGATTATCTGTTAAAATATAACTGGACTCTTAATAAAAAAAGAGGAAAACAAATTGCCGATATCTGAGAGGGATACTTAGAAGAATTTTTGGTGCAATATATGAACAAATGGCATACCCTTGAGTTATATAAAAATATAAACAACCAGACATGGTTCATGTTATTAAGGCTAATCGCATTCGATAGCTGGGACAGCTTTATAGATCTGAAGACCAAAACCCTTCAAAAAAGGTAACTTTTTTTAAACCAGAAGGTACAAGAAAAAGGGGTCATCCTCAGTGGCTGGACGCAGTTGAGAGGGACCTAAAGATAATAGGAATAACTAACTGGAAGGCCATGGCACATAATAGATAAAGATGGCAAAAACTTATTGGGACGGGCTTGGCCTGTCATAGGCTGTAGTGCCCAAGAAGAAGATTATTTGTTATTTAATTTTGTCTCATGATACAAAATAATTGTAGAAAACCTCTCATCATTGGGTTTTTTTTTCCTTCAAAAAATGGCACAAAAACTACTTACGAAATTACTTTAATTTTTTTAATTTTTTAAGACATTCAAATCAGATTTTTTTTCACACGTGTGCAGTATAGAACTATAATTACTTATATATTGTTAAGTTTTCAACAAATGTTTTTCAAATTTTTAAGAAAAAAAATTTTAAATTATTTTAAATAGCTCTAAAAAATTTTTTTAATTTTATTAAATATTTTTAAAGCTATATAAGTAAGAAAAATACAAAACAATTTTATAAATGTTAAGTGTCATTTAAAAAAACATCTGGGCGCAAAAATTTCGGAAAATTTAGGTAATTATTTGTCAATGATATTTAACTAAGGAAAAAAATGAAAGTAGTATGTCATCCTCCACGCGAACCCAATCTAAACAATTTCTTATAAAATGTTGAACAAAAAATGATAAGATACTGCAGAACAAGTCAGTGCTGAATTTAAAATCTAAAATCTGAATTAGTGGTGTGTTAAAAACTTTATCTGCTGCGTATACTGAAAATAATTATTAATAAAATCTGGAATTATTTGGATAGACGTATAGAATTTTTGAACGAAAAAAAAGAGGAGAAAGTTAAAAGAACATAAATCCGATATTACGCTGCATAAATCTATTGAAACAAATTTTTCGCAATTGTAAACGAGACTCCTAGCTTCGGATTGCATAAGTATCGTTTTACATCTCTTAAATAAAGTCAACATTTTAATAGTCGATAATAGTGAGGAAATGCGTGCAGGGCGGGAGGATGAATGCAGCTGCAAATGTCTATCCCCTGTAACAGGTGGTATCAAAGTTGGAAAGCGAACCCGTGAAAATAGTCAAAGCAAAAACGGGTTTTGAAACGCCACCTCATTGCAAATTTTACCATGTCTGTGATGAATAGAAAAACAATGGCTCACTTTAAAAGCTTTAATACAAAATTTAGTTGCCTCTTATGAATTGCTAGTGAGTCTATTTTAATTAGTTCATCGTCGGATCACCCTTAGATTTAAGGGTAAATTTCCTAGATCAACTAAACATTCGTTATAACAGACTTTAGTCAGTTTTCATAAGTCCAGATGATTTGACATTTTCATAAAAAGGAATTTAAGCTACACTGATTTCTTTGACATAAAAAAAAATGAAAGATAAAAAATAAGCACCTTTTTTAATTTGTTGTCTTGTGAGTAAAATGAGAATTTACTGAGTGCAGTTAATATAATTTAAGCGCGTTTCCTTCTTTCACAAATAATCTAATTTATCCGCATTAGATTTTACTCTTTCAACAAATTTGTTTATTTCTGTAACTGGATAAGCTTCGATAGAATATTATTAAAATACAGGTCTGAAAACCTAAGAATATATGAAGGCCTTACTTAAATAATAGTGTAACCAAACTCTTTAAAAAAAAAAAGTTAACCTTACTGTTATGTTCATGCAAGAACAAGTTAAAAATCAGAAGGAAAAAAAAATCGGAAAACAATACACTTATTAAACTTTAAGACCCTGAATCTAAAAATGATCAATAGCACAGTTGGACCGCCATTCTAATAAAACCTTCATATTTAATTTTAATATTTGTTTACTGAAGCTATGATCGATATTTTATTTACTCTATTATATCCGTTAAAGAGTTAATTGGGTATACTATAGCCTACGTCACAGGTTGCGTTATTCCTACTAAATTTAACCCATGAACGACATTTTCTGCGAGCCTAACTTCAAGCCACAAATAAACAAACGAAGTGTTTGATCGTTTAAATAGCTGCTCGCCAGATTTTATTGCATTATAAAGAAAAGTAATTGATATTCGATTTTTGATTAATAATTGATTTATGTGGATAGTGGCATTTATGTGGATAGTGGCATAGAATTTAGCATTGCGTCATGGTAAATGTTATTCCTACTAAGTGGAAGTAGTTGTGTTTTTTTTAATATTATACCCAATTAAAAGGTATCTTTGCAATTTCCAATTGCTATGTGCAAACGATTGGGTAAAAAAGAAGAAAAAAATGATTTAATATTTATTTACTGAAGCTGTGATCGATATTTTATTTACTCGATTATACCCGTTAAATGGTAAATTAAAAGGTATCTTTCCAATTTCTAATCGCTATGTGCAAACGATTAGGTCAAAAAGAAGAAAAAAATGATTTTAAAGCGGAAGGAAAAGCTGTGAATATAACCACATTATCGATTTTTTATAGGATGGAAAGATGACCAACATGGGATCTAAAGAAAGAACACTACCATTAGTTACAATGAACCTTGTATAAACTGGGTTTTCTTAATAGAGCTCAACAGAAGTTCCGCGACTCCACAAAATGAAAATAGTACCACGGAGAGAGACACGGGGAGAAGGGGGTAGAGTATTGCGATAGATAACGAAAGCAAGGCCAAGCATCCGATCAATAGGAAAGAGGCTTGGCAAGAGATTGACACTCAGCGCTACACGTATCGTAAAGTAGTGAAACTCCACGCACATTGCGCTTAAGCATATGGTTCGATAGGACAAAAGGAGCTAATAGTCCTACAGACGGGAAAGGGGAAAACGTTTAAAATACAATTGAGATTTTCATTTAAGTATGCTTACAGAAATTCATCGGATATTTATGACCGCGTTGAATTAAAAGCTCTTCGAATAAGTTTTTTTTTTATTCGAATTAATAAAAAAAAATAACTTATTAGAATTTGATCGCAGAATAAAAAAATAATAAGCGCAACTTTCCAAACAATATTTAAAACTTGTCGTCCATGCATATGGTAACACATTAGAAAAAATTATTGACGAGGGGGAAAAAATGAGAAACTGTTTTTTATAAGATAAAATTAACTTAGATGAATTTTAATTATATTTTTTAACAAACAAAAGAATTGCTTACTCAAAATTATACTCCAACTGTGCAAGTAATCGAAGTTTTTTGTTCAATATGAGTAGCTGCAAAACGTTGCTCGCGTAATTTAATTGATAATTCGTTTGTTAGAATAGCAATAACTCCTAATTATTTTGAATAATCATTTCAAATGTCTACATGCGTTAGTTGCAATATTTTTTTTAACCGAAAATGAAGCTTACTTTTATCAAAATGCCCCGTTTGAAAGCATTAAATTGAAAGAAGAAAAAAAACTTTAAATAATTTTTACTTTTTGTAAATAATTAAAAATATGAACTACAATATAAATAATGCCAGACTTCTCCCCAAACGTTTTTCGAAGAGCCGCCATTCCTTATAAACATCGCTTTTTTATTTCATTTTTTCAGGAAAAAGTTTTGTTAACCACCTGTTTTAAGTCCACTTCTGATTTATTTAATTATTGCAATTTATTTAACTTTAATTTCATTGCTTCATTTTAAATCTTAACATTATTTTTTTTACATCAATATCTTTTTTTTTTAATTGCACATTTAATCGGTTATTTTCTCATAATTTTAAGTTTAAAAAAACGTTTTAAAATTTTTAATTGATCCTTTTTTTTCTTATTTAACTTTTTTTTAAGAAAATTTATACACAGAGATTGTCTTTTAGTTTGCCTTAAACTATTTCTCAAAATTTTTCTCTTAGTTTGATAATGGGTGAGAATTATTTTATGAAATATACACATAAAATAGTATAATTGGGTAATTTAAAACTTGAGGATCAAATACAGTTATTACATAATATTATACATTGATAAATTTTAGCAGTGGTAAGTGCGTGCCCTTTCAAAACTCAAGTGTCCTTTTCTGTGAGGAAGCACCCTGCCTTTTTTTTTTTAATCCTAGGAACATGGAGAAATGCAAATTATGAATTGTTAAATAATAATTAACTATGATTGGCTGTTATAGTGACGACAGAGTGTGGCAAAACAGACGCCATAAGAACTTCCAGCTAATTATAACT